GGTGCAACGGCAGCGTGCTGCACTCTGCTGCAGATTGATTAGATAATCTGAACCTGCAGTCGGTGCTGAACAGGATTCAAGAACCGTGTAAAGTGTATGTTGGTAACATTGCCAGGTAGAAGACATTGTTGAAACTCAAGCGAACAGTAAGGTAGGCATTAAAGGAATATCACCAATGCAGGACCGCCCTGTCGCACGTATCTCTGCTCTTCGGACACAAACCGATATAAGACAACCGGAAAAACGCCTGAAGCTGCTGAGACGTTGGCACAGCAGTAGAAATCGGAGAATCTGTGATGTGCCTCTTGTATGGCGTTTTAAGACCATTTGTTAAGAACTCAGATCTGGCCCAGCTGCTCCAGGAGACCCGGGCACTTCTAAAGGACTTTACACACTCAGGATGCCAACTTCACCTTCGAGTCTCATGAACCTCATGAACACTCGCTTTCTATTTGCCATGGCATCCTGCATGCCCGACGGAGGAAAACGGAAAACATAGGGAAACAAAACATCAGCACAGTTGGCTTGCCTCCTACCTGGTGCGACCGACCGCGTAACATGAGTTGAAGACATGTAGCATGGTGTTCATACTGTCGGAGTGGGTGGTCGGCCATTGCATACAAGCAAAGCAGCTGCAATCAGACTTTTGGCGGCCAACTGCCATTCAGATATCATGCGCAAATTCCGTGATCTCCTTGCTGGCAGGGTGCACCTGCAAGCAAAGGCAAGCGAGGTGTGGTCATACTGGAGTCCAAGCAGCAGAAACATGTTCAAGGAGGAAAATCCCTGCCTCATCTGAGCCACTCGCAGTTCAAAGCCTGCAGCTGCGAAATCGGCCGACTCGGCACGGTCTATTGTCGGTGCATCGCTTTCGGCAGTTTCCTTCACCGAGTCGCCTGATGTCCTCGTGGATATTCAAAGTTGATACTTGTAAGGTGTTTCGTACTGCGCGGAACCCTGCCCCACAGACGTACTGAAGAAACGACACTGAAAAAACGACAACAGGCTGTTAATGAACTGGAACGGCTTCGTGAGCGCTCCATCAACAGGCCACGCATTGAGTCTTGCTAGACTTGCAGTACAGGACTTCTGGTGGCAGCTGCGTCCAAACAAACTTCACATGGACTTGCAAGACTGGCTCCATTGTTATTTTAATAAGAAGTTGCCCCGGCAATGTCGGAACCCGTGATTAGACAGTCTTTGGCTGACTCGGCATGATATGTTTTCTTCTCAAAGTTCCCTCGGTGCTTTATCGCTAACTCTGCATGTCACTGATTCTCACTTCTTCGAAAGACCTACCGTCTTCGGAAGCCAGGCGGAGAGAACTTCCCACTGTCGTCTTGAAGGGGCTACTTGTAGAGCTTGAAGGCGAGAACTCGGTTGTGTCGTCAGGAGCAGGATGTGGGCTCATGGAGAGGAGCTTTGATTCGGAGGAGGGAGGATTCCGCATTTTGGTGCCGAAGGGGAGGCCCATCTTAGCCTCGGGCCTGGGATGCCCAGTTCACACAACATGGAGTTGCCAAGGACTTGTGGGATTTAGTGCGCAGAGAAGGCATCGCCGAGGTGTCTGGCCTTGGGATGCCTGCTGGACGAGACGCTTGCTGGAGCTACAGCCGTTGCACATCATGGTTTCAAGCTGAGATATATATATAAATGAGGTTCGAAGGGTACCACATGGTCAGAATCGTCTCTCCCCAGGCCGAACTACTCAATGCAAGCATCACTCTGCCCCAGAAAACACAACTATGATTCAAGGGTTACCCACCTGGTCGGCTGTAGGTCTCAACTTCGGGTCAACCGTCATGAGCGACGCGATCAAGTTCTGTCCAACAGGGCTTCGCTCATCAGAGTTCGTGCGTTATCAGGGAACATTCGCAGATGATTTCTCTGATTTGTGTCATCCCGCCTTAGGTGGAGCAGGAAGACTGTCCCACGGCTCACCCGAGAGGTTGTAACTGCCGGTGCGCACTTTGCGCAACACCTCCGCTCGCGTCGCATCGGTGGGATGGGGCAGGCATCAAGATAATTCATCGACGCATCTGATCATCGCGCGTCTGGTGAAGAAGAGGCTGCAATCCGGGAAGTGAAGACTAGTCAGACTAGCTGCAGCTTGGAGAGCAACAGCGCTGCCGCAGCTATATTTATATTCGCAACCAAGCATTACAAGTTCGTAGCGACCTGCGAAAGAGACAACGCATTAGTCAACCACGGGCAAACAGAGTCCAAAGTGCCTCAGAATCTGTAGTGGCATAAAAGGGTGGAGCTGCTGACAGCATCATGTAGATCAGCACGCCTCACATGAACGAGTCTTTTCAAGACAGAACTGCAGCCGTCGGTGACAAGCGATTCGGGGTGAGTCTGCGATTCCGGGTCCTGCGGACCACATGTCGACGGGCATGCTATACTTGGTGCCGACCTGAGAAGGCATCGTCCCGATGGTGGATGGTTTCTGAACCCGTAGACTCCGTACATCTCCGTACACTCTGACTGCAGAGAGGTTGCCACAATTTCTGGTGCAACAGTGTCGGGTGATCCAAGCCGGTCGTTGAGCCCATCGCCTGCGCAGCAAGCACACAGCCTGGGACAGCCTAACTTCGAAGCCTAAGCCTGCGGGGGGCCATTCCTTTGCAAACGGAGCTGAAACTTTCAAGTGCCTGAAGCTAGGTCAGAGCAAAAACCTACTAACGTGACAAGCGGTTTCTTTCCAAAGACGGTCTGTTAGAAATTGTCTAAGTTCAATCATAAGAACATGTACTTTCTCAGGAATTACATAATGATTCAGAGCAGTTCCAGTCTGTCGTTGTGTCCCTAACGCGGCGGGGTTCAGTCATCGCCGCTAGAAGCTGAATCATCCGTCAGCAGTTTGTTGCCAGCCTTTGTCATGGGCCGCAAACCCGAAGTCGCAGAGCTTGAAGATCTCAGCTGTACAAGGTCAACGGACATGACTAGACCCGGATTGAAGATCTCAGCATGGCAAGGGCCTTCACAGCTACTAGCAGCATCGGCGCTTGAACTACGATGCTCGAACAGAGATGCCTTTATCCCAGTGTTGGCCGGTTTCTGCGGGAAAGGGAAACCTACACCCGACCTTTTTAAGCAACGACGTCCTGCATAAAAACTGAATCGAAACCTGCGCCGTCGGCTTTCGCAAGTTCACTTTCCCGACGGCCTTTACTAATAGGTTCCTGCAGCTTCGAGAGGCCAGAGGCCCCCACGTTCTCTTCCACGGGCAAGTCCATGTGCTTCAGCAGGATGTTCTCGCACTGCGCGGAAGAGCGTCACATCTCACATCGACGGAGCCGTGCACGTCAGGGGCACATACGTACGCAAGCTAACTCCCACTTTTCTCCGCATTAATTGTTCCGATGAAGTCGGCGCCGGCGGACGAGCTCCGCTTTGGCCTGCCGTCATCAAAATTCTACAGTAGCCTCCATTCATTGAGGCGTCCCTCGCATGAGAAGGATGAGAAGGCATGTTCTTCTGTGCTCATATGCCCTGCTTGAGATGACCGGCGACCTCGGATCTTGGCTTCTTCGTGCGATCGGACCTCTGGCTGAAATCGGCAAGACTGTGACTGTCCGAAGGGGAATTCCAGGCATGACCTGTCGCTCTGATTCGCTCTGCCACAGTCATTAATCCATCGGCGCTTGGGCACGAACGACGCTTGCGCAGTTGTGCCTGAGACGGCAGTCGAATGCTACAGCAAGAACCGATCGCAGAATTTGAGTGTTCACGGGTCGAAACCATGTACTTGTCTTCCACCAAGATGCCGGAGCGCAGCAGCCGCCATGCTACGGCGGCAAAGCCTGACGAAGAACTTTCTCCCACGGCCGCGACTGCAAAGCTACTTTCCTTTGTGCTCGCATCGTCGCCTATGGCACTCAGCCCGGAAGCCGCGACAGCTGCACTGACACCGACTGATGACCTGCATGTGTACACACTGCAGGGCTGCTTGCACAACTTGAAACAGCCCAGACACTCAGACACGAATGGGAGAGAGCAGGGTAGTGGCCCCGGATGCAGTCATTTCGTTCGGGCTGGGCATGTTCCGCTACGGGTCCAGAACTCGCTAAGTCTTGCGAACGGCTTGCTTGTGCTGCTTCAACATGTGAAAAGGAAAAGCTCGGTGCAAGTTTGCCTATGTGTACTTCTGACCTGACCTAACGAAAGCGTCTATTGCACGAAGAAGGTACAAGTCCTGTAGGGTGGTTTCACCATGGACACGAGGACGGGTTGTGCTCTGTGATTCGCTCTGCGCCTGGCAAGCAGTCGAATGCCCAGGCACTCCTCTTAAAGACTCGGGCACATCTGACTGCACACGATTTCTTGGCACCATGTCTTGGCTTTGTCTCGCTCCTTCGAGGTTGAAGCTTCTGGTCCCGACTGCAAGCACGAACGGCGGTACGGGAAGATGTCACGGCCCTGTTTTGGAAGCCTTTCCGCATTAAAGTCAAGTTTTTGAGTTCCAGCTATGTTTAGGAGGCGTGGACTCAACCCATCGAACTGAGTTTGGAGGGAGCAGCATCCTCGCGTTCATAATCACTATTCCGATCTGATGCGCAGTCAGTGCAGTAAGGCCTTGCATGTTCGGCGAAACTCAAGTTGCTTCTCCTTTTCATTACCTTCCACTCCCACGACACAGCTGCCCTTCCGGTAACACTTGCAGTCAAGGAGCAGTTTCACTCCGAGGATCTCAACCTGTGCTGCCCGCAGCCAGCGGCACGTCGGCAAACAGAAACTTTCCGACAGACTCGCCTCCGGTTCCAGTGCACCCTCCTCCCTCAGGAGCTCATTTAGAACCTGGCAGGAAGACGCAGGAAGTGTCGCCTGTGCATGGATTTTGCTCCATCGCCGTCCTCGAGCTGCCCGGAGCTTAGCCGCAGTGGACCAGGTAGGCGGAGCAGCGAAGAGCGGCGTGGTGCAGAAAGCTCCTGCAACGAGCTAGGAAGTTGCGCGCCAGTTTGCCACGACAACGCCTGTCTGTCTACTGCCGTCAGAATAGCTGCTAACAGACGCTAACAGCTGATAACAGACGCTTACATCTGCCCTGATCTCTCCTGCAGTCCATAAGCTCGCACTTCGTGCTGCCTTCGACACGTGCACACGAACATGCAAGCTCGGGTGTCGCTAGAAATTTCTCTCACCATCCCCGTCTGGTTGCACAAATGCATGGTCTCCGATGCTGAACTGATTCTGGGGTCTGTGCCGGATGGAGTGGTAACAGTTGGCAAGCCAGCTGTGAAAGATGTAGTTCTTGGCGCTGAACTGCCAGTGAATCGCCGCACATGCGTGTCAGGCTGGAAGTCGATGACATAATGTTCGGACTGCTGGCCTCACTGAGCTCATCAGCAAGATCGCTTACGATAGAGCGAACCTGCCCAGTGACACCCACCTAACTCATGCGGGACTGCAGTACAGCAAGCTTCCGGCCCCAAAATGCTCCAGCCTAGGTTGTAGACTTTCATGCTAGCACCATGAACAAAAGACCAAACATGGGCTGTAACAGCGGGAGGTGGTGTGGCGGCTGCAGTAGTCCACACGAGCACAGCGCCGCCAAACCGTCAACCAGAACCGTAGTGCTAGCTAGCATCGGCAGGGTTGTCGCCAGTGAAGCTGGAATAGGCAACATGTCGACAAAATTTGCAGTCTCAGAGCCCTAGATCATGGCAGTAACGTTTCAGAGACGACAGGTCATCATCGACATGGCAGCTGTGCGACCGTCAGGAACGAGTGAGCCACCTGTTGGTCCTGATCTTTGGCATAGGTCCTCACGATCTCCATGCAAACGGACCTCCAGTCAATGGCTTGTTTTGCCACTGCTGAACAACATGAAGCATTCCGAGCAAGGGAACTGAACGAGGGGATGCTCTGACCTGTTGGCGCCTTCAACATGCTGGGCTAGGCACATCCGGATTCGCTTCTCCACATGTGGCAGCGAGGCATCTGTCTTCTCGAGGTCGTCTTCCGTGAAAGCCTCAGCCTCAACTCGACTCCACACCCAAAGATTTTGCACGAAGCTTCTTGCACGCACAGCGAACTCCTCCTTTCAGAAAGTGCCAGAGCAGACGAGCAAGGCAGCAGTGGCAAAGCAGCGGCAGCTTCCTACTCACCACAGTTCTATCCCGTTCTGCCTTTAGGGCATCGTATTGGTCCAGGACATGAGAAAAGCCGTAACATGCTAATACTGAGAATTATGCCACAGAGCCTGTACTGCAGTGCTGCAGTAGGTCTGACATGGGCACAGTCTCTCCGTCTCCACGAACTTATGAGCATGGACTGCTCCATCTGCGGACAGCGTATGGTCTCATCATGTGTGCTGCGTTGGAAAACTCTGAGCGGAGCACCATGCCCGAAGAGAGTCACGAGCTTCTCGGCTCAGAATGCTGCGGCATCTGCCGCTGCACGGAACTCGTGCGACACAAAGGAACACGGAACTAAACATAGATGGGGCGCCATGACTTCTGCTGGAGTTCAGCGCGCTGGCTACAAATACAGTTCAACGGCTGCTTGCTGGATACTGAGTCGAGGTCGCTGCGAGTCGTCACGTTTGATCCACATGCGGGGCTGCAAGCCGTGTCCTATACGGCTACTTTTCATGCAAGCAAAGCGAGAACATCTTGCCGAGTTCTTTGACTCAGCCGAGGCATCATCCGTGCGGACCTTTGAAGAGCTCTCTGCAGTCTCTTGTGCCCTAATTTTCTTGGGATCTGTAGCAGAGGATTGGCGGGGCATCTTGCGGAATATTGTCAGGCATTCTCTGTGACTTCGTGGTGCGAGAAAGCTGATCCGTCGGTCGGCATTGAGTGACCGGCTTTTCGCAGGTGCCTTGGCATCGGGCAGCCAGGCCTGTCTGTCACCGCAAGAGCTTGGAGCTTCAACTTCGATGCAGCCTTTCCGTAAAATAGTGTGGTACCGGACACCTCCTGCCTGGCCAAGAATTCTTTACGTGGTTGCCTGCCCTTAACAAATTTAAATGCAATTCAATAGCGCTCGAATCTGAGCACCGCCAGTTGGCAGCGACACCCTCCCATTGCTCGCCGGCACTACATTGACTGCATACTCAAGGCACGCTTCTTTCTCTGTGCCTTACGCGATTTACGGTCATACTTTACGCACGTGCATGTGCATGTGCCTGCGGATCTATTTATGCTTGCACTTGTGGGCTGCTGCTGTCCCGGCCGCTACACTTCGAGCCGGCCTTCTCCATGCGACCGCTTGCGTGTAGTATCGAGACCTGGGACATTGAAACCATGCTTTACAGAGATTGGACATTTGCCCACGGTATGCTGCAGCCTTGGGCAGATATTGACCAAACTTTGCGATTTCGGGTTCGCACACGGAAGACTTCTCCCCCTGGTGGTCCCGTCATCTCAGCATCCTTGAGATGAGACAGCCGGGTAGCTGGACACCATTGCGTCACTGTGCTGCGAAGTCTCTACAGCTTCAGTAATTTGAGGCATCAGCGTTCCTTGTTTCCACACGCTCACCGGCTCGGCCTGATTTCAGCTGCGAGCCGGTGCAAATGAAGGTAAGAGCTCGCGCGAGCCACGTCACTCTGCAAGTCGTGCCCATGACTGCTGAGTGGCTGACTGATGTACCACCACGTGAACGAATTTGGAGTCGGGGCTGCCTTCTTGCAATCTCGTCTCACTGCGTGTACCTTCATCGACACTTGCGACTGGCCTCTGCCTTGCGCTTCTTGGCCGGTGGTGCATCTACAAACAGGTTGGCAAGCAAATGCATATCACGGGCTGCGACAAATACTCTTGCGTGATAGCATGGACCTCTTTCGGGTCCGGCAGTCAGATGCCCGCGCAACTGGCCGACTACCCAATGCCTCACTGGGCAAGGACTCTCAAACTCGCTCCGCCATAAACAACGTATGTCGAAACAAGAAGGATGCGACGCGCTCATGCTGAAAGGTCTTGGTACTTCTGGTCATGCATGGACCCCCGGTCAAGCTGGGCCTGCGACCCAACTCCCTTCAGCATGTGCAGGGATGACAGAGTCAAATTGTCTGCGCCAGGTAGGCAAAAATGTCGCTGAAATCAAGCATGTTGCCGACATGACAGTCGTTGACGATCATCGAACGAGAATTTCGACCGGAAGAGAGGCGAAGTGGCTTGCGTAGTGTGTGAGTGGAGGGGTTGGATTTTCATGCTTGTTCTTGGCTTATGCAGACGTTTTAGAGAGATCAGGAATGGATTAGGCAAGTCCCTGGTCGCCGGAAGCTGTTGAACATTGTGGGCGTTGCTGCCTCGAGGCTGTCAGGTGTCGTAGTCTAACTGACAGCATGCTAAGTGGGCAAGGGAGCTTAACGACTGAGAAAATTTAGGCAAAGCGGATTATCTTGAAAATGCGGGTCCTTTGCAATCACAGCCTGGAAATGCGCAACCTGAATATGTTTCCACAGTGCAGTCGTGCAGAGATAAACCTTTAGAGGCACTCGTCTTGCTGAACACATCTCGGACAGCAAACTGCACGTGGCCACAAGTAGCACGAAACACGGCTAGCCGCCGGAGACAGTCTTAGTGGCCTCCCCGCTCCAAGCTCTCCTGCACGGCACGCTTGGCCTTGCGCAGCGCCGGTGCCTGGGAACGGGAGTCGATCGGGGACACGAGTCTTGGAAACCCGGCGGCCTGTGAGCATCCGAACTTCGGGTTCGACATAAGTGCCCCACTGAACCCTAAGACTCTAAGCCTATCTTGGAAACATCCAACAGGAGCCGGTCAGCCAAAGTGTCGAGAGGACAGGAGTGCTGGGGCTTTGCACTGTGGTTCCTGATTGCAGCTACAACGGTTAAATGTTGCTCCACTGACAACCTTCCTCTAAGTTTCAGACACCTGGGAACTGGAAGCATTGAAAGATGTCTCAGTCGCTGACATGGTGTGCGTCTTCCCCTGTGTTCTTATGCCGTGCAACTGCAGCCGCATGAGCCTCGGGCTTTTACAGCTGCTTCCCTGGAGGAGCCAACGGCAGGCGCGACTTCGCCGACTTGCACTTTGCTGAATGGACAGCTTCCACTCTCGCGGGTGATGATCTGAATCTAAGGTGAAGTCACGATCGAAGGCAGGCATGAGATCGGCGGCACGTGGATCCGTCTCCGCCCTGCAGAAATGTGCGTCTGCAGACGTTGACACCCGACACTCAAGCGACCACCCATGAATGCGCCAAAGCTGAGCAGGCCGCGAAACTGATTCCTGCTGGGGCTGTCCTTTTGTGCCATTTGCGGCTGGGCCTCAAAAGTCCATGTTTCTAAGCTTATGGCCTCGCTGCCCGACGACCCAAGACGAAAGCCGCTTTGGATTACACATGAGGCCACGTGACCGCGTGTACGCACATCGTTTTAGTTGCGCTCCGAAGTCTCAAAGGCCCCGGGCTCTGGCCAAGCCGTGCCTCAGCCGCGGCGGCTGCGCGCCGTCGCCTCGGGCTGGGTCTCTTAGACATCCCTGCTTCTGACTCGCATCTGCGCTCTCTTTAGCAACGAGAGTTTGTCAGGAATGATGTGCAACCAAAGCATGTCTGTGTGTGTGTGCATGTGTTGTTGCATTTGATTCTTTGGATACGGCTACTGCTTCCTTTCTCGCTGCATGCAGCTGGCGCCGACACTGGGGACATCAGCTTCGGCTGCTTGTTGAGGATGCTGAGGCAGCAGCTTCTCTGAAGCATCCATTCGGCAGCCAAGAAAGCAACTTGAGTTGGAAGCTTTATCTTTCGGTAGATCTTGCTGTTGCGGTTAGTTGCTCACCAATGTAGTTCCGCACGATTAAAGCTTCGCTGATAGCTTAAGATATGTGTACGCTATTGTACGCTCATATCAACGGATATCCAGAACACGGCTGGCAAAGAGCTGCATTTGTGTGTCGTCGGATTGACATGTTCATGCAATGCAAAGGCTCGGTCCTGTCACAAGAGCAAAGGCATCCAATGTGAGGCAAGCTGTCATGACTGTCACTGGTTGTCCCATTCAACGGCCAGCTCTCCTGCCTTAATATCTCGGTGCACCACCTTCTGTGCGTGCAGATATTGAAGAGCAGACTGCGCGGGCGGACACGCACTAAGACGGATGGTGAAGTAGTGCTGCCTCCACTACCAGGTCCAGCACGAGACTTAAACGACTGTGGGCTGTCAAGGCGGTGCCGTCTGAGACGCAAACGCTAGCAAACCTACTCGTTGCTAGCTGCTGCGGGGCGCACCAGCACATGGCAAGTCGCGTGCACCGCCTGCTTTTCAGTGAAGCCGCGCCCAGTTGTCTGGCCAGGGGATGTGAATATGTGCAGGACTGGGGAAACTGAGAGCTGGAACGCGAAAGCCTAAACATGTTCAGGACAAGTTCCAAGTTCCTGTCTGCTAAGATACATAAGGGCTCGAGCCTTTGACTGGGCCACGATGGCATCGAAAAGATCGCCGCCACGGCAGTACCTGAAGTCCAAGATACTCGCGCAGACGACATGCTCGTTCTTACCTGCATCGAAATCGTCGCGTGGGCAGTCAAGATTCCGGACGTTAATCGTGTTCGCCCAGCAGCTACACAGTGGGTGTAGGCACCACCAGCGCAACCCACACAGGTGCAACCGCTGAACGACAGCAGCGGGCGCACTCGAGTATCAGAGTCACGGTGCTGGATTCATCAAAATATTCCAGGAGCTGGCAAGGACAAGAACATGCTCTCAGAACACAGCGTGCAGGTCCCTCTACCCTTGTCCTGTAGTACACAATCTAATGCCACAATTTTCAGCTAATCCGACCCTGTTGTGGCAGGGTTGCAGACACACGACAAGACATGATTTCCAGCTCGCAAACGTAGGGGGATGACAACCCAAACTTCAGCCGCTGCAGTACTGAGTACCGTAGAAAGCTTCTTGCCTCGCAGATGTGCGGGTGCTTCATAGTCAGGTGAAGCTTGACCTGCAACTCATGGTAGTGAAGTCAACGTGTGACCTGTGAGTGAGAAAGGAGACCTACGATAAATTCTCTCAGACAGTCATTCCCTGCACATCGGCACGTCACTTTTCTCGGCAAGCTCTTGCATCAGCCAATTCCAGACCTGACGTGGGAGCAACTGGACAGCTGTCACCTTGCTGCCAAGCACCACGAGTCGGTGCAGCATGTACCGCGACAGAGCCGGCCAGTCCTTGCCAACGGCATCGCTTCCTCGTTCAGGTCCCGACGCTGATAGCAGTAAAACCTGCAGGCTCAACTACAATGTCTTATTCTGTGGCATGAGACGGTTGGACTCTCTGTTGATGATTGGAACCTATATTTCCTTTGGAATCATGCTTGCAGATGGGTTGGTACGCTCACCAGGGGTACGAGTCGTGAGAAACGCTTACGCTTGCTCCGCGCGGAGGGGCTCAAACTTAGTTACGTACGACTGAGACTGTGCAGGATGGGGATGCAGATGCCATACTCACATGTTCAGTTTCACATCACAAACCCGTCCGATGCTTTTCATGGCCTGCCGAAACCATGTTTTTTACCGTAGATATACACATCTAAAGCATGACGTCGCCACTTCACGTTGGATCGGGCAGCTGCGAATCTCGCTTCAGGAGGGCTTCTGGGCCGTTGTCCCGGCCTGTGTCCTGCTTCGGCTGCCCAGCTACAAGCCTCAGCAGACATTCGGAATTCGACATGTTCTAAGCTCGTTCTTAGTCGGCCCTTCAGGGACCGGCCAAGGCTGGAGTTGCGATGTCCTGGAAAGGGAAATCATCTTTCTGGCCTCACGAGAACGAGCCAGCAGAACTGCCCATGATTGCCGCGGCATCTCATGCGGGACGGGTGGCCCTTCCATATGTTGCGAAGGTCCTGTCATGCAACGGCGGTGCAAGAAAAAGGCCAAAAAGCCTAGCGACAAGGTGTATAGCTGGAGCCGCAAGTTTCTGTACGAACGAGGCAGGTCGGCTCTCCTCATAGCTCAGCACTCGGCAGCCAGGCTGACAGAGCTGCAGGAACTGCCTGTTTGAACAGGCACCCTTGTCCATCCTTGTTCTGTAAGATCCAATAGACGTTGAAGTATTGAACCCAAAACGACAAGTCAGTGTGTCTACAGTTGAACAAACGCAGCTTACGAAGGCAAACTACAAGGGTTTTAGCACTGACGTCCCCTGCAAGGTAACGCCAGGGGCCAACATGGTGAACTGTTCCCAATGCTGCAGGATGGCACGAATCGCTCTGGGACGCAGTACCAAGCCGGCCTCAGGCTTGGCCAAGAGGCTGCTGGCAAGCAAACCTCAGAGGCCATGAATCGACAAAAGGCCTAGCGGATAGCAGGTCGACATGAGGCACTTGGCAGAAGAAGAATCACTACAAAGTTACAGAGATGGTCAGGGCGCCGGCATGCAAGAAGATCAGCGTCGCTGCTGAAACCTCAGGGCAAGATGCACCTGAACTCCGGTGTCGGATCGAAACACGAGCGTTCCAACCTCTTCAGGTGTTACCAGCTTCAGGAAATCGCCGTGACGCGCCTGCGAGACCGACTTAAGGCTCAGAAGATTGAGATTCCGGTGATTTTCCCCCCCGCATGTACCATCAAATGCCGGGTCATTTCATATGGCCTCCAGGAAAGCATGCGGCGGCCCTCCCACGCGAAGCAGCCGGAACTGAAGCGCAGGCAAGAGACAGAAACACTCTGAAGAGTGTTTGTTGGCCGACGAAGGTGCCGCAACAACTGTCGCAGTGTCGTGGCCCTGCCTGGCCTTCGCATCCAGGAAGCTCATGTTGAACAGATCCGGGCACCTCCGCCGCGGCCAGGGGTTTGCAACAGTCCCGTGATGTTCGGTCCGACTAGTGGCCTAGGGCCTAGTGGGCCTAGTGGCCTAGTGGTCTGCCAAGGCACCGATGGCTGAGACGTTCACTGGCATCTGCTGCCAAAGAGAATCGCTGCCAGGCCAGCTCCACACCTGGATTCGTCTTCGACCCTGGACCCGGACCCTGCTCTGGCGGCCTTCTCGTTACCGTGGAGGTTCAAGTGAAATTGGCTTAGGTCGTTGGCATACAATCTCGGTTCGACAAGTTGATTCCGAAGTTTGGGCCAAATGCATGCAACTTTGCCGCATGGATGGCCCTGTCAATGGGTTTTGCTCTCTCGACCCTCGAAAAGGAAAACCCTCCTCGATCCAGGCTTGAGCTGCTGAGAGATGGCTTGAGCCGTATAGGGATTGGAAGCTTGCCATGCTTGCCATGCTCACGAGCTGTACGATTGCGCCCCCGTGTGCTGCCCCAGTGGGGTTTGGCCCGGCCTAGAACGGTGGCCCCTGCGAGGAAGAGATGAAGGCCAACGCGCCCGCGCCCCATGCCAAGCTCAAGCGCCACCTTGCGGGCATTTAAAAAAACACACACGCAAGAAGATCCCAATGGGAACTGCCTCGTGATTTCGGCCGGGCATACCCTGAGGGAGGAAGTGTAAACCTTTCAGCATCAACTCCCGAATCGGCATGCTCAGCAGCGTGTTAAAGCCGACTCCCGCCTGGTGCCATGAGAGCCAAAGCTTTCTCGGTGCCAGCAGGGAGAAGCTCCTGCTGTCAAGTGTTCGGGATCCCACGAAGCGCGAAGCCTTGCAAAGGCACGGCGGGGTCCCCGTATTGGAGAAGCTGCGTCCCACCGATCCTCCCAAACGCTTAGGGCTTAGGTCGAATGGTGCAAGCTCGCAGTTCTCTGGCGGGCGGACCAGGCAGCCCTGGCTGCATCCATCACGCCCGTCCATGCAAACCTCTGTCACTGTCCGGGCACGTGCACGCAGAAATTACCCCATGGTTATGGGTGGTTTTTATGTGTTGCTTGCACAAGGTCGATTTGCCTGGACTGCTGCGGAGTGCGGCGCACCGATTGTGGATCCTTCCATCGAGGGCCAATCAATGCACACGGATCCACTCACCAAGCCATGACCAGAAACTCTCCCCAGCTCATCCGCCGGTGGCACTGACTGGACACAGATCCAGTCCTCGTCATAGGCCTTGCCGGATGTCCCACGTGGAGTCACAGAAGCTGTGGAACGATGCCATGCAATTTCGTGCAGGAGAATGAAGATTCCAAGGTAAGACAACTGCCAGTGCAAGTCGGTCCAGAATGCTCTGCGGCACCTGGCCGGCTATGAATTGCACTCATGGCTGCTGATTGGAGACATACTGGGCCCCTGGGCCCAGCCTCCCAGTCAACTTTCTCCTGACGCAGCCTGGCATGGGTGCCGGATGCAGGCTTGATGATCTGAGTTAGTAAGCATGTCTAGGCCAGGAATTCGAAGAACCTGCAGAGATGACAGCCTGGCCTGGCCTGGGTGCTGCGAAGGCTGGAAAGTCCGAAGTGGCTGTGGCCTCGCGCTCCGCGAAGCCCATCGGACCGGTGAGCATCCTACGACGGCCTACGGCCCTGCGGGGCGGATAAGGCCCGGCCTGGCTTTGGGTCACAGGAGCTGACAGCATCCTTGCTCCTCTGAGATCGCGGGCCCATTGAACTGCAACCTGGCCACTGGAGATACCTGGAATTTCTTGGAGTCCTGAAGGGCTATCGCCGTCTTGGCTGGCAGCCTTCAGAGCAGCAAGGCGCCTGAGCACTCGAAGGCGCTGGAGCTGCACACAGTTCATGTGCAGCTGCGTGAACTTCAAACAGCGTGGCTGACCCACAGTGCATCCCGGTGCCTCGCAATCTCTTGCTCCCTCTTCTCAAGTGCTGCTGCTACCTGGCAGGCTGCTAGGTTGAACCAGCTTGCTTGGTCACAGGTTACACAAGCTTTTCCTAATCACGTCGGCGCCGGCATCTGCAACTCCACCGGAATCAGAGTCTCCTTGGGATGTCAAGCATGTCGGGGGTAACGCCCAGCTCGCCCGGGCCCAGCTCGCCTGGAGCAGCGCCTTGAGCCTGACAGCGGCTGTCAGCGATGTCATCCGTGGTGCGACTGCTGCTGTGAAGTTTTACTGCAGTCGGAGGCCTGCAAAGGCAGGGCAGTCACCGACAGACTCCTGCAGGGACAGAATCGTTGTCCGTCTGGCACTCGGATGAGAAGCTCGCCATGCAGGGTTGGCACCCCATGGAACCACTGCTGTGCAGCTGCAACCCTTGCCTGAAGCTGGGCTGTAGATCATGATCTGCTTCTTCTCGCCCCAATTCCAGTAGCCTTGATGTTGCATTCAGGGGAGATGCTCGAATGGAAGTATCACAACCGGCACATGCAGAACGCGGCAACGTCGGGATGGAGCTATGGCACCGAGTGGTTTTCAATGCTTTTAGGGGCCGGACCGTGGAGGCGCAAAAACTATGTTCTCAGCCATCGGCTTTGCTGAGACTGGCATCATGGTGGGCACATTTTGTGTGCATGGACAAGCATAAAATTACAACAAACATAACATGCAACTGTCCGTCCATCCATCCGTCCATCCGTCCATCCATGCATCCGTGCATCTGTCCACGCATCCATGCATGCATCCATCCATCCATCCATCCATCCATTTATGCATCCATCCATCCATCCATCCATCCATCCATGTGTGCATGCGTACATGTGTGTAGGTATGCCTGACTGCCTGCATGCCTGCCTGCATACGTACATGCATTCCCAAGTACTCAGCATTACCATTGCCATTACCATCACCTACACTACTTACAGATGTACATGAGTGCATGAATACATGCATGCATGCATACAGACATGCATATATAATATATAGGGTATACGTACGTTCATCGCAACATAGATACAGCGATACAGACGGACGGACGGACATGCAGCCATCTACTGATTTACATGTAGACAGCCCGCACGGATGGGACTGTATGACTGAAATTCTTGACAGCGCCCGGGGCAGCTCAACATCTGAGGTCGGCATGTGCAAGGTGCAGGACAGAAAGGCATCGAAATGCATCGAAGTGTTATGCCTACAGGAAACGCAGCAAGTGTCAGTGGCCTGATGCACAGGCATGGTTAGCTTGCAGCCAGTGACATGCTCTCGATAACGGGATGCTTTCGGGCAAGCTTGCTCGGTGGATATGCTGCCATCTGCCACACTAGCGAACATGAGAGATTTAGTGCTCTGATCTGTGTCCGACTAGCCGTGATGACAGCTGGCAACAGTTGTAGGGTACTGAAGAAAATTACTGTGCATTGCAAGTCTGTCGTCATGCTGGATCCGAAAGGGGCAGCAACGGTACTTCTGTCGCAACATTCAAAGTCTCAATCAATGCAGAAGGCTCCACAGCGCAGCAAAGTAAAAACGTCGCCTCACCATCGTCTCCCAGCAAATACTTCATGTCTCTGGGCTGCAAGCGTCCCTGCAGCAGAGCAAGAACTTCGCCACCCGCAAAGACAAGGGAAGCAGGAAACGTGCAGCTCTTCGTGTGCAAAGCGAATGTGAGCGGAAGAAGTACATGAAACGGCATTCCCTTGTCGTGCCTTGCGTACTATTTTGGCTGCCATCTCCTCGCTCAGCTCGGCTGTGATGATTCCAGGCATGTTCAGCAACTGAATCGTGTGGAGCTTGTCATGTTGCACTCAACCCTCTGTGGAGTCCTTGTGAGGGCCCGAGCCAGACTTTAGAGTGCACCTTGCGATGCAGAAGGTTTGGGGTCAATCTGTTCTGTCCCATACGAACCATGTATCTTCTTCATCACTGAGACTAGTCTCCCAATAACAGAACAGAACATCTACGCTCAGCAAGCAAAACCCTCATGTAAGCGCTACTACTCCATGTAGCCTGACACCAGCACGACTTCAGATTCAGAAGAATCTGGCCAAGGCTTGCTCATACTCCCAAGACAGATGACAAGTTCCCTGTGCTGGACAGAAGTCCGCCAGTGGCACTCAGACTCTACGTTGACCCCTCACTGCCTCCAGACCAGTCCGAAGGTGCCCTCGCCCAGTGGCCCGTTCCCCACCAGAGCGTACCTGCCGCGCGGTCTGAGTTTGGGTTGCTGCTGCAGTGCTGCATGCTCCGGACCGCAGCGATGCACCGAAGACTTTAAGGTAATTACTTGGCTTTGATGCAGATCGTCTTCCTGCCGCATGACCAGATGTGCATCCGGCAAAGAATGGCAGAGTCAAGAGCGTCGTCCCATCCCAGGCTCACTTGTTCTCAAAGTCAGACTTGTCTGGAATATTCTCCTCTGTGTCTACTAAGTCGCTGAAGAGGTTGGAGCAGCTTTCCTGCCGTTGCTACGCAGCCGCGGCCGGGCAAGAAAAGCTTCTCACAATCTTGCTGGTAGACGCTATACCAGGCATATCCAGGCATGGTGCCGAAATTCAGCATGACTTGATACAGCCTCTCGAACCATGATGTTGTCGCCACCTTTCAGGTCGTCTGGCAAGTTCAAGGGTACCCGGAGCGTCTAGAAGAGGTACACATCAACCATCGACATCCACAGAGGGTTAGTCCCTCGCTTCGCCCAGATCCCGGCTCACTGCAGTAACATCAGTGTCGGTCTCATACTACCACTACCAAGCCTGCGCCTGTACTGGAAGCCTGTGGCGAAGGCACCTTCAAGGAGAGTCTGCAGACATCTGGAGACCGGAAAAAAGCATCTTTGAGTTCCGAGATGAAACGAAGCTGAGCGCACCACCCACGGCTCAGACACGCATTCGGGAGCACCAGCATAGCCTGCCAGGGAGGAGGGAGATTGCTTGGCAAACAGGATCAAGTCGCCACTCCATTCAGGTCTGAGACTGCCTCCATCCGCCAGCTCGCCCAGGTTCGAGGCAGAATCGCGCCGATAGCCGCCCTTACCGAACAAAAGATGAGACTTGGGGTCCTGCAAGGTGTCAGGAGTCGGGGACACCGTGGCTTGGGCCCCGGCCAAGCAGTCAAGCGCTACTTTCGATGGCCTGAGCAGCTGCGATTGCGGCCGATGAACATCCATCAAGCAGCTCACAGTGGTGCAGATCGTAACCAGCTGAAGATAAGCCCTTCTAAAAACATCGTACAGCGACAAAGCCCGAGACCTCCGTTCACGGATGGTGGGTGCGAGCAGGTCTGACAAAGAGGCAGTAGTCTGGAGGCCTGGCATGAGCGATCATCAAAACCAATCCGCTGGAGGTTTCGATGGACCCAGCTTGGCTCAAGTCGAGAGCCTCCGGTCGATCCTTCTGGGAAAATCTGGCTGCCTTCCCCGGAAAGCCTCTCACACTGCAACACAAACTCCATGACACCGTCACAGAAGGTGTAAGCTCAATCAAGGTGCTTGGACTGAAGGCGAGAGGAGGAGGACCGGCGATCCTGAGCAGGCAGCAGCAACAAGGAGAGGAAGATCTCATGATGTCGACACTACCGCTATCGTGAACTGGCAGTCAGATGCAACATGTGCTGGAGTTAAGGCTGCTTCGCCAAAGGCGCCTTTCGCCGACCTGACGAGACATCTGAATTGGCATCATATTCGTGACTCCCTACCCCCCTTCTTCAGAGTGGATCTCCCTATGGTCGTGCTCTGCCTAAGCCACTCACTCATCAATACGAGACATGGAGCAACGACGTCAGAGTCTCAGCAACTTTCTCAACTTCCTCAAGGCTCAACCTCTGTGTTGCACGTGTCTCCACCCACTGCAGCGACGATCGTCCAGAGTCCTGCTCTACTTCCTGCCCTCATGCCTGAAGCGCAACTCGTCAGGGTCGTAGGCGACGAAGTTCTGCCAGCAGTGTGCATCAGCAACTGTAACTGTTCGATACAGTAACTGGCCAAATTTAGCTGTACGGTCCACAGGATCCGCATGTGTGTGTGTGTAATGATCTGTGGGGCAGCGTTACTGCTTGAAGCCATAGTACCAGCGACATACCAGCAGGCCGCCTCTATGATGGAGACTCCACCGGTTGGCGGCACGACGTCTCGTTTGACTGCGGCCGGCGCAGGTGATTCTGTTGCAGCAGTGTTGTACATCCCCGCATGGCACATGCACGATCAAAGAAACTGCGAGCTGCTACCTGCTAACAGAAGACGATAATGCACGGGCGATGTAGCAGACTGACGATGTAGGAGACTGCTGCCACTCTCGTCCCGATTTCTGCTTGAACTCTCGGCGTCACACCAAGATCAGCGATGTGGACAGCTCGATTCACGCGCTCCTCCCATCGAACCTCGACCAAGACCAGTGCTCTATCAAACATAGTTGGCATCAAACCTCGACATTGATTCCATGCAACTTTGTTGTGGCTGCTGCAGCCTAGCCTGAAGCTGAGAAGACCATGCCCGACGTCAGAGTTTAAGATGAGAGTCGGACAGCAGACGAATTAGTTGAAGACGCTCGAAAAATCAGCATTGTGGCAGCATGGGAGATCCCATGGATTTTGATTTTTGCCTACTACCAGCATACGAGATCGTCTCAAGGTTACTCGTGATTGACGCTTGACTGATGCCGCTGTGGCAAAAATCACTTGTTGGAGAAGCACCCTCCCTGCGGCCCTAATCCACTTGTCTTGTCAACATATCGTGTTCGGATTATCGTATCTCAATCCTTGCTGAAAGCCGCACTGCACGCTAATCCGCTGAGGCCACAGGCCGCATCTTGGAGATTAGATCAGATACCCTCCACCTAATCCTCCTCCCTGCAGCCCGAAGCCTCCCCGCCCCTCCCCGCCATTACCCTGCCCCCCTCCGCTTTAAATTATATTTCGAACCGGGGGGTTTGGGTCCAGGCGCCCGACACCGCGACCATTGTTGTCGCAGATGACGTACTTGTACTCGACGACTGCTCCCTGCAACAAAAATCTCCCCGAGGAGTTTCGGAACAGTGACAGGGCTTCCGCGGCATGCAGACTAAAGCACAACTTCCTGCTTCATAAGGTTATGACCTCCTCTAAGGGGAGGATGTCCGTCTGCTTCCACACAGGGAAGTCGCTCGCTGAGGTGTGCAGCACGAGACCTCGCGCATTTCGGGAGAAGTGTGTGACGACTGATTTTTGGGATCTCTTGATGCGCATGCCACCAAGCTTTCATTCTGAGTCAAGCGCACAGCACTGGAAAGACCAATGGCTTGATTCTTAACACTGCTCTTGTTCCGAGTCAGCCACCTTTGTGCGTGTCCCATGAGCCGAGCGCACCAATGCTTCCTGCATTGGCGATACAACTATGACGAAACCCAAGCAGCATCTTCATCTGCAAACAACAGCGCAGTGAAGTGTGTGGAGCAAGACTACAGTGACTACTCTGGAGCTCTTATCGCAGCACGAGACAATCTGATGCTCGGAACTTCTCGGCCTACTACTCGGACATGCAGGCCAACACCTGGGCCCGAGCCATCGCTGAGTCTTCGATTGACTATGTGCGATGTGACGGCGCAAGAAGAGCTCAGGCAACAGCATCCAAAGATATTCCAACCCCGTCAAAGACAGGTGCGATCGGTTGCAATCAAGTGGCGAGTGTCGGCGCATTTCACGGAAAACGATACCTGGCAGTTCAAGGTGGAGCCACGCGCTCCGTCTACACAAAATGTCACCAAGAATGACAAGTCAAATTGGAGCCATGTCTTCCGTCGGACCTCTGGCCCTATGGCACTTGAAACAACCTACCAAAAACTCGTTTTATTCACGAAAACCACATTAAACTCGCGGTTTTCAGGCGTTCGACAAGAATGCTCCAACAATGAGCGATACACCCTTCGTGCGCAGTAAACACGCCACCCGCCTTCTTCTTCTTCTTCTTGATGAAGTTGTGGTTGTTGCTGAAGTTGTGGTTGTGGTTGTGGTGTTGTTGTTGGTGCTGGTGCTGTTGTTGTTGTTGTCCTTGTTGTGGCTGTTGTGGCTGTTGTGGCTGTTGTGGCTGTTGTGGTTGTTGTTGTTGTTGTTGTTGTTGTTGTTGTTGTTGTTGTTGTTGTTGTGTTCATTGTTCTTGTCTTTGTTCTTGTTGTTTGGGTTGCTGCTGTTTGGTTTGTTTGGTATGTTGTTGTTTGGCTTATCGTTGCTTGGGAAGTTGTTGATTGGTGTCGTGTTGTTTGGTTTGCTCTTGCCCGGGTTGTTTTTGTGTTGTTTGTTGTTGTTTGGATTGCTGTTGTTTAGCGTGTCGTTAACTGAAGTGTTTTGTTGTGAGTTGTGTTTTTTGTTTGTTATTGTTTGTTTGGTTTTGTTGTGGTTGTGATTGTGGTGGTGGTTGTTGTTGGTGGTGGCGCTGTTGTTGCTGTTGTTCTTGTTGATGTTGATGATGTTCACGCTGTTGTTGGTGTTTTTTTGTAGTCGTAGTGGTGGTGGTGGCGAACTTAGTATAGAAGCAGTAGAAGCATCCGCAGCAGTATTGGAGCATACTGAGCAGAAGTACAAAAGCAATACTCCATACTGGGGAGCAACACTCTGCAGCTACGAAGCTGATAAGTTATACGACTCTTCATGTGGAGTAACTCATGCTACAAAACGGCCGGAGAGTAGAGGCCCACACTGAAAGCCACATGCGCGCAAAACCAAAACTGTGCTGAGATTCAGGTTCCCATGGCTATAGTCTATAGTGACTACCCCATATAAGGCCGTCGGAAAAGGGCCTGGCGCGGCATCAAGGCAGGCCCGCAGGGCGCTTCTCCCCTTGGCTGAGGGCGGGTCCGGAGCGCTGTTGTGCGACTAGGAAACAGCAATGTTCTTTGTAAGGTTGGTGTCCTCTTGCCGCCAAGGGGCCGCTCTGCTGATGCCAGAATTCGGTGTGGAAAACCCTACTGCCCGGATGTATAGGGCCTACAAAAGTATAGGCCTTTTAAGACCGTGTCTTCGGGACACATGCGGGATGCCTTTAGTGACTTTAGTGCTAACAGCGAAACTTGTGATCTGGTCTGGCTTTTACAAGATAGGCATCTCTGTCGTGCCTTGCGGGGTGTAGTGGCGCGTGACGTTAATGCAGAATTCTTTCCAATGACGGATCGGCACTGGCCTGATCAGCGCACTTGGAGTACTAAGCATGATGTCGAGCACCCTGTTGGCCAGCTGTTCTGCGCGGCAGGCAAGGTCATGAAGCTGTGAAAATCAGAGAGCCTTTCGCAGCAGCCTTTGTTGCACCACAGCCGTTTATCGTTTATTATCTGCGCAGCTGCTTGTATGTATAGGTGGTGTCTTGGACCTGACCTCGACTCTTGCTGCATATCTGATGCTTCCCAAACTCAAGGCAAGAGCAAGCCGCAAGCGAAGCAAGGCATGTACCTAATTGCCGTAATTAGGTGCATGTCGCTGAATGCGGTTCCTTCTGCCCGAGCTACATGTCAGAAAACCCATTTCTCCGAGGGAGCCCATCAGGTCAGGTGCTTCGGTTTCAGCACTACTCACTGCGCTGGGCCGCTAGGCCGCCGGTGCTGCTCTGAGTGGCAGTCAAAGCCTGTGGCTCATTGTCATTTCGTGCCATCCTCCTGCAGGGCTTTTTCCAAGGCAATCGGAAATCCCCGTGAGCAGCAGGGACAGCTCCATGAATCGTGTCCTTTGACAGAGGAGTCTTGGTGCACACCAGTGTGTAGGTGGTTCCAAAATGGGCACGCTCATCCTTGGTCCAACAAAGATCCAGAGAGAAAGCCGGAGCTGAGCAGTATCTGAGAGAAACGCCAAAGCGATATGAAGCCCGGCTTCCTTTACAAGCTTGGCGATGTCACGATTCGCGTAACACCTGCGGACATGCGCCTACTTCAAGCTGTGATGAAACAAACATCCCTCCCTGTGAGGTGCAAGACGACTGGCAACGAAGTAGTAAGGATCGCACCCATACCGTTCTACATGTCGGTGTATGCCGCGATTCAGCATACTCTGAACGAACTCCCTGGCATATAGATCTCAGAGCACAGGCATTCGCAACTATGTAGAGCACAATAAACTGGCGGGGACAGCAAGCCGGTGGAAACCTTTCTCTGAGGTGCGCCGATCTAGAAAATCCTCCAGAAGACTGGCAGGTGTTGTGCGAAATCCTAGGCATCAGCCCAAGCCGCCCAAGTTGGGCAAGGACAAGACAAGTCGATCCGCGAAACGCAATCCGCGTTCTGCATAGCCTGGGACGGCATCTGTAAATGCTGTACAAGAAAGGGTATGAGGCTCGGCAGGTACCGGCACCAGCAGGCTGATGCGCAACATTGCGCAACTCTGCAACAGCCGAAAGCCGCCATCATGTGCGGCAACAGCAAATTATATCAATACCGACACCAGAAATTATGAATCATGTCGAAGAGTAAAGATCGTCGCAGGCGTTAAGCGCGAAAGGGTTTCTGGAGAGAGAACTAGTTGAGCCGCACTTCAGCTGCCGTTGCCATCGCTGTCGAGCCTCTCAGGTGCAGAGACAGCCGCGTGGCTGCGCAATTCCCGCAGCTCAGAAAGCCGTCTCTGCACCCGAAGAGATACCAAAACTTCGGCAGAAGCCAGCCCGAAGCTCCATCGAAGCTCTCACTGCAACTACTGACTGTTGACTCTGTTGGCTATCTGGTTCCTCATTCTAACATGAATGAGTTCTTTACTGTTGCATCATGCTCCGGGCATCTTCTAGCCACCACCTCGGACTTTTGGAGCCAGGCGAGTTGAAAGCGTTTGCTTTTCAGCCTGTGCAGCCAGACTCCCAGACCCCGCACCGATAATTAGCGTGCAGCGTGCAAGCTCTGCCAAGAGCCCACGGGGTTCCTGTGTTCGGTCTTTCCATCGCGGTCGCCGGCGGCTGGCGGAGCAAGCAATCTCTGCGAGTGAAGAGCATGCACCATGCAAGGGGCATCCTTTGGATGCAGGCCCGTGATGTGGAGAGCTTTTCGGAAAGCATGGCACAGCTCAATGCTTATGTGAATACGACGTGGGATTCGCATTCGCAGCGGTTCTGAGGCATTCCGAAACTTTCCACGTCAAGGGTCGTGCTCACAGCTGCGATCACTCCCGCTGCCCAGGAACTGCACTCTGCCTGCCCGGTTGGGTTGACCACATCTGGGCGGAAAGAGTGCCAAGATGGCCAGTAGGACTGCATCATCCACGTCAACGCTGTCATCCTTTCTTTTCGAGTGTTAGCTACATTCGCGCACACTGATTTATGGCACTTGGTTCGTCTGTCTGTCTGTCTGCATTTGTTTAGACCGCAGGCCTCGTTGCCCCCGTTTTTCCCAGGCACTGTCCTGCCTCTCTTTACAGTTGGCTCGTGCAGGTCTCCTGGAGCAGGCAGAAGCCCGCACCTGCGTTGCGCATCGAGCTTTGCAAAACGTTAAGGGGCAAGTTTCCCGTCACATGGCCAAGCATGCACTTTGGTCGCGTCGCCAGGGCAACTCATGTCATGCTACTCGTGAGCGCCAAGCTGTTGCAAGCAAGTTTGTCATCGAAGGACTCGATCTTGGGAATCCTTGACAAAGCGAAGCTGTGGCGAGCGCGGGCACTCAATTACGCTAGAAGCTTGTTGAGCCGTCGGCGGTGGGCTTTGAGCCTCCTCAGTGCTGGCCTCGGTCGATTAATTCTGCCAGAAGCTGCAGACGCGACACTTTCGAAGTGCTCGGTGGCCGACTGAATCCGTTTTGGTTGACTCCGTTGTGACTGAAGACTTCGAGGTCGTCAGGAGAACTTGCCTGAACAGAGTTCAGAAACAGAAAGGCTTCGAAGTGCTGTCAAGAGGCAGAGGCCGGGACATGACCGTTACCGGCTTGCACGGTGACGGCAACGACAAGCCTTGGCAAGAAGCGCCTCGGCAACGCCAGGATGTACCGGTGACTCATGGCGCCGCAGAGCTCTGGGAGCTCTTTGCGCTTTAGACTGGCACCGAGGACATGAAGCAAAGCACCACGCAGGGCGACCTCCAGCATGCAGCGCTGCCCTTTGCAACAGCACATAGCCTGGGCCCTTGGGCCTCGTCGCAATCCCACCGTCGCAAGCGACTAACAAGTCGTGCATCAATGGCGGAAAGACCTTCACAGCACGTGCCTAAGCGCCTGTGAGAAACGCAACAGTCAAAAGACATGGAATGCACATTTGGGCCAAAGCCGTAGAACGCCCCCGCCATCTGGCCGCAAATAGCACCTCTCTCTAGCACATTCGGGCTTCTGATGTCCGTTTGTTTAACCCCTGGCCAAGGGCTTTGAACTAGAATGATTCATTCCAAGCTGCTGCTACCTACTGTTTCCCTCCTCGAAGGCATGACTTGAAGCCCCCGAACAATCTCAGCTTGCCTGTCGAGTCTGCGTCGCCCAAGAAATTCACACATCGTGTTAGTGCCTCCACAGGCAATGCACTGAGTTGCAAGACTCTGGGTGTATTGAGGTCTTGAATTTTGCTACCGAGTCATTCCGACCAGACCATCGCTCATGGCCGGCACGCGGCCTCCATAAAGGAGGCGGTGTGATAGAAACTGTGCATTGCTATGGCCAGACCTGCAGCCAGTACAGGTCACACACGTAGCAGCCAAGGAGCAATGACACGACCAGAAGTATACTCCTCCCAAACGTCAGAGAAAAAAAACAAGGTGGTGCCATCTGAATGCACACATGTCATAACCACGAAGAGTTGCCATCCAAGCTGTAGGCACCGACGTAATTTGGGCTCACCTTGAAAGAGAGAGCAAAGAAACGGAAAGATTGACTGGTTCCACCACTCTGAGAGCTGCTGAGTCACCGGGTAACCGTTGTAGCTGGAGCCTCTCGCCTCGAGAGTCTCCTTGAGAAAAGGACCCGCAGCATCCTCGACGTTTGCCATGCAGACAGGACGGCAGCACTGCATCAAGTCAAAGCCTGCTCTGGATGTGTCTGGGCCCGTTGCTCGCCAGTTCCAGCATCGCTCTCGGCTACCCTGCACCCAAGCCCCCTTAAGCATGGTGCACGGAAGGCGCTTTTTGCCCTTTTTTCTCGGTGTCTGCGTTTGAGGCAGGAGGATTCTTGATGCTTTTCCACGGAGCAGCTTAGAATCAGACTGCCGAAGGAAGGCAGGGGGATATCAAGTCAAGTGTAGCGACACTTCGAGCAACTCCGGAGTTCGCCTCCGGCTCTGCCGAGTGAAGCAGGCGGACCTGGTCTCCAAGGGGAGCCCTACATCGTCACATCGTTTCATTTCGTCAGGACACCAGGCTTCAAACGAGCTTTGCGTGCGGTGCCGAAGGCCAGTCCCAGCGCAAGTAGTCCTGGCACATGGCCGCATGGACGAAATACCCAAATCAGCAAAACCAGGAATCGGAGGCTGCGGGTTTAGCACTGGGCCCGTCCATGCATGCCGAAGCAGAGGGTACCAGAACAGTTGTGCTATGGCATAATCAGTCTTTAACTCAATGCCTCAAAGTGCCAATACAGTAGAAGCTTGTCTCCTATCTGCCATCACAACGAGCACAGAAGGCCTCTACTGTATCATCCAGGAACGCTGCTGCTGTCTCGGTGGCTGCACCTGTCAGTCAATCTGAACCCCAGGTTCCCGCGGCAGTCCTCCGTCTGCATGCTGCATGCTTTGGGCGGAAGTCTTAAGACTGTGAGGCACAGAAGGAATCGGGATTCTGGCGGTCTCTGTTGATGGCTCGCGCGAGAAAGAACCTCCCCGACAAGTGTAGTTGCTGTTGCAGAGAGCAACAAACTGTTGCTTGGGGCCCGGCCCCAGGAAGTGGCAAGCAGCCGCAGCTACTGCCCCAGGGTGCGTTGTTCGAGAGGACTCTTCACCTCAGGCCGAATAGCCGCACGCAGCCCGGGACATGCGGGACATGCACAGCTTACGCTCCTGTGTGAGGCTGGCACTCATCTCTGCAGCCTGCTATCAGCCACAGAAATCCCAAGCTTCAGAAGCATCGTTGCAAGCTGCCTGGACCAACCACCAGAAAACTGCAAAGCCAAGGCTTTGCCCCTGCCTTCTCTGGGTCGGCACTGAAAAAGATTGGCACTGGCGCGAGGCCTCGCAGGCTATACAACGTGGCAGCAGTCGTCGCGGCGGCAAGCAAGAGAGCTGGACGGAGCAGCAGCAGTAGAAGTATCAGAAGCAGCAGCAGCAGCAGCAAGAGGAGGAGGAGATAGTAGCAATAGGAGATAGTAGCAGTAGGAGGTGGTGGTGGTAGTAGCAGTAGCAGTAGGAGATAGTAGGAGCAGGAGTAGGAGTAGTAGGGGTGGGAGTGGCAGTAGGATTAGGGGCCGGAGTCGTAGCAGTAGTAGTAGTAGCAGTAGTAGTAGGAGGAGGACTTTTAGTAGTAGTAGTAGTAGTAGTAGTAGTCGTAGTACTCGTCGTAGTTGTAGTAGCAGTAGCAGCAGCAGCAGCAGTGGCAGCAGCAGTGGCAGTGGCAGTGGCAGTGGCAGTGGCAGTGGCAGTGGCAGTGGCAGTGGCAGTGGCAGTGGCAGTAGCAGTAGCAGCAGTAGTAGCAGTAGTAGCAGTAGTAGCAGTAGTAGCAGTAGTAGCAGTAGTAGCAGTAGTAGCAGTAGTAGCAGTAGTAGCAGTAGTAGCAGTAGTAGTAGTAGCAGTAGTAGTAGTAGTAGTGGTTGTAGTAGAAGAAGTAGTAGTAGTAGTGGTGGTAGTAGGAGTAGAAATAGAGCGTGTTGGGAAACAAGGTCCGATGTTCGACCAAGTCAATCTTGCTGATCTTGGTCAGCTGATCTTTCTTGGCGGCGGGGGGGGGGGGGGGGGGGGGGGGGGGGGTGGGGGGGGGGGGGGGGGGGGGCAAGATTGCAGTACCAAGCCTGCCCAAAAACCCCTAGTGCACCACTTGCACCACTTGGGGTGGGGGGAGGGAGGGAGTGGCCAGGGCGCATGATTAGCAAAATCTTGGTCCCAAACTGTGCAACTCTTTTCCCAACGCACTGTAATAGTAGTAGTGGTACTAGTAGTAGTAGTAGTAGTAGTAGTAGTAGTAGTAGTAGTAGTAGTAGTAGTAGTAGTAGTAGTAGTAGTAGTAGTAGTAGTAGTACAGAAAACCACGTCATGGGGGCCTGCGTTTTTATATATCCAAGTAAAAGATTCTGTATGGTTTAGTGTATATATATATATATACACATATCGAATATGCATATCCTAAGATTCGCACACAGCGAACATACATGTGATGTAGAGTTGTCCAAGTAGTTCGCTGCAATATAGCAACTTTAAACTTTGTAAGTGAGTAAACACTGGGGAGAGTGATAAGGACTGTATAGATTATCCTGTACAAATTGAGGAAGGCGCGTGCGCGCAGGGAGGAAATGGAGGTGGAGGGCGCGGGGGGGGGCGGGGGGGGGGGGGGTGGGGGGGGGGGGGGTGGTGGGGGGGGGGGGGGGCGCAAAAAAAAAAAAAAAAAAAAATATATATATATTTTTTTTTTTTTTTTTTTGCGCCCCCCCCCCCCAGCAGCCTCCAGTCCTCTGAAGACTTCAGGCCTCCAGGGCCTCGTGTCTCCCCTCAAGCCTCCCAAGCCTCCAGCCTTGAGCTTGCAAGCCTCTGGCCCTAGACACCTCGTTTGAAGGACGACCATGACTTGAAAGTTGCTCTTTCTGCCCAAACGAATTACTGTTGCCAATGTGCATGGACTGTAGATATCCATGTGTTTACATATGCATATATACATATATACATATATACATATATACATATATATATACACATGTATGTGTATATATATATACATATATGTATATAGACATGTACATGTATATCTATATGTATAAATACAGATATATTCTATGTAACATATTTATGTGTGTCTCAAACAATGTGAACCACGCACATAGATTATAGTGGAATCCGCGCAAGGTTCTATGGGCACATACATCAAAAGATAGATGGGCAAACCTGGAGACTTAGAGTGTAAAGGTGTTGAGAGGCATGTCACCTCTTGCACGGTCATTGCTTTTCAAGCAATGAATTCGCGTTTACATGCAACACCAAATTTAGAGTGGGATAAAGGCCAAAAACATTCGAATTATGAAACAAAATCGTGATGAGATATCTAATGGGTCAGGAACTATGACCCCAACTTTGGATGGGAAATGATGGATGGCATCCCTCACATCTTATGAGGGAGAAGTCATGCTCCCGCACATCCAAAGTTTTAACATGTTATGAATAAGATCAGCGGGCAGGTAGTCAGCATTCATGCAAGTGGCTAGGGATCATGGGTTCTAAATATGCCATACATTGGAGCAATTGAGATAATGCAAAACAAGCAGGATGCTGTAGGTGGCTCGGAAGCCACCTTGAAAAAAACTCTAGCCTGTATGCATGGTTCACGCGAAGCTCAAAAGCTAATGGACGATGTTGGTCATAATTTTGAACATGTGATGGAGATAACAAGCCCCAAAATCAAGCCCATCAGACAATGCGATGCGGTGCTCCAAATCGGGCAGGTCGGGTGCCCCTAATCTCCAAAGAAAAAAGATGGGTTCCAATCCCGAAGCCGCAATATGTTTGACTGCACTCATAGAATTCCAAATTCCGATAAGAGATGGTGATTGGCATATCTGGTGCAGAAGGCCTTAGCAACAGCTAGTGGGTGACCAACCCAAAAAAGCCGTGTCTAAATCATAAATCATAGAAGAGATGACGGCGGCGATCCGAATTTGACAAGAACATGGTGGGTGGTGGACGTTGTAAGCCCTAATCAAGCTGACTGGGTGCCAGCTAACAGCAGGTAATATGTGGTGGATTCAGCACTTGTTTCACGTGACAAGATATGAGGGGCATCAAATTTCAATAAAGGGTCAGAGACTTGAAGATAATGGTTATTCATAGATTTAGACTTGCAAGATGCTATGATATACTATGGGTGGCAAGCTCCTCCCCTCAGCCATAATAAGAGGGGAATGGTTTGCGGGTCTATAAGTGGCAAACTGACACCCTATCAGCTGTTTTTTTTTGGATCCGAAGCTCAATTTCTGTGATGGAGTTGATGATCCCCTGAGCACCAAACCCTCCGAAAATACCAATAATCCCTGAAGGCCCCAAAATTATCAAGTTGGGTTCCAAACCCGCAACCTGAAAACGAATGACGGGTTTCAATCTCTAAACGCGAACATCATCGGCACCAAACTTCCTCGGCATCCCAAATTCTAATGAGAGATGCTGGATGGTATGTCCGGAACCCGAGCTTTGGGCACGTAGACCGTATGCATTTGAACTACAAGAAGAGATGACGGCTGGCAAACCCAACATGTAAAGCGGTGGCCAACACTATCTGGAATTGAATATAGGAAAAAACTTTCGAACTTTGAAACTAAATCGTAGTGTTACCTAATGGGCCAGCAACTATGTTCCGAACCTTGGACAGGAAATGATGGATGACATCCCCCACACCAGACATCTTATCAGGGTTGAACCCATCTAAAGCTTTAACATGTTATGATGAAGAGCAGTGGGTCAGTAGCCAACATTCAGGTGGCTAGCCAGACCAAGTAATTAATACGGAAGAAGGTGCCCCAAATTTTCATATCTTGAAGTGTACACCGAATGACGCTGTGTAATGAGAAGTCTGAAACTTTGGAAACAGTGCGCAGTCATATAACCGAACCGAAAATGATATTACGGGCGGCGATCCCGAATACTCTGACAAGGGGATTTGGCTCCCGAAACCCCAAACTCTCACCCTACTGCACGACTAGGTTAGTCACCTACCATATAATGAAACAGTCTAGACATCAGACAGAAAATAAGAAAGCCAAGAAAGCATGCGGAATACTTGAGAATTGGAGCTGCTTGCACAACCCATCATGTCCAGCAAAAGCTTTCCCATTCCCGTAGAATCGGCATGGAACATGTGTAAGTGCAACCAAAACAGCAAGGACAGGCTTGAAAAACCACGTGCCATGCATAAAACCTCCTGGAAAACACGGGCCCCCATGACGTTGTGTACTCCAGTAGTAGTACTACTAGTACTACTACTAGTACTAGTACTACTAGTACTACTACTACTACTACTACTACTACTACTACTACTACTACTACTACTACTACTACTACTACTACTACTACTACTACTACTACTACACTCTGCTACTCCTACTCCTGCTTCCACTCCTACAGCTACGGCTATTGCTGTTGCTACTGAATGATGCTCCTGAATGATACTAGGTACTTGGTGGGAAGGATGTTTGCATTTGCAGCAACTCTCCTCCGTGATGTCGTACTTGGAGATGGGAGAGATGAGACGCTTCCAAACAGTGGTTGAGTGCAATGTCGCGCTGACTGCTGCATAGCAGCGATGTCGTCAAATGCTATAGCCAGCTTTTCCAATCCGGGCACCAGGCGCATTATGGAGCCGTTTCCAGCATCCTGGCAAGATGCTTTCCGTCTAGAAGCTGCAGCAGCTTCACTTTAATCTACGATTATTTGCACTGGGCACACTGTCTTTCGCCTGTACATATTCATAGGTTAGTATGCAAAGTATAAGATACAAAACATACATGCAATGGCAGTTGCTTTCATCATATATGTTTGTATGTGTGTAGCGTGGGTACCTGGGGGCAACAGAGATACCCGTCCACATGGCCGACTCAAAGTGGCGAAACTGGAAGTCTGGGAAGCTAACTTCAGACTGACGTCTACGCAGATTCTGCACGCCTCTCGGTTTGATTCGAAGCGCGGCGACGGGCCTGTACTCATGAAGACTTAGAGTGAAAACACAACAGGAAGTACGTGTCTGTAAGAAATCCTCCCGATCCGGGCGAAAGGCTGGAGTCCATCACGTCCTGCGTCAACGACGATGCGGACTCCGAATGAATCGCATCTCGTCATCATGTCCATATGAAGAAGACAATCTTGCAGAGGCAATCCTTGAGCGAAACTGCCACGTTGCCCCCAAGGCCCACAGAGTTTCTGCGCTCCGGGTCCTAGCCACGGCGAGCTTCAAGCATCGTAGACCGAGGTACCAGTACCAGTGCGCTGAGAAGGCGACTCGACGAAATGCATTGTTGTAGCCACGGTGCCACCAGTTCCAGAAGCGCACACGAATGTCGGCCCCGTCGTATCCTCGAAGACATGTTCGAGCTCCCAAAACAAGGTCGTTACCAGTTTGTGTGCAACCTGGAGCTAGGCTTTTCGGCGGGCCTCGGCACACCAGGAGCGAATCCGCCAAGCAGAGCCCCATGGAGGTGTCGTCTGTCCACCTCGACAAAGAGCGCTCAGGCTCTGCAAAGCCGAGCGTGGGAACTGTTGGGCGCGAGCTGGCCAGGCTTCAGCTTGAACTTGTTGAAGCTCCCCTCCACCTACGAGTACAAACCACAGCAATTACGAAGACGACGTGGAAGCCACCGTCCAAGACTGCACATAACTCTTGCCTCCGGAACGGGTCCTTTGCCGCTTTGGCACTCTGCGAGACAGGTGGCGGGCTCTTTTCCCAGCTGTGGTCATTCAACAACACACGGGAAAATGGCCAAGTGCTTATCTGCGGCTGCACGATTTACGAACTGAGGGCGATACTGCAGTGCTGGGGCTTTGGCTCCCGCTATTGCGTTTCCCAAAACCTGACACCATGCCTGGCAAAACAAATTTCCGAACCCCTTTCGACAAACCCGCGGCCTCACAGCCTACCTGCCTGCCTCCCCCTATCCTGATCCCTAAACTACAGGCTTGGCACGATTCTCTCTGTTTCTGTCTTTCTGACGTTCAGGCGCCAAACAGGCAGAGCAGAGTGCAATGTTTGCAAACTCATGGAAAAAGCCACTCGCAAAAGCGACTTCCAGACTTTGCGCATCCTTTTCCAACGGAGCTCAAAGGCGGACGTCTATTTGCTTTGGGCGATTGGGCCGCTGACATACTGGAGAGGCACACCGCGGCACCCACACACAACATCATCGCACGTCTGCTTCGTCACGTCCGTCGGCTTCCGCATCCAACCTATCTGCAATCCGAGGCCGTTCGGAGCCCTGCCTGTGGGATAGCAACAGAGCCCAACATATGCCGTACTTAGCATCAAGCTCCATCAAGCTGCCTTCCTTCTTGGAGTCTGAAGACGGATGTCTGTTCAACTGCACATCTTCGATTCTGCGCCACGCATGACGATTGATGTTCACAGGAAGCCGCAAAAGCGTGCTGCGTGCCCAAACTGTCAAGCGGCATGCGAAATGTTGGGGTCATTGGAGCCAATCCGAAGACAACACTTCCCAGCCTGCAGTGTCTTGGGATTGAAGCGTGAGCCCTGGCCAGCAGGCTTTCCGAAGCTCATTAGCTGGTGGCAAGGGGTGTGTGCCTTCTTTCCAACAGGCAGGAACTCCAGAAAGGCACCGATAGAGTCCGCCACGGCCATGCCAACCATGGCTCCCATCTGGGCTCAAAGTCAAGCTCGAAATGAGACTCGCACCCTTTGCGCTCCGAGGCCAGGGCTGCGCGCTCTGCAGTCATCTCTGCTGAGGCCAAGCGCAAGACCTGCCAAGAGGCACGTGTAGGCCTTTCAGGATGATGAGACACTCCAACCGCGCTCGTGCGAGCCTCCCGCTTGATCCGAGGAGGCAACGAATCCAAAATGCTAAACTTCTGGACATCGGGAGCAAAGCTGCCTTCGTTCGAAGGCGAACAGGATCCGAAGAGGTCAGGAGCAGCTGAGGTTATTGATATTCGTCGCTTGACGTAGCTGACCGAAACAAGTTCCAAGACGACTTTAAGACTGCAGTCCGGCAGTGGCACGGACACCGACTAAGTCTGAGCTTTGGGCCCACATCCAAGCGGTCCCGACCTGGCGGCTTCAGGCTTGAGAAGCCACATCTCTCGTTATGACAGATCACAGAAGCTGAGCTGGCTGGCACAGCAAAGCAGCTGCACGCAAGGTGATCGACTGCAGGGCGTCCTGCACGACTTCACAGCTGGCTGACTTCGGCAGCCACACTTCGTACACGCTCGCGGTCGCGGACCTACCCCACGCAGACGGACACTCAGCCGTGCAGACTCTGGCCTGCAGCTCGTCCGGTGCAAGCTCGGGAGGTGGTCCTGAAAACGATATGACTGGCTCGCTCTCCAGCATCTTCAAGACGACCCACCCCTACAAGTTCGCCAGCTGTCTGCTGACTACATTAATCAACTAACGCATTCTGCAAAGTATGAGGCAAGCGCCAGGGCAACATGCTGCTGCAATGCGAAAAGAGACTAAAGGCAAAGTCCCCAAGACAGGATCAACCTATCATGCATCGCCTGGTAGCCACCACTACTAGTACTCCAGTACTGGTGCAGCAGAGCCTTTGATCCCCTTGCAAGCACCAACGTCCCAAAATGAGCGATCGCAAAGACTTTGCGCAAGCGGTGTCCCCACGTCCACGCAGAGCTTTGTCGCCGCAGAAGGCCGGGGAGGCATCTAGCACAAGCCTCTCGCTGATTCAACACAGCCCGCACTTTGCACGGCTGTGGCAACATGGTACCAAGCTGGTCGTGATGCTGGCTGGACTGCAACTGACTATGATGAAACTGTGCACACTCAGAAGCACTCTTCAGGCTTCTACATTACAGGGCTTCCCGAAACTCAGAACTCTCTTCCGAAGCATGACTTGCAGGCGCACCTCCCCTGCGGGCTTTTGCCGAAACATTCCCCGCTTCCGATGTCTGCAAGATGTGTATCCAACCGATATTGATATAGCTGATTCTGCTGCGATGTCAGTACAAATACACAGCCGGAAACACAGCGGCCGCAGTGCTACTTGACAAGATGTCGTGCAAAGGAACTTACACGTCAACCAAATGTCATGTATCGCGGCCCGAGCCGGTGCTGCTCTCTACCAGAGCTTGAAAAGCAGGGAAGTTTGACACATTGGCGACGTCCAAAGCGAGCTCGTGCCGCAAACACAGGAGCGGGAGGCCACTGGGATGCACCGTGCTCTAAGAGCAGGACCTCAGGGCATTCAGAGTAGCGACTCTAAACCCCAATTCATGTCCGCGTTGCACCTGGCCGTCGTCTTTGACAACCCGGCGCATCTCTTGCAATGCCTCGCACGAACACCACGAGACACCACTCGGCCGAGTGGGATGATTCCTGATGGGGTTGGGGGATTCGGATTCGCCGTGAATTTCGGTTTCGACCTGGACAGGCTGCTCGAAGGAGCAAATGCCAAAGGTGTCCACGACGGTATCGAAAGAACCGTCCTAGCCGGAGAGTCGTAAAGGAGACAGTTGCGGATCAGATGACGAGCAGAAAGCAGGCTGAACGCGCCCACGGCCGATGCTCCTTGAAGTCCATCTGATGCGTGCTCGCCAGCTTCAGTCGGAGAGGGATTGGCTGGCACAATTCCATCGCATTGATCGATCATCAGCACACGAGTGGACCTCCGAACTGACTTGCGAAGGCTCGCTTACCAAGCACGCCTCCAATTCCTTCCTCTTCTCTCCGGCAACCTGCCAGCGCCGTTGGTTCAAAGGCCATGCGACATGCCATGGCTACAACGAAAGAGCAGCGATGCGCCTCCAGCATCTCTCGGCTGAAGTCGATTGCTGTAAGGCTCGTCACCTTCCCAGCATTGTAGTACCTGCAACTGCAAGCATACGCTGGGCTAGCAGGCAGACAAAGGCTTTCAGAGGCAGTTTACATGTAATCGAGCTGTAAAGCATTAGCTGTGGCGTTCTGCCCGGGTCACGAGAAGTTTCGTCCGCTTCCCACGGCGACTTCGAGAACGTTGCCTAAGCTCCAGGCCCAAACCTCAAACATCTGCCTAGGGCCTAGAAGGTCTTGAGCACTGCCAGGAATGTGCGCCGTGCAGTCGCAGCAGTGAGGAACGACTCTGCGATCTTAGAACGGCACCTGACGCACGTTGGACCAATCTCCTGCGGTGAGCATCGACTTCTCGCTGAGAGCACAAAGATGGAGTAGCCAACATCTGATGTCGCACCACTTGCGATCTTGCTTTCGGGCGCACAGCCTTCGCATTCTTCCGATTCCGGCAAGGAATTCGTCGGAACGAACCTGTCATTGCAAGCATCACAAGGACGTGTTTGCCTGGATGCGAGAGCCTGTCTGAAGCCTCCTGAGTACAAAAGCACAAGGATCGAAGCAGCAGCAAATCCACAACCTGTCCACAACGAGGCCGCAAGGACCGTGACGTCCCATCTTTTGGCCTTAGGCGCAAGGCTCTGAGCCTCCGTCTCCCAGCACGCTGTGCCTTTCATGCATCTATGCCGTTTATGCCCCTGTCATCCGTCCACGTCTTCCCAGTTTGACTGTCGATATTACTCTCCCGATAGATGGACTTCACGGGACAGATGGTGACTTGGCTGCTGACACACGGGGTCTCAGAAGGTCGTCGATATGCTGCTTGGCCAGTTCAGGCTGAGTCTTTTTCAAGACATCGCTGGTGCTTGCATGAAAATCGATATTCCCATTCATTTGCACAAGGCTTTGATTCGGTTCATCTTCATCTGGGAGAACATTGAGGACTTGTACAGGCCGGCTCGGGGCCAAGCAGCTCAGCGCCCGGCCAACGTGTCGAAGGTCTCCTTTCGGGCCCTTTCTGAGGGACACGGCCTGCGTGCTGTTCGAGGAGTTGTCCGCGAAATACTCTGCTTCTGTTGGTGTCGCAAGCGAGTTTGTTGAGGATGAGATGAGTGTGAAAGAAAAGCGCAGCTCCGGCTTCGGTGCTGGAGGCGAGGCAAAGAGCTGGGTCACCACGAAGGCGCCGACGCAACCGCTGCCTTGCTGGAACGGGGCATGGTGAGCTTTCACAAAATTTGAGGCTCTTTCGTCTCGGCATCCGGCTCAGTGCTCCTAGAGCCACGGCCGCTTGGCGCCCCGAGGGCGCCGCCATTCGAGGTCGGCAAGCTTGAGATAAGAAGGGAGTGACAGGTCACAAGATGCTTGGCTCAAGGGGGCCCGTGAGGATACACGTGAAGTCGAGCTATGCAGCGCAACAAGAGTTAAAGCATGTAAAAACAGGCTACAGTAGCTACTTCAGGGTGAGAACGCACGTACCATGCTCAAGCCTGAAGCTGCAATTGGCATCTGCGATCGCAGCCGCGACCTGCAAGTCCCATTAATGCACGCATCTGATGCAGGTGTTGAAGTGCCTGGCTGTCCTCCTCTCCAGCTGCAATTTGCTGCACCCGCGTGCAAGCGCGTGGTCATCCGCAGTCGGATCACACAGAAAAGGCGCAGGGTTCCCTGCGGCTTGTGCCTGTCGTGGCAGGTGCCAGCCTGAGAAGGCTTCAAATTTCCCGGCTGCTGTACATGGGAGCTGCATATGCAGGCTCCTGTGTCGAGTGCCAGAACCCTCGACGCTAGAGTTGCCAAGACGGCAAGCACCAGGACTGACGACCAACGACAACACCTCACCGAACAATCCAAGTAAGCTCTGCTCAGTTGACGGCAATCTTCGAGACACTTAGGCAGTGACTTGATATGTCGTTGCAGTATCCGAAGAGGAACCTCTTTCATTGCCCAAGTCTCAAAGAGAGCGAGCCGTGGCCCCGCTACAAATGCTGGGGCACTTCCTCGAGAGCTATAGGCTATAGAAATGCCGGTACCGAGAGGCCATCATGGGCCGAATTGCAAGATTCCAGGGCTGAAGGGCTTCCTCGTCTTTGTCAAAACGATTCGAAAAGCTACTTGCTTCGGCGAAGAGATTTCTGATCACACCATACAAACCGCAAGCTCACATGAACCCTGGAACCTTTTAAAATAGTTGCAGCTGTGTGCGTCATGCAGGACAAACGGGAGCGCGGCCCATTGCTGTTTTGGGGTCGCAGCCGGATCTTCAACAGATTTGCCCCGAGGGCTTGCAGCTGCGATCTTGCAGCCAAGCCCACGATCATGACGACATCACCCTAGCATGCCGGGATAACCTTGCTGAGGGCCGTTCAGTCTTGCACGTTCTACCTGCCTGAGAAATGCAGAAGTTATCCCTTGTGCTTCCTAGTGGGATGCTGAACACCTGTGAGCACACTTCCTGAAAATCTCTATACAAAGCGAGGTGATGTCAGGTCATACCTGTACGATGCGCCCAAGGCACACCTGAGCCGCGCAGATTTGTCGCAAGCACAGCAAGGCAGCGACTGGAGACTGCACTCAGAGATCCCCACACAATGTCCAGTGCAGAGAGCACCCCGATAACATCGCCATCATCATCGATGACCTCTCAAATCGTCGAAGGTCACGGAAGGAACCCGCGTGCGGCTCATCATGCGGCTGCTCGAATCTTCAATTCCAAAAAAACTGCAATCAAGCTTCGAGCAAGTGGTGCAGGTCGCACTCTGACATGACGAGTGCCGCCTGCCCAGGCACCACGTTGCAATGCATCGAACATTATGAGTACCAATGCTGCAGGCTGCATGCTACCCGACATCCACTTTCTACATGTTGCCTCCGCCAGCGTGGTGCTGCAGCCAATTGATCTCTGAGCAGCTGTCTTGTGCTCCTTGTCCGCTGCTTCAGCTGGATCCAGCTTTGATGAGCAGTCTCTCCCGGTTAGTAGAAAAACACTTTGGGAAGTCATGGTCTTCTCTCTGGGGCTTCGTCCTGCGTGTTAAGCCCTCGCAGCCATCCGGCGACTGTCGTGGTGTTGCCTTTCACAGCGACTCGTCTTCGTCTCGACTCTCGACTCGCCTCTTTGGTTCCGGAGGCCTCTGAGGTGCTCAGAGAAGGCACGCAAAGCATCGGCAGAAGTGATGACACCAAGGACGGCTCCGTGCTCCTGCAGTCTTTTCCAGGAGGCTTCTGACATTTGTGACGGGGCAGAGAGGTATGGTGAGGTTGTTTGGAAGGCAACAAGTTCGGGGTAAGTCTGAGCAAATGAAGCTTTTCGCTTTGGCATATCGTAGCGACGTTTCACCATCTCCGGGCAAATACGCACTGCAATTGCTCTTCTTTCCCAGGTCCTGTTGCCACTGCTCGTCCTCTTCAGTGAGCTCTTCCTCAGCTCACACTCTGTCATTGAGTCATACTGGCTCAGTGGGCTCTTTGTCTTGCGAGTGCGGCATTCAGAGCCGGCGAGGCACTTGCTCTTCAACTTTGCACACTGGCAGATCACCATCCAGTGCCTCGTCCACTGAGCTCGGTCCACCCGAGACGATCAGTGTGCAATTTTGCCGCGCATCCTTACGCCGTATGTGGTGGTCTTTAGCAGTGACAAGAAAGCGCATGGTCTGGGCTGGTCTAACTTGCCATTGCGGCGAAAAAGCAAAACTCAGCACTCCTTGCTGCAAAGAGGCATGCATTGTCTCGAATGCCTTCTGCAAGGAGTCCCGGAGCTTGCAGGTTGACCTAGGACAGCCAGCGGCGCATTGAGACTTACTCCAATCGAAAAAAGGTCCTTGCAGATTATTGACAAGACTCGAGTGCAGCCATGTGGTCTATGAAGGAACTGGGGAACAGCAAAATTGACCCAAATCCGTTTTAGTGTCATCTCGCTGTGATACTGCTGCAAAAAAGGTGCCGCATGCAGACATGCTCTGCGCTCCCTATACTGTAAACGATTATGTAGGTCTCTGACGCTCAGAGTCGGCGGTGGGCTGGCTTTGAAGCTTCAACTGAACATGCAAACTGCATAATACATATATACATGTTTATCATTTCCTGCGGCGATGCCTACTTGTGGGTCGGGCGGCACGAAAGCATTAACGGAGCCAAGCGGCACTCCAGTCCGGTCCTTCATAGCTTGCTCAACGGTAATTTCGGAGGCGGCAATCACGGAGTCTGCAGACGGACTGCCCTCACCGACGATGGCCCGCGTGGCGATGGTGTCAATGATGCCCCGGGCAATGTCCAATGCGGAGAGTATGCGAAGGGACTCTCCCTCTTCCTTGGCATGGACCAACATATGATGGCACGTGAAGCCAATGCCGTCTTCAGCAAGGCTGGTCATCTCAGCTGCAGCATCTGCTATGCTTGCAGTGGCTGGAAGTGTCAGAGCAGGAACCATGAAGCCAGGGAGACGGGCATAGCTGCCCATCAGCCACTCTCCAATTTGGCACTTCCATGGGGTGCCCTCCACCAAAGCAGCAAGAACGTCATTCTCAGTGAGGACACCTTGTACTCTGCCATCGTCCAACACAACTGCTGCCGTCCGCTCCGTCGACACAAGTGCATCCACTGCGTCTGACAGTGTGTAGCTCACAGTGACCGTTGCTGTTTCTCTTCTGGCCACGATGTCGCCCAGAGTGACTGCCTGTGTCCTGGCATCGCTCTCCAATTCTCTTTCCATTCTGTTTTTCCTCATCACAGCCCGTTTTTTGGGAGCAGGCTCTTCACATTTCACCTCTTCCAGTTCGACTTTGACCTCTGTTTTGATGGAGCTTGCTGCCGGATGCTCATCCGTCTCCTCCTTCTTGACAACCCTCTCTGCTTCTCGGCTTTTGTGCCTCCGCTCGACCTTGATTTGAGGTGCGCAGCTGGGTACTGCAACCGGTCCCGAGTTGCGGGAAACCTGAGTTCGCACGGCTGACACCCTTGGAACATGGAAGGAGCAGCTCAGCAGCTCTCTGAACCAGGCAGCCACGTGTTCCGGTGAGACGACCCCGACAACATTGCTTGTCCCGGGCTCCATTGCTACAAGATGGCGCACATTGCCTCAGTGGCAAGACATAACGTCAGAGTGGATGTTGCCACATGATGTCTGTCAGCATCTGCTATTCGACTCACTATCAGTACGAGATGCTCTCCGGTGCCGCCAGTGCATTCAGTGCATGAGACCTGCGAGACACTGTCGGAAAGACTCTGCTGAAAGCTCGTGCAAAAAAGACATTCTGCTTGAGCCGAGGGCAAATCTGCATCCGATGGGATGGCTTGGCCGTGGAGCGCCGGTCGGCCAGGTCTCAAGAGCTGTGAGTTCAACGTGGCGAGAACAGACTTGGATTTGTTTCCCCTCCCCGGCCTAGAGGCCAAGCGATCCCAAACATCGAGTGTGTGCGACAGCTGCTGATCGAAGGCCCACAGGGCATCCTCAGCGGCTGCTGATTGCATCTCGGTGTCAGGCCCAAGTGGCCCAAGTGCATTCTTCGACGAGAAGCTGCAACCGTCGCCAGGCCACGAATCCGGCTGCCATCCATGACCTGCTCACGTGGATTGGTTCATTGCTGAAATACCGCATCCTCGGCTAGCTGGTGACATGGACCCACCAACGGAGATGGCACGGTGCCCTACTTCACTCATTTCAGAATTGGGGCTTTGGGGATGCAGGGCAAACCAACCACAAAACACAAATGAGAGCGGTAGGCTCTTGTTTGCCAGTCACAGGGGCCACTTGCTGCCTAGGCGGGCGATAAAGTTCCGATAAAGTCACAAGTAATGTCCAACTGATTTGTAGTGATGGCAGACGGTAGCAAACGACTTGGCCTGGAGCACTTCGTTTCGATTCTCTTGGATCATTGGGTGAGAGGACCAGCAGCTGCAGGACATACTGGCTTGTTGCAGCCGCGAGCTGTCGCGACTTGTATTGCAATGCTTTCAGAGTAGCTTGATGAGTCTTCTTACGCTCACTGCCACAGTTACGATCGTCGCTATCTCTGCCATGATTTCAGGTGCTGCCAGTGTTGCTGTCTTTCGAACCTGCTTTATACAATTTCCCCGTCGCACCAGAGCAGCGCGGCTGGGCGACGCCAGCAGCTCCTTTCCGATTTCAAGGATCGGAATCTTTTCTCTCCCTTCACGGCTCCCGAAAAAATTCAACTTCAGGGTTGACGTCGGAAGGCTCCTGTAGCAGCTCGCGGACGGTGAAGCCGGGTCGCAATGCTGGAGCCTTTTGTCAGGGGCAGAAATTCGAAGTAGCTGCGCCTGTCGCGAGCTCCATTGTCCGGCCTGACCAACGGGCTCCATGACGTCGGAGACGTGAGCTCGGCCCAGGCCCAGGAGGTCAAGCAAGTGCTGCGCCTGTCGAATCCTCCTGCCTAGCCGCCTAGCCTGTGCAGCTGTGACGACTCGAGTGGGAGACTGAAGCAAGAATCAGGACAGCATCAGCTCATGCGGCGACATCAACCAACTTCATCCGACAGCTGCAGGCCGGGGATGTGATCGCAGGACAGATTCCAGGCCTGACCCTCAGCAAGAGCTAGCACAATGTTCCTGGCGGACAGCCTGGTTTCGAAGACCCGGAAGGAAGCCCACTGGAAGGGGCAAAGTGCTTGTCGGCTTGTCGGGAGCATGTTGGAAAGTACAGTGTCTCAGCCACTACGGGCAGAGCGTTGACCTGCGGGGACGCTTCGGCATATAATGTTCTCATCTTGCAGCATGCATGCCGCCTAGTGTCACCCAGATGAAGGGGGGAAGTAGGCTTAATGCCATGCCATAGCAGCTTCCGAGAAGACGGATGCATCAGAAATAGATTTTCGTTTGCGGCATCTTCGGTTGGTCCTGTCCCGCACTTAGTAATTAGTAACAGTAGTCAGTCAATCACAGATATCATTTGAACAAACTATGCATGACAAATGCGTGCTTCAATACTGCTTAAACTTCCCCCAGCCCGCTCCTTCTTTCAGGAGCAAGTTTCGATTCATGTCCATTCATGAAGATTCGATCTGTGAGAGCAAATACGAGCATCATCAGTCTAGGTCTGCGAGGCCGAGCGGCAATCCTCCTGCATACCCTGTGTTGGGCTGCCGCTCAACCAGCAGCTGCCTCAAACAGTCGCGGCCACGCTCTTGATTTGTGTGCACCACTGCCCTAATCTCAGGACCAACTGTGACAGTGCTCGGAGAGTGGTTGCAACAGCCTTGCGAGTCTCTGCAGGTCGCGGTCTCGGGCTCAAGAAGCTTACTCAGGCTTGAGCTGAGTCTCTACAGTAGGGTTCACGGTCAGACGGACACGGCAGAGCATCGTACCCGGTCTCTCCACCTAGTGACCTAGTGGCTTCCTCAGATGGACTATGGTTGACCCTTAAATACCCTTAAAGACGAGTCCTTGCACACGACCCACCCTTTCTCTCACTCTCACTCTCACTCTCTCTCTCGCTCTCTCTCTCTCTCTCTCTCTCTGTCTCTCTCTCTGCCAGGTAGGAAAGAGGCAGCGGACGCTACCCCTTCCGCACGCGAACGCGCACCTGCAGTCCGCAGGATTTGGTCCCCCCCTTTGACTTAGCCAAAGAGGGTTCAGCTGTACTTTCAGCTCGACGTCCTGCAATCGGACCGAGGAGCACAGGCGCACTGCTTATTCTCTCTCTCTCTCTACCGGGCTTGGGGATTGGGGCAGCGTCCAGGCCCCGCTCCCCGTGCAAAGCGCACACCCGCAGTTCGCGGGATGTCCGTTGCCCTCGTGGGAAGTTTGTCCCCCCGAGGCTCAGCTGGACAGAACTTGTGGGTTCTCCCATTCACTGTCCCCCCTTTGGATACACTGTAGGCGGGTGGACAGTGTGGGTTCCCCCCTTTTTTCTGCAGCTCTCTCAGCTTGTCTCTTTCTCAAACATGATTGTAAACGGAGGCTGTTACTCGCTCTGCAGACTGGAAGCTGAGGTCCCGGCCAACACATCACACGATTGCAAGTTAAAAGGATACAACATATAGTAACTCCCCCGTTATGCTTGGCCGAGGCTGCGCAGTATGGTATAACATTGTGAGACATGGGCTGCATGGGTGGCTGATTGACACAGGTGAATCCCCCCAGATACGAACTTTCTTTAATTCGACAGTGGTACTCCCCCGGCTGGTGTCAATAAGGCCCATGCTTCCCATAAAAGGCAGCCTGAAGTCGTCTCCTTCTATGGCTTCCCCCGTCATCATCGTCATGACGTGGGGATCGTGAGCGTGCTCTGTTGGCACTCAGTCCAGCTTGCCCCCCGTGTGGCGGTGAGTTCCAAGGCAGAGTCGCGGCTTCACTTTCGTCTTGCGTGGGGATGGTTGACATCTCCCCCACTTGGTTGACTGCTTGTTGCAGGCTCGCAGTCATCAGTTCAGCCATTTGTCCGGCTGTGAGGGCTCCATTCCCCCCATGCATCTCGGTGGGCTCGGTCTCGGTCGTTGCCTCCGCGTTGTTCTCGCGAAGCTCCGTCTGGATCTCGTCGGGCTCCACGGGCTGGTCGGTGTTGGCCGCCACGTTGCCGTTGTCGTTGGCTTCCCCCGTCTGCGTCTGTTCGTGCACTGCGTGGGCGCCCCCGAACATGGCTTGCTGCCATGCTTCCAGTGCTTGAAGTGTCTCCACTCACTATAAGTACCACGAGTTGGTCGTTGAGGAAGGGCACCGTATTTTTGAGTCTCCCCGCGGCTTGCAGCAGTCTTGTTGTCGCGGAGGATCGTTGCGAGGTGCGTGCTTGCCACTCGGTGGTGGCTTCCCCCGCAAAGGCAATTGCATCCGCCGGGTGTGCTGCAGTTGGGTCCTCTGCCATGACCATTGCTTCGCCCCTCTTGGTCGATAGGAGGGCTGCTGGCGCCAGTAGGTCATGTAGCTCGTTCCACCATGTGAGGGTGTTCCACTGTCTGTCTCCCCCCAATGTCCTGAGGATGACCTGGTCGATCTGGTGGTACGCAGCTGTGAGCTTGAGGGTGGCCTTGTTGAGGTTCTGCTCGCTGACATCCCCCGGCATTGGGTCTTTGAGCTCGGCTAGCCCAGTTTCTACCATGGCTCGTAGCTGGCTCAAGTCAGTTGCGTACTCCTCTGGTGCAAAGCCTTCTCCCCTCCTGACTCTCATCGAAGCCACAAAACGGTAGGCTTCGCTGAGTCCGGAGGGCCCTGCAAAAGCCGCCTGTGTCCCCCCAGGTCGTGAGTGAGGGAAGCTGTCAGCTTGTGTAAGCATCCTCAGCGCGATGGCACATATAGCTGAGATAAGTTCCCCGTCTCGGTTGTCAAGCCCGTCAGCGATCTCATGTATCATCTGTAATTGGGCCATCGCAGCTTGGATGGCGCCTCCTTGAGCAGCGAGGAGCGCTTGGGCATCCATGGGCCCGGTGGGGTCTGCCATTGCTGTCCCCCTCGGGTTGGTGGAGCTTGTAGCCGCGGCTCCTTCTGACGTGTGGCGGCGTCTGCGGAGCTGGTCTGCTAGTGGCGTCCGTCGTCGTCGTGGAACCAGACCGCAGTTTTCCTCGTCCGTGGTAGTGCCGTCGAGGTGGTTCCCCTCATCTTCCTGCGAACCTGCCGTTGGTGGCGTCGAGGGCGTGGTGGTAGTCGAGGTTGTAGTGGTGAATCTCCCCCTTTGCATGAGCTCCGTTTTTTCGGTCTCCATGGTGTCTGGGGCTGGTGCTGGGCTTGGTTTCGGTCCAATGTTCCTGCCATCACGCACTTGGTGCCTCCATGGTGTCGGGGTCGGTGCTTGGGTTCGCGCTGCTGGAGCTTGTTGTGCCTCTGTACTGTACTGGAGCGGCGCAGGGTTCTCCCGTCCGAAAGGGGGTGTCTGCGTTGAGGTGGTTGTGGCTCCGGTGGTGGTTGTTGTGGTGGATTCTGCGGTTGTTCCTCTGGCTGTTGTGTTGTCTCTGGTGGTTCCTCCTCTGTCCTCGGAGTGTTCTCCGGCTGCGGCTGGGTGCTGCTTTGTGCCTGGTCTGCGGTGGGGCTGTGGTCGTCGACCTCCTCCTGTAGGAATCGGTCTGGTGTCGTTGTAGTGAATTGCGTGTGCCATTGGCTGTTCCCCCGAGTCATGAGGAACTGGTCTCCCACCTGGAGTGCCAGACTGTACGGCTCCTGTTGTGCTGTTGTGGGCGTCTGTGTAACCGTGGCGATGCCATCTTCTTTCCGAAATGGGTTCTTGCAGTAGCCACGTCTCCCCGCTTATTGGGGGGTAGGCCGCCATGGGCATCCCCACCGTGGGAGGTGGGATCGCTCCCTCCCCTGGAGAGTCTTGGCTGTCTGCGATTCTCGTCAGCCATTTCCCTGCGCGTAGAGCTGCATGTGTGACGTCAGTGGCTCGGGAGTGTGGGAGTGGCGGTGGGACCGTGTGCTGTCCCCCGAGGGTTGGAGGTCGAGGTGGTGGTGGTGGTTCTTGCTGTGTCCCGTCTGGTGTCGGTTGTGGTTGGGCCTGCCGCGGTGGATAGTAACTGGTTCCCTGTGGAGGCTGCTCGTGAGGGGCGTCTGGGTGCCAGTACGGTGTATAAGTGTCTGCTTTGGTGTGTTGGTGTGGTTCTGCCGTGCCGTCGGCAGGTTCCGGTTGTTGTGGGGGTGGTGTTTCCGGCTGGAGGTGCTTGGGTAGTGGCTGTCCTGGGTTGAGGAGGCGGAAAAGTGCTGCTCTCTCCTCTAGTGTGGGCTGTGGTGGCTGTCCTGTGGTGGGCGGGCTGTAGTCGGGACTGCTGTCTCCCGCCTGGTGGTGTGGGGTGTTGTCCGTCGTCCAGGAGGTGGTGTTGTCTTGGTATTGGAGGTGTTGATCCCATCTGGTGTGGTGGAGACCGTGAGCTTTGAGCCATCCTTTCATGCGGTACTTCTCTGCTTTGTTGCGGGTGCGTGTGGCTCCCCCGCCTTCGTGTTTTCTGTGGTGGTGCTGTGGCTGGTGGCTGCTGCGTCGTCGAGGGCTGCTGGCGTCTGCGGGCGGGTCCCCCGCCGGTTGGCCATCCGCTGTCGTGGCGTTCGGGAAACCGGGTAGGAGTTCCCGGTGGATGTAACTCGTGGGTATCTCCCCCGTTGTTATCCAATGGTAGTGTTCGCGCATGGGCTTTGGTGCCGCCTGGTGGCAGGTTGCTGCCCGTGGCGGCTTGGAAAGGGTGCTCGCGGAAAGGTTTGCGCGGTGGTTCCTCCGCTGGCGTTTCTCCGCTCGGTGCTTCTGCTGTTGCTTGTGCGTCGTGGTGGTGGGCTGGTTGCTCTGCACTGTCTGCATTCGTGGGTTGTGTTTGGGTGGAAGCGGCTGCTGGCGGGTCTGGGTGTGCTGTCGCCGTGGAAAGCAATGGCCCGGGTGTCTGCTGTGTGGGTTGGTGTGTGGCTGTCGTGGAGTCTGCCCATGGGTCGGTGTCTGGATTGTACGTGGTTGCATATGCTACTCCATGTGGGCCGTGTGGTCGTAGTGGCCCCCCCGTGGGTTGTTGCTCCGCACGGTGTTGGTCAGCAGGTGGCTCGATGATTTGGCCATTTGGATCTCGTAGGTTCCCCCAGGCATCGTAAGAAGCGAACCCGTGGTCTTGAGCGAGCTGGGCTGCTGTGTATGGCGGTGGCACACCCCCTTGTTGGGGTGCTCGCTGTTGTTGGTACATCTGTGCTAGTCCTTCTGCCACTTGTTGCACCGGATTCGGCGGTGGTTGGGCCGTGATGGTAGCTCCGATGTGTGAGCTCCAGCCTTGTGACTGTGGTTGTTGGTGGTGGTGGTGGGGGGCTGCTGCCCCCAGTGATGGTGGTGCCTGTGGTTGTGGCTGTGCGTCGTAAGGCTGTGGCCATGGGTCTGCTGCTGGATCATATTGTGGTGGCGCTGCATGGGCTTGTTGCCAGTGGTATTGTTGGGGTGTGGAGTGGGTTGGCACTGCTTGGGCTTGTGCTTGGCCTCGCCAGGCCTGTCGGGGGGCTTGCGTCTGTCCTGTGTGGGAGGCTGGTGGCGTATGGTGGGGGAGCACCTGTTGGGTCGGCGGCACGCTCGCTGCTGTGTTGACTTGGGGGTGCGGTGGGGCTTGCGGCATCTGTTGCGTCGGCATGGGTCCTGCCCATGTGTGGTGTCCTGTTTGCTGGGGTGTGCTTGGCATGTGGCCGGCTGCTCCCCCGCTGCGGCTGTCTTGTTGTGTGGTAGCGGTTGGCAAGGTTCCTCCTGCCGTCGCTGTCTGTTCGTCTTGGTGGCAAAGGGCCTGCTCCTTGAGGCTGGCCAAGGCGAGTCATTCGCGGCTCTCCACTGCTCCCCCCTTCTGTGGGGGCGGTTGGTCGGCCGTACGTGGGGCTGACCAAGGCATTGAGTAGCAGCAGGCTGGTTGCTGCGAAACACAGCAGAGCTCCCCCTTTCGAAGCCATGTATTCGCAACTAGGGTTCGGGCCGTGGGGAGTCGCTGGAGTCAGATGCTGCAGCACCCACGGTCGACTTTCCCCTTCTGCTGCAGGCAGGCTGGCACATGTCGGTGTGAACATGTTTGCATCGCAGACAAGGCAACTGTCATGGTCGTGTGTCATGAGTCTCTGTTCTCTCCCCTCAAACAAGCCGGCGTGTTGCCACAGTTCCTCAGGTTCTCTCCCTTCACTCACTGTGGTCGTGGGCTGCTGCTTGCTCGTGGGTTTCGTAGGGACAAGAAAACGGTGGGGGGAAGCTCAGGTTAGCAGCAGGCGGGTGTTAGGGTGCCAAGGCTGGTCTGTGTGGTGGCCCTCTGGGTGTGTGTGGAACGAGGTTGTCGTGGATGCTGTTCTGCTTGCCTGTTGCCCAGGGGACATCGAATCTGTCAATGAAGCTGGCTGTGAGTAGCTGCCATTGTGTGCGGTCTGTGGCAATGCTGCTCCAGTGTGTCCCCCCGATGCTTTCGAGGGCTCTCTCTACATCCCCCTCCGGGTTGAAGCGAGCTGCGTGGCTGACTCTATCCTTGGGAGGCTTGCGTTGTTCTGCTCGCCAGAAACGGAGGTCCTTCCAGCGCATCATAGCGTTGACTTCCTCCCCTCCCCTCGCGATGTGGCCCCAGAGGGACCAGACTTTGGTGAGGATGTGGGTGGACCATCTTTCCCAACCTCCCCGCTGCAGGTAGACTCTAGCCGTCCTGAGTGAGCGTATGTGCCACTCCGCCCACTGTTCTGTGGGTCTTCTGTCCAGATGGAGCATGCGTCGCAGGTGCTGGGCTTGGAGGGAGTTGGCTGCTTTCAGGATGCGTTGGTTCACTGGCCATGTCTCTGCTGCGTAAAGTGCTGCGTTCCGAACCAAGGCAATGTAGGCTGTCATCCTAGTATTGAAACTGGTTCTGGCAAGCAGGATTTGCTTGTGTTTGGCGAAGGCCTGTCTCCCCCGTCTGCACATCTCAGCTATGATGGGTGCCGTTTGCTCGCCGAAGGTGATGGGGGAGCCTAGGGTGAAGATGACTGTTTTGTGCGGCTGGCAGGCTACCGTGGTGTTGCTGATCTGGAAGGTTCCCCCCCCTTGTGGGTGGCTGTGGAGAATGGCGGTTTTGGTGGGGTGGATGTGGAGGCCGTCCTCTGCCAGCTCGCTTTCGAGGTTGTTGATCAGGCATTGTAGATGGTGGCGGTCTTGGCTCCAGAGGTAGGTATCGTCAAGGAAACTCCCCCCGGCTCTAGGGGGGCTGGGTCCCCCTTGGTCGTGTGGCTTCTGTGGCGGAGCCGCTTTGGTGGCTGTTTGGAGGTCTCTGGCAACGACAGCGCCGAAGAGATCAGGGGAATCGGGGCTCCCTTGGCGGATGCCGTTTGTTTGGGGTACAGGTGTGATGGTATCCCCCACTGCAACGTTGAGGCTGCGTGTCTCGAGGATGCTGAGCCAGAGAAGTGCCTCCCAGGGTTGATCCCCCCCTTCTTCTGGCACTGGACATCGGGATGATGGCACTCCCCCGATCCTGGATGCAACAAGCTCACTCATACTATGCTGCCAGACACTATCGAATGCCTTCCGGATGTCCAATTTAACCAACCATGTCGGAACCCCCCAGTCGCGAGCCATTTGCGTCACGCGCCGAATCGTCGCGATGAGTTCAACCCCTTGCCGCCCCCGCCTCGCCCACTGCAGAGTGGCCCCCCCTCTGACGCGTTCCCCCCCTCTCGCAAGTAGGAGTTGGGCTGCCAGTTTGAGCAGGGTCGAGCTGAGAGTAATGGGTCTGGTCTCCCCCCACTCGAGGGGGGAGGGGACTTTGGGCAGCAAGACCGTCACGCCACGGTCAATTTCCTCGGGGATGCGAGCGGTGTACAGCATGTCGTTCAGGACATAGGTAATGGTCCCCCCCATTGTGGGTTGGCGAGGAGTTCTCGCGCTGCTTCATGGGAAATCCCGTCGGGCCCCGTGCTTTTGTTGTTGCTCCAGGTCTTAGCTACTTGCTGAAGTTCCTGTGTGCTGAAAGGAACCCACGGTGTGACTTTGCAGCGTCTTCTCAGTTGCAGCCGGAGTGTGGTAACTCGTGCGGTTCCCCCGGGCGGGAGCGGCTTGGCGAAGATAGTGCGCATGTGTGTCTGCAGGTGCTCCTGCCAGTTGGGGTCGTCTTGCAGTCGAAGTTGCCAGCCGCGGTGTGTTTTCCCCCTCTGGAGGGTTCGTAGGGATTTCCAGTCAAGTTGTGCGGCCTGTTCGGCCTGCCTGGTGCTCCAGGCTCGCTGCTCTTGTTTGTGGAGGCGGGCTATCGGCTTCAGGGCCTGCCGGTATGAGTTTGGCTGCCCTGCGCATCTCCCGGAGTGTGGTGCTTTCGTGGAATTTGTTGTGCCCGCTGCTAGTGTGGCGATCATGTGGTGTGGGTCCTCCCCCTGGGGTGGGGGGACTGCCAGGAGTTGTGCCACCTGGTGTGGTGGACGCAGTTTGCGCGGTCCCCACGTTGCGCGGGCGGGTCCTCCCCCGGCGTGGGAGCCTAGGGGGGCTGCTATGCCGTCGTGGTCGGAGAAGGCACGGTCGCGGCACGGTACGACCTTCCCATTGCCGGCTGTGATCCCCTTGACCAGTAGGTAATCCAGTCGTCTTGGTTGCATCAGCTGGTTGTATGGGTGGTAGCTAGGTGTGCTAAGGTCTTGTGGTGGTAGTCTGATGTTGTTGTCATCGGCCCACTCAAGGATGCATTCCCCTCGGCCTGTGGTAGCATAACAGCCTGCCGTGTTGCTGATGGGAGGGGCAAAGGTCTCGTTGGCGTCAATGCCCAGTAGAAAGCGGCAGCTGTCCCCCAGTGCTTGTCTCCAGTCGTGTAGGATGTCTTGGGTCTGGGGGATGGTGGCATGATGCGGAATGTGTCCTGCCAGCGCTCGTGTGATGGTTTTGCTGTTCTTGCCTTTGAGGGTTGTAATCACTCCCCCCTTCGCAACCTCGCTGTGGTGGTGGCTGTGGTGTGCTGCTCGGTGGGCTATGCCTTCCCCTCTGAACTCCCCCTCACACTTTCCGTACACAAGCTGCCAGGTGTCTGACTCTGCATGAAACAAACCAGCATCTGTGATGATTTCTTGCACAAGGACAATGCACACACAGTTCAGGTCCGGGCTGTCACCGATTTCGTCGAGCAGTTCCAGCAGTTTGCTGGGTGCTAGCCCCCCAACGTTCCATGTCATTGCCCAGAATTGGCCGGGTATTTTCCCCCCCTCGGCCTGGGAGTGAAACTGGTCGTCATCGAGGATTCAGTTGATCTCCGCCTTGAGCGGAGACCAGGCTGCCGAGACTGCCTGTTGTGTGGTCCTGGTAGCTTTGGCTATTTCCGCTAGGTTGACCCATCCAGGGCCAGCGTCCTCTGTCCTCCCAGGCTTCGGGGCTGTGGCTGAGCTGACCTTCACGCTGTCGACCCAGGCGGTTCCGGTGCTGAACTCCATTTGCAGTGCGTCTTTGTTCCCCCCCAAGGTGAGGTACAAACGCTTTACTTTGGCTGCCAAGCGTGCTCTGCGGCGTCGATCAGGAGGTTGGCTCATAGCGATCCAGACGCGTTTGGTCCCCCCGTCAGGGCGTCTCCCCAGTTGTATGTTCGCTTCCCTCACCTTGGCGATGACATCTTGGATGCGCTGCTTGCGCTGCTCGAAGTGCTCCCCCAGGCGGTCGTCGATGGGGACGATGGCATATCCCCGACGGACGCCCGGAACAAACATCGAATCCAACGCGATGGGGGCTTCCACCGCTTTTAGCACGTCCATTGCGGCCTCCTTGGTAGTTGCAGCGTCTTGGTCTGGATCCCATCCCCCCACTATCAGTGCGGGTCGTCGAGAGTTGTCTGAGGCTGCAGTGCTCCCGGCCACGGACGAAGCTCCCCCCCCTTTTTCGAGGCGCTCAAGGCGGAGGTTCACTTCCTTGTTGGCTTCCTGGAGTTGCTGCAGGATGTCCCCGTGGCTTGCATACTTGGTGGTCATATCGTCAAGGAGGTTGATGGTCTGCTGCATCTTCCTGGTCACCTGGTTTTCAACGTTGTCCACCCGCGTGGCAAAGGAGCGCAGGTCTTGTTTGACATCGGAGAGGGCATCTTTGAGTTCCCCCCGAATGGCTTCCCGAATGATGTCAATGTTTAGTGCGAGGTCTTCTTGCTTGTCCGGCGCACGTCTTTTCGTGGGGGAATTCCCCTGGTGGTCAACTTGCATCTCGAGTCCTGCCCCTGTCGCCATGTTGTTCTCCCCGGCGTGCTTCACTAGGTCGCCCCCCTGCAAGTAGTATCACGGACAGGTACTCCGGGTACTGTGTCTCCCAAGGCGGTCTTGCGGCTGATCGGCTCGGCCGGGTAAAACGCCTGTAGGCTCGCCGATTGCGTAGGCGCCGAGGGCTGGGCTTCGGCAGAAGGTGCAGCGCACAGACACCGTCGGGCTCCGTTCCGCCCGATGTCCCCCGGCAGAACGAGGTTGGTGAGGGCGCGTAGGGCTGCGACCTTGCCCTTGTTCTTGAATGGCAGGGCGAGAGCACGCTCCCTCCCCTCAATTGTCGGGTTTTGAGGCCCTCTCTGCTGTCTGATCTGGGGCTCGCGCCTTGAACCACTCACGCCAAAATACTGCTTATTCTCTCTCTCTCTCTCTCTCTCTCTCTCTCTGTCTCTCTCTCGCCCTCTGGTTAGATGTGATACCTGTGATACTGCTTGCCATCTCAAGGTCTTTGCTCCTCCGAGGCACGGCCGCGGCGCGTGCCGAGAAGGGGCAGGGCGCAGAGAAGGCAAGGCTTCGCGAAGGGGCCTGGATGCTCCGCAGTGGAGTTTGTAGAGCGATATTGCACCACTGTTGCCGAACTGCTGGAAAAAGCTGCATCGCTTCATCTGTGCTATACTTACGGGGTGACAAGGAGAGAGGTCATCCATTTGGTTCGAAGGCGCTCTGCGGTGTTCGTAAAGGCTTGGCTCGGAAAAATTGGAACTGCAGTGCTCAAACTTTGGCACTCTGGCTCCGAGCAGGGAGCCCTTGAACAAATCGTTCCGCGTCCAGTGCAGTGCCTAGTTTCTGGATCTGAAACGCTCCAGCAAGTCTGTTGGGGCCCAAGGCACTGCTCACTGTGGGTCTTCTCGAGACCCGGTGCATCAAAGGCCACACCGCCTCCTGCTAAGAGCTTCCCATTTTCGTATACAAGAAATATGAACAAGGCAAGTGCTTCATTCAATTCTCAGACATTTCTGGAACCGCGTGATCTTTTCTCTATCTTTGTGGGTCCGGACTATGCTCTTACGTATCAGCGTCGAAGCTATTCCAAGTGGACCACGTCCTCCTCGCATCCATTGTCCGACTGTCGTTGTCCAGGGAGCACCCTGAACATAACCTTAGAGGACACGGACCGTCAAGGCTTGTCCAGGAACTTGACATGAGTGCAGCATCTACCAGGTTGGGTTTCCAGAACGTCGGTCAACAAGAGCATGTCCTAGGTCACAACCCCGGTAGTCAGAGCTTACTGACGATGTCCGAAACCCGTCGGGAAAGAGAAGCTCATTCTGATTCGAAAAGGGGCGCGGTTTGAAACACGCTCTTGGATGCTCTTCATCCTTTTGAGTCACAGCGTCGTTCTCAAAGCTGATTTCACTCCTGGGCCGCTCCGAAGCGACCAGAGGTTCCCGCAAAAGCTCACTGTTTCCCTCCTCAAGACGGCATGCAGATTCAGCAAGAGAAGACAGATTGAGATTGACTAGGATACCGAACTAGAGAAGCGTCCGACTACTCCACCTTCAACGCCGCTGTAGATCAAAGACGGCTACTGGTAATGAAAGTGATAGTCTAATCAGATTCGTTGAATCCTGTTGCCTCTGTCGACGCAAGGGCTGGAGAAGCTGGAGGCTTGTATGGAAAAGGAGGTCCTGTCTGAACCAAGAAATATCTAGGTCGACATGTCCGAAACTTCGTGATGCTGCACAACATGCCGCCATGCTGCTCTGTAAAATATCATCTTCTGTGATGACGCCCACTGGTTCGCTCAATCTTGGTCGATGCAGGCTGAGCACAAAGATGCAGGCAGCTGACAAACTGAAACCTGGACCTGGGCTTCAAATGGCCAGTTTGGACATGCTCCCGCTTGAGCATATCGCCTACATGACTTAGAGCCACAGGTTCGAGGCTGATCGCATCCAAGCGGCTCGTTGACCACGCAGCCAGCAGCTTGACCTGCACTCTTTGATGGAAGTGGGACACGGACAGAGAGTCAGGATCTGGTGGAGCCTGTGGACAGGAAGAGCTTCGCCACCTCTCGGAGAGAAAGCTGCGTGGAGCACGCTGGAAGCGCTCCTTCGAGACTGCCGCCGCTCAAGGCCAGGCCAAGCGAGGGCGAAGGGACGGCAGGGGCCGCAAAAACGAGCTGAGGAGCAGCTCTCGGCGACTTTTTCTTCCGCGTATGGAACGGGTATGAGGTGCCATAAGTGAACTTTGGCGAACGTCAACTTCAGACTAAACTATTTGCAGGCTCAATCTACGGAGCATGGCTTGCCTGCTCTATGCCAGGCAGGATGCATGCCGATCAGGGTTCAAACCCCCCCTGGTCGGGCCCAATGAGGACATCTCCGCTACAGGACGCAACGTGCCCTCGGCCAGAGCCTGCCGCAACTCCTGTCGGAGACCCAGAGAGTCCTAAAAATGCCCACAGCAGTGGGCCGCAGTCACACATTCGCCCAACTGTCACGGCAGATTGGGCATGCATTGGCCGATCTCTTCAGATTCAGCCAATCAGCATGACAGCTCTCGTGAAAGAAATGTCCACATGGTAGTAACGTCACGAGGTCTTCTGACTTGAAATCCTCCAGACAGCAGACACAAGTCTGCTGCTTGCCAGGCGACTGCCACAATACATCGATTGCCTCCAGCACCGTTGTGACTGACCTTGTCCCCTTGGAGGTTTGCGATGTCCGCATCTGAATACGATGAAACTTGGGCTGGGCACCCCCCTCCATCTTACCGACAGATATGGAGGCCCAGATGTGTTCCTGCACGTGCTCCGAAGCACGCTTCCATCTGTCGCTGAGGAGCACACGGATGATGACCCCCATCAAGATTGTCCCCACGCCCATTGCCAGAATCATGTTTGGAAGCACAGACCTGTCCGGGAACGCCGTGTAGCAAACAAGGCTGGTCACGCAAATTGATGACCAGCAAAATAAGCTAGCTCCCAGTATCCGCATTCGTGGCAACGCGCCCATGTCAGCAAGGCCAAACATTGCGCTACAAAGAGGCTCCCCCAAACAAACGACTTGAGCCCTGAGCCGCACTTCTGTCCAGGTAAAATCGAAGGACTCAGGCCGTTCCAAGATGGAGGCTGGGAGGAGCGGAATCAATTGATGTCCAAGCATCCGATTTGGCAAGCGAAGTCGCCAACGGTCGTGGCTTCTTCATCGTTTGGCGAGGGAGGCCTGTGGAATGAGCAGACGCGAGTAGCTTTGCCGGGTAGTCTTGAACGGGCACACATCACCTCATTTACCTGGAATGTCTTGTCTGCTGCCGACTCAGAACTCCGTGAACCAAGCCTGGCTTCTCGAACTGAGAACTTCGGAAAGTTACGTATTCGAATGGAATCTTGAACAGGGGTGGAGGGCTTCAGTCTTCGATTGCTGGAAGCAGCAACCACTAACTCACTAAGTGACATGAAGGCCTACTGAATGGAAGTATCCGGCATAGGAGTACGAGTATCATCAGGCCGCTGCATTGCAAGACATTGGTGTGTTGCTTCCTGAAGGCTTTCAAACCCCGTCGCTCCTCGTTGGTGCTTCATCCATGGACACATCCACGACCGGGCTGCCAGTATCTCGCATCTTGTGAAGCGAGGGCTAAGAGCACATGTTGCAGACCCGGTGCTCGAGGCCATGATTCAGCAAGGAAGCAGGTAGGCAAAGCTATCTGTCCCGCGCCTGCAGCGCAAGCTCGAGCTTTCTGCGAGGCCATGAGAACGCCTGGCTCCTTGCAGGGGCCGGAAACAAGCCGAGACAGTCAGACACGGTCCCCTGTCATGCGAGAAGCCAACACGAAGCCTGACAGAGACTGGCCAAAGTTCACCTTTCCGGCTCCGAGACCGAGAGCCGAAAGAGCGGAGGGACTCTGCTGCACCAGATGCTGATCACAACCGCTTTCTCGCCTTTGCGACTGCGCTCGACCAATGCAAGATAATGCAAGCCATGACAGCCTTGGGGAGCGGGTTTCTTTGCTCAACATGCTTCGAAAGCAGGCTGTGCCGTCTTCGCTTGAGTCTTGGCGCAGGCCAACTAGGGCCTCCTGAGAATCAACTCTCAAACGCCAAGCAGGGATTTGTCTGTACAGGTGCAGGTGCAGTAAATTCCCGGCCTGCGAAAATCGTCTCTGCTGACAGTGGGCAGCTTCAGTCCCGGCAAGCGCACCTCGGATTGCCTTTGGATGAAGCTGTCCATTGTCATGCAGCAACAACAAAAGGAAGCCGGACTCCTGTAACTGTACAGAACATGCATATCGAATAGCATCGGAAATCGGAGTCTCAGCGCGCGCTGTTCGCGGCAACCAGCGGAGGAAGGCTCTTTAGTTTTAGCAGGATGTGAATATGACCGAACACTACAAAGGTGCTCTCGCGCACCGCTGGTGCTGTCCAGCTTGACTCCCCGAACCTACTCGGACAGGACTCCAAGAAGAAGCCCTGCGTCGCTCGTCCTCTCAGTTCGGTCAGCTCAATGCTTTGCAAACCTAATATCTACAAGATACTGGGTCATACCACATCACTATCCCGGGCCAGCGGTTTCCAGAACATCTTGGTACAAAAGCAATGTTGATCTATCTCACGGATCGAGGACGTCCCCGCACTTCACGTGAATACGAGGCTTAACTTAAGCCTTAAGAACTGATGGCATCCTATCTGCTGGGTCTGTCTCATTGTACTCCCACAAGCCATGGCCTTCACACCAGTTCACGCCGTCATGATGCGACCAGCAGCGCTGTGACATTGAAAGCCGCGCACAGGCTGTGAAGCTTCAATCCTGGGGCATCTCATGCTTCGGAAGGGCATTGCTGCCTCATCACGTTTTCCAACTACTTGTGAAATAGTTTTCATGTGCTGCTCCGTTGGAGTATAACAGCCCAGATACGGTGACAACCAAAGCTCGCAGCGATTGAGGCTCCTGGCAACACGAAGGAATCCACTGTACGGCCAAGCTCGACATTCCAAGGTCATAGTATATACCTGTGGACAAATGCTGTAAACCAAAAATCCAAACGAACTTCTATGTCATGTGTGTTTGTATATATATATATATATATATATATGTATGTGTGTGTGTGTGTATGTCTGTATGTATGTACAACAGATTGAGAAAACGGTAGCAGTACTACTGGCAGAAGTAGTCGTCGTCGCAGTCGCAGTAAATAGTCGCAGTCGTCGTAGTAGTTGTAGTCGTAGTCGTAGTACCAGTACCAGTACCTGTGCTGGTATCATTACAAAAATTCGCCTCGGCCCCGGCCGAAGCGGTCAGAGGTTCCTATTCGGATTCCCTCTATTCCCCACCTCTAATCCCCTCCCCAGTGACCCCACCCCCCGAAAAAGTGGCACGCCCCCCCCCTTAAAAATGGAAACGTGTCTAGTAGGCCCAAGGTCCGCCAGTGAATTCTCGCCTTTTCCAACGGATTTTGGCTCCACCCCGCCCCCCCCCCCGCCCCCACCCCCCTTCCCCCCCCCTTCCGCGCCACCCCCCCACCCCGTGCCTCCCACCCCTTCACCCCGCCTCTCCCTGTTTCCTCTTCCCACCCTTTCCCGATTCATTATGCTCACTCCCTGCCGTGGCCCTGTTCCCTTCCCCCCGCCTGCCTTCCCGCTTTCCCGATTCTTTATGCTCACTCCCTGCAGTCGGGTGTTTGGGCCAAGGTTTGCAACACTGTGAGAGTTTGCGACGACAGGGGACTGTAATGTAGCATCTTTACTTGTTGGGGGCCCCTAAACCCCAGCCTGGAAAATTTTCAAAGCCCGGACAATACCTGGACCCGAAAGCAGGAAACAAAAGCTTCAAGACCCCTAAAGCAAGAAAACCCCAATCTTTCAAACTAACTTGTTAGTGTAGGCAGCAGGCCGGGCCCCTATGTTGGTATCGAATTGATGGCTTTGCGTCTCAGGCTTGTTTTAGACGCCCTTTCGTTGGGATAAGCGGAGTAACGTGGTTGAAAAGGCTGTGATGCTTCCCTAATCCAAGACGACCACGAAATCCACAGCCTCAACGGCCCATACTTAAGGCATCCCGCCGCTTGCGAGAGTCTTGGTATCCAGTGTTTCGGAATGACGACACCAAAATTCGTACTGATACTACCACTACTAATACTACTCACAATCATCCTGCTTCGTGTCGCTATGAACATTACTTTTACTATAAGTGCGATTCCAACTGTTACTTTTTTCCTACAAGAGCTTGCTGCAGATAGTAGCCACTCGCCGCATGCGCGTACAGCCGGGCCGAGGCGGACGACGCGCAGCGTTTCAAATTATACGTAGTAGTTGCAGTAGTAGTAGTAGTAGTAGTAGTAGTAGTAGTAGTAGTAGTAGTAGTAGTAGTAGTAGTAGTAGTAGTAGTAGTAGTAGTAGTAGTAGTAGTAGTAGTAGTAGTAGTAGTAGTAGTAGTAGTAGTAGTAGTAGTAGTAGTAGTAGTAGTAGCAGTCAGTACCAGCGGGAGCAGCAGCAGCAGCAGGGCTAGTAGTCGTCGTCGTATTACTGTAGTAGTAGCAGCAGCAGCTGCAGCAGCAGCATCTGTTGTTGTCTGTTTTACTATCACTACCACCTGCTTGCAACTGTCCTCTGTACATATATATATATATATATATACAGAAAGCGTCGCACTATATCAATCACAAGCCTCGCAATAACAACAATATTGCAATAACGATACACCAATGAGCATATCATCATCAGCACCACCACCTTAGCGATATAAAGGTCATGACTATCACAACGATCATGGTAACAACATACAAACGTCGATAAACTAAGGACACCGAAATTTTTCTTATGCTATACCCCGCTTTTTCTTATGCTGGACCCGTGAGAATTTACGATCCTCAGAGCTCTGATTCGTTCTTTTCGCTATTGCTGCTGTCGGGACCACCCAACCGTTGCTTGCCCCCACCACGACTTGCTGGTGTCAGCCATGCATCGTGCAGCGCTGTTCCTGGAAGGCAGGAGTCGTTGTGGCAAAACTTTGTATCCCCCCCCCCCCCCCCCCCCCCCCGCTTTTTTCGCATGGGGGTAATGTAACGCTTATGTAGATTCTCCCCCTGATATATCCTTCCGGAGGTTCGCCAGCGGAAGTCTCGCAAGACGCCCCAATCGTGAGGAAAGCTCTCCCATGCGATGTCCCAAATATCAGCACTGCATCACTGTGACTGCCGACGAGGTGGCAGGCAATGACTCAGCCGAAGAGGCGTGAGTATTGTGCGCAACTCCTGTTCCCACACAAGCACGAACAATGGACGAGGCCCCGGCCACTCTATTCCCATGCAATCTTCCGTCAGTGCACATAGGCCTGCACGCCGGAAGCATAAGAAATTGAGTTGTAAGCCGGCTGCGGGTGTTTGCAGCTGCCGGAATGTTGCCCGTGCCTTGGCAGAGCTCCAGCGTCGATGCTTTGCGAACGCCTTGAGGTCCACTGACTAGAATCAAACAGCAGTTTGTAGTATGCTCTCTCGTCACTCGCATCGTCCCAAAAAAGCAATCTGCAGCTGTCTCTTCGTCAAGAAGCGGTAGAATTCTGGCTCGTTCCGACCACCTGCACCACGGCATGCACGACCTTCTCCGCCGTCGACGGGCCTTGTTAGGTAGTGTGTTTCTTCTAGCAGGCCTGAGGTTGCTGGTATTCTGCAAGCGAGGCTGATGTGCTGCTGAGGCTCCTGAAACTCAGGGGCATCGGCTTGGCATCAGCTGCAGCCTCGAAGGCTTGCAACCAGACAGCCGGCTTGAGAATCCTTGACATGATGGATGCGTGCTTGCTTCGGCACCTTCTCCAGGCAAACGAAGCCGGTTGAAGCGGCGGTGGCGCCGATGCCCTCTGGCCTCAGAAGTATCACACATGCATTGGTGCGTGTGTGTGGCTCCTCTTCCTGGCCACGCAGGGAGCCTCGTCCAGACCTCGCAGCGCTTGCCGCGGGCCGAGTACTCCACGCCCTTGCAGCCCGCAGTAAAGGAGCACAGAGTTTGACAATCCTGGCAAGCCACAGGCAAAGTCTCTGACGAAACGGCATCAGGCTGGACATGATCGCCTACAGTAGACTTGGTAGACGCCTTGTGACATCCTGAGATCCACTTACTGTGAAAGCTTCGTGCTAAACACCACATTCTTACTGTTATCACACGCCGCATTTCTCTCATTGGTGATTGACACAAAGGGACGCTCTTTCACAGGTGGAGCTCCTCCAAAGTGTCGGCAGAGACAACTTGGTAGTACTTGGCGGAGTTGTCCTTCGACGGACACATATGGCCTATCGAGATGTACGGGGCGGCTCTGCGAAGTCCTTCGAGGTCGCCCCTCTGCACACACGATTCGAGGGTCCACCAAGTGGACGCCAAGCTGAGAAACCAAATGTCAGCACTTCTTGCATGCGGGTCTGCGTGGTTCATTTACACCGGAAAGCCTGGCTCAGTCGGCAGCACGCAGGTGCACAGCATGTCGGAGGTCCCAGAGATTTGTTCGTCGCAGCTCTTTTGCTCCTGCACCTCCAGCGGCGCTCTGCAGATTTAAGTTGTGCACTGCGCCTGGACTACCTAGTCACGTCTCCCGTTCGTTGTCCCATGCCAGACAGTTTCAGCAGCTCAACGCCATGGAAGGTCATATCCGATGCCTCGCATCCCTCGTCGACTTCCTCTGCGGCTGCCACGCAAACATGACCGAAGGAGCTGCAGAAGGTCTGGCAACGGCCGCCGTGTGGATCAGTGAGGACCAGGGCCGTGCAGTTGCCTTCAGTCGTCCCGGTAAGTAGGCATAAGAGGCACGAACACAGAATCAACAGCATGTGCAATCGCAGACAGCGGCTGAGGGAAGATTTCAAACGCACGTCGTGCATGTTTCCATGCTCATAGGGCACCTCAAGCCTTCCCCTCGCTGACGAGGCTGTGTCTTAAGGCTCACGGCTTTCTGCAGAGCTGTCCGGCTGTGTGAACTGACAAGCTCTGACGATTTTTCTCGAAGTTCTCGAATGCCTCACCTTGCCAAAAAAAAGCATTGCTGCTTCCCTTAACGCTGGCATCCCAGCGTTGCAGACACAGCATGGAAGAATACCCAGAAGACTCTACCCTTCGGCACTGCAATTCGGGTGTTGGGGGGGCTGGCACCCGTGCGAGCCGGATCATCCATCGTGGTGAGATCTTGCAATTCGGCTTTCGTCAGTCACCCGAACAACTAATTACATTTCGACAGTCGACAGATGGAAAGAAGCTTTGACTTTGAGTTCATGGTCGAAGATTTACAAGGTTGGGATCAACGTTAGCGAAGTGTCTGTCTTTGGGGCTACACACTAGTCTCGCATGGGCGTTGCCAGTGCCGGAAGATCCAAATGCTGTCGGAAGGCCGCAGGTGACTTCGTCGATGTCCGGCCATGTCCCGAAGTCTGCGCAGGACAGCTGAGCTGACAAGCGGGTTGTCGTAATCGTCGTGGAGGTTTGACCTCCAACTCTTGTAGTCGAAGGCACGCCGGTTGTTCCTGTCACGGCTGCTATCAAAGGCCATGAGTGCAGGTTCCGTCTAGACAGGGATCCGCTACGACACGAGCGGGGTTTCGAAGAAGGCCTGGCTCAGTCGGCAGCACGCAGGTGCACAGCATGTCGGAGGTCCCAGAGATTTGTTCGTCGCAGCTCTTTTGCTCCTGCACCTCCAGCGGCGCTCTGCAGATTTAAGTTTTGCACTGCGCCTGGACTACCTAGTCACGTCTCCCGTTCGTTGTCCCATGCCAGACAGTTTCAGCAGCTCAACGCCATGGAAGGTCATATCCGATGCCTCGCATCCCTCGTCGACTTCCTCTGCGGCTGCCACGCAAACATGACCGAAGGAGCTGCAGAAGGTCTGGCAACGGCCGCCGTGTGGATCAGTGAGGACCAGGGCCGTGCAGTTGCCTTCAGTCGTCCCGGTAAGTAGGCATAAGAGGCACGAACACAGAATCAACAGCATGTGCAAACGCAGACAGCGGCTGAGGGAAGATTTCAAACGCACGTCGTGCATGTTTCCATGCTCATAGGGCACCTCAAGCCTTCCCCTCGCTGACGAGGCTGTGTCTTAAGGCTCACGGCTTTCTGCAGAGCTGTCCGGCTGTGTGAACTGACAAGCTCTGACGATTTTTCTCGAAGTTCTCGAATGCCTCACCTTGCCAAAAAAAGCATTGCTGCTTCCCTTAACGCTGGCATCCCAGCGTTGCAGACACAGCATGGAAGAATACCCAGAAGACTCTACCCTTCGGCACTGCAATTCGGGTGTTGGGGGGGCTGGCACCCGTGCGAGCCGGATCATCCATCGTGGTGAGATCTTGCAATTCGGCTTTCGTCAGTCACCCGAACAACTAATTACATTTCGACAGTCGACAGATGGAAAGAAGCTTTGACTTTGAGTTCATGGTCGAAGATTTACAAGGTTGGGATCAACGTTAGCGAAGTGTCTGTATTTGGGGCTACACACTAGTCTCGCATGGGCGTTGCCAGTGCCGGAAGATCCAAATGCTGTCGGAAGGCCGCAGGTGACTTCGTCGATGTCCGGCCATGTCCCGAAGTCTGCGCAGGACAGCTGAGCGGACAAGCGGGTTGTCGTAATCGTCGTGGAGGTTTGACCTCCAACTCTTGTAGTCGAAGGCACGCCGGTTGTTCCTGTCACGGCTGCTATCAAAGGCCATGAGTGCAGGTTCCGTCTAGACAGGGATCCGCTACGACACGAGCTGGAATTCGACTTCCACGCGGCTCCTCTTGGAGTCAGTATGATGTCCCCAGAGACGGCACAGTGGTCGCTGCCAGCTTTGTCGCAGCCTGGCGCACCGACCATCAACTTTTTGACGCACACGGCGAAGCCCTCCTTGTTGTGGATGTCGAGTTTCTTTTGCCCCCAGCGCCTCTCCATATCTTTGAGTCGACCACCTGTCCCATGGGCAGCGGCGTCTTCTCGAAATAGACCTGAGCACAGGAAACGACAAACTAGCATCCTTCCCAGGCCACAGGCAGGCGTCCCATCTCACTCTTGCCCGCTCTGGCTCTCTCCTACAGACTCTTGCGAACGAGAACAGGAAGATCCTTGGAAGAGTTCAAAGGCTGGTCTTTGAAGCTGGGACACAAAGTCGATCTTCACCCCGAAGCCAGTCGATGCATCCGGGTCGTTGTTGTTGATGTTGTAGGAGTCCTTGAATGTGTACCTGCGCCAGCGCACGCAAATAGGAGGAGCGCAAGCCTTCAATCGCACAACGACATTGCCCACGCTCTTGTTGGTCTTTGCATTGGTTCGTGCAGGCATGATGCGGCAGGATGCTCCAATCACGACCACGAGCTCTGCGTGTGCCCTCGCGCATCAGGAACTGGGATCCCGCGAAGAAGTTTGCATTCCTGAGTTGCGGCATTTCAGAAAAGGAATAGGCCGAAGGAGCGCTGGCGCGCTTTCCCAGGGTTGGCATCCGAGCGTCATGTCTCCCAGAACTGCGACGGGGTACTGCGGGTGTCGGGCCCTCTGTTCTTGGATCACCTGGCATCTGCAGGCCGAAAACCGAGCACGCGTGGGCATGAGTGGACACGCGTCCAAGGGTACGTTCTGGAACGGCCTCCATAATGTCATCCTGCACGGTTCGAAGAATGGGCTCGTCGTTGGTACAGCACCAGGGATGGGTTCCAAGGACAACCACCTGGGCTGAGGAGACCAACAGTCCTGCAGCTCGTCACTCGAGCTGCATCCAGAGAAAAGTCACAGAAGCTTCGGTTCCTGGCTGACAGGGCACACCGGTTTTATCACGGCGTCGCTGGAGCACTGCCCAGCTGATTCCACGGTCCTGGGGGAAGCTTGTCGCAAGAATTGGGCTGCTTCGGACGTTAGGCAAGGCAGGTTGAAGTGATCACGGTCGGTGGTGGACAGTGTGGATTTCGACAAAGAGTGTCCTCGAAGGCATGCATGCCACTGTCTTCAAGCATCCACAAATCGCGCCTGATGTTTCGTGCAAGTATGACATCGAGATCACACGTCATGCACAAAAAACGCTCGACCATGGAAGAAGCACCCACGCTCAAGACATGTGAAGAATCCGGGCAGTGGTTCGCGCTTTGTCAGTCTAGCAGCCGAAACACAATGTCTCCGTCCCACTTGGACTCCTTGCTCGCGCGTACTCTCCAAGCAACCGCCCAATGCGGAAACAAGGCAAGGGATGCAAGGTAAGCGCTCGCGGAAGCAGGTGCGGTCGAGTCACCGTGTCACCTGCTGCACAACAATGGCTCTTGTGCAGACTTTATTCGTACTTCGAAAGCATTCCACAAAGTGCAGCCTCCACGAGCGAACTCCCAAATGTCTCCAGAGGATTTCTGGTTCAGTTCTGCCAGGATCTCATCCCATTCGTTCCAGAGCTCCTGGCAGACTTGAGGCGAGCTGTCTCTGTGACTCTGCGGCGGCATGTTGCCGGGGGTCCTGCAGGGAGACGATCTCTGGGTCTACCTCGAGGATGGCCTCTGCAACCTGACCTGCACGGCCCAGCAGATCGTTGGCCTCAGCATGAGCAACGCAGAGTCCTGCGAAGCTTAATCAGACATATTGAGTCCATGGAGCATAGTAGACGTTCCAGGACAAGAATCGTGTGGCCTGGGACGGCACCAGTCAAGGGAGCGGCGACCGAAGCTGTCCCAGGACCGCCTCTCGGCTGTGCTGACCCGGGGGAGGGGTCGAAGGTGGCGGTGGTGGCGGTGTATCGCATCGCACCTTCATGCCCCTGGCAGGAAGCGTGCAGTACACAGATGCTCGACTCTGTGGAAAACTGCAAGCACATTCGCTTGAGCTGGCTTAGCAAGTACAACGCTACTCCTGAAACACACGATAGGAAGGAGTGATTTTCATCAGCCACCTGCGTTCCTCTCTGTCCACATCTTCACACTCCCCCTCTTCACCGCCGACACCTCGCGAGGAAAGCTGGCAAGCAGCTGGATAAGAGCCAGACGTTACAGGCTTGTTTCTTCGCGCGGTCGGAAGGCTTGCTCCATGCTGACTTTGAACCCAAGTGGCATGCCAAGCTTTCACAGCCATCAAAGTTGTCCCCCACCTTCGTGACAGGCGAATACAGGCGGCTTGCGGTGTCAAGGCTGGGAGAGCATCCGCCATGCACTCGCGCTACAGCAAACGGCCGTCGTGCCTGATAGACCTCGCCATTGGGGCATCGGCAGGAACCTCAGCAGCCAACAAAGCAGGCCACGGCCGCAGCAGATGCCCGGCACACAACGCCTCCCCAAGCACCGACTTTGGCTTCGCCGAAATCTTCCGCCTGCATGCAATGAGAATCCTCATCTTCGGTGAATAGATGTGAATAGAAAAACGACGCAGTGACGCAGGCCTTCACGAAGGTCTGTAATTTAGAATCCACCCCAAAAAATGAGCAGCATCAGCCTTGTAGTACCAATTTTCAGCTGCTTGAAGTGCAGGTTGCTTCCCGACCCTGGCAGTCTCTACTCTAAACTGTTTACGGTGCTGAAATGGTGCCTGAGGTCAGAAAGCAGGCATTATGAAGTCGACACCTGGCTCTGTGCTGCAGCAGCAGCCAGGGACGATCCTGACCTGCTTTCTGGCAAACACGTGATTCGAGGTGCTACTTGTATCTCAGTACAGACCGTGGCCTTTGGAAGTGCAATTGTCCTCTGTTGCAACCTGCAAGAATCTGAAGGAGCAGTGTGTCAACGTGCTCTTGCCCTGCTGACTTCCGTGTCATTTGCAGCTGCGACCAGCGCGGCTGTAACGAACGAGACAGCCTAGTCGATACGCCTGCCTGAGTCAGTCCGCTGGCCAATATCAGTGCAATAGCAGAAAGCATGGCTGGTCTGCAAGCTTGCACTGCGGAGCGACAAACGAGCCAATGCTGCGCTGAACCGTTTTCTGGCAACGCAGTGCCATTTTCTAGCACAGGCTCCGCTCCAGCATGCAATCTCGCAATACCACACACTTGCCGCTCCCGTCCGGCAAGTGCCTCTCACTTTGCTGCCAGTAGTTTAAGCCCTGCCGCCACCAGAAGGGGTCATCCATGCTTCAATACAGCACACGCTGGCATCGAAGACGATCCCGGGAAGCTTTCTACAACCATGTAGTGATTTCACGAATCTGCCGGAAGCACGCAATGCCTGAAAAGCAAAGGCAGGCCTTGGCTTCTCCCAATGCATTTTTTTACCACTTCGGCGGCAAAGAGTGAACGGAAGTCATTAACATTCATTAACAGCGCACCCACGAAGAGGCAATTTGCCTTGGAGAGTGCATCAGCAGCATGGGGGATGTGAGGACCTGTTGTCATACTAATCCATCAATGTAAACAAGAGTGGTGGCAGACAAGAATTGGTCATCACACCCAGCATCTGCATGCATTTACTACGCTTACTACAGTGGTCCAAAGTTTTGCTGACCGGTGGAGCCACTGATGTAGCCAATTAATTTCATGTTGTCTCGGTTTCTTACATGAGCACGTCGGATGTCTTCCCATCTTACATTCAAGCTCCCACATCAGGTTGCAACTATAGCCATTGCAATCCATGCTACCTGAACCAATCCAGGTACACCTTTCTTCGGCATGCAAAGCACGCACCATCCCCTTGATGCCGAAGTGTCGGTCTTCTGAAAGCCAGGTGGTGGGAATGCCACGCCATTGAAGAGCTATGCACTTCACGTAAGCCGGAGCACCGGCACCTATGTCGTCAGTGGATCTGACGAGCCGCCTCCACCCGAAGCCCCCCCATTCCCAAAATGATCCCTGGATCCGAGACAAACATTGAAAAGCCTCTTCGTAAAAATTTCACCGCTACACGCGCAGAGCGCTTTGCATCTGCTCACTCACCTTGCAGGGTGCAGCTTGCAAAGCATGCTGAACCTCCATAGTTGTGTTGCAGTGCTGGCTGACAGGATAGCTTGCCCAAAACGTGCTAATGGAGGGACTGTGGCATGAGTTCATTCTTTGCCATATAAGCGATAATATCTTCATATCTAGAGCCTGGCCAGAAACAAACAATCCTCTACTCTTCGTCTGCAGTTGGAGCCACCCTTATCCCGTGACAAAATCTGCCCTGTATTTGGCCTGATACTGTTTCAAATCGTCTTGCTTTGGCGGTTGCGCGCTGTTGAGGCCCGTGGGAAAATCGTTTTATGGACTAAACACCACCAAGGAAGTCAAAGCCAATTTGTAGCTGGCCTTCGCTTCCACGACTTTCGATGGCCTTGCGCACGTGCGAGCATCATGAATGGCCTCCCGAAGCTTGGATTCAAGAGTGAACGACACTCTCGGAAGAACTCCGGCCAACACTCGAGGTTTCCTGCCCAAGCCTGGCAAAGCGACGACACCCAGGAGGAACGGCTTTCTTTTGTCGCGGCCTAAATGGAAACAACCTACGAGTGCTTAAGACGGTCAAGAGCCGCAGCGCCCCCTCAGCGGCGCGGCTCGAAAGTGAACCTGAACTCGCTCGCCAACTGCCTGACAGAGACAGAGATTCAGTGTGCACTGTTCGCTTCGTGGATCAACCCTGCCCCTGCAAGCTGGGAGGGCTGGGGCTGGGCCTTGTAGCGCACGACGAAGACGAGTCCAAGAGGATCCTGCTGACGTCCAGGCGAGGAGTCCCCCGACGCGGTCAAGGCTCTGCATGCTTTGCACATCTCCGCACTGCTCCTCCTTGTCTTCGCGAACGGCTGCAATCGCCAGCAGCGGGATGGAGAGCTCCTGTCCGAAAGTCTCAGCCGTTCTAAACTCCCGACAGGCTCCCTCAAGCAGGCCTCTGAAACAGGACTGGCAAGCCTCAGCTGGGCTTACAGTAGTTCTCTGGCACTGCTGGCGTGGCCCGGCGATGATATGCCAGAATCGTTCGAAGGCATGGCAAGCTTGATAGGCTTCGAACCGCTGCGAGAGACGAAACACCTGGCGAATGTTGCAAGCTACTTCAATTCTTGGCACATCAGCAGATGCCAATACAGATCCGCACCTTTCGACCAGTGGCCAGCTGCTCCACTTGGAAAAGACTTGGGCCTTCCACAACAGGAGATTCTACGAAGATTCTAGGGTTTCAGAGTGTGATCTTGGGAGAAGGCGAAGGCCGACCTGAGGCCGTCGCCAGCCCACTGTGGAGACGACCGCTCGTCTGAGCGAGCCGTGGCGGCATCTTGCTGGCCTTGGCCCACGCAAGCGCAGGCAGGAGAACCCCTCCGCGGCAGGCCATCGTAACACAGGCTAGGGCTAGGGCAGAGTGTCCATTCCAATACTCCGCGGCAACTCAGGCATACTTTCACTCTCTAGAAGCTATCGCAGAACATCTAAGAAAGTGCATTGTGCAAAGGCTGCAGCTTGGGACCGGGCCTCGCAGCGGTCACATCCTCAGAACCTTCAAAAGCGAGGCGCAACGAAAGGTGACTTCAAAAAGCCCGGCTCGATCTTCGATCTCACGGAGACTGCGCCTCTGCTTCGGGCAAGGCTTGGAGAACGACTTTCCTCCAAGGACGCAGGAAGGATCGCAGCTGCGGAGTACACCGCCAATGCAGCTGCCTCTGGGACCGAGGTCTCCATCCGTCTGCCAGGCTCCTGTGGAGTCTGCAAAGTCTCCTGCCTGAGGCCAAGCTGCGATCCGGATCGATCCGGCGCACACGCAGGTTAAGAACAGGTTCTTCGGCGTATGACTCGAAGTAACAAGGCCCGGACAGCTCTTTGCGTGGCCCTATAGCACAAATCTCCTGTCAAGTGTTTGCATCTGAGTCTGGCAGTAGCACGTGCGGCACAGCTCGGTGACGGAGTCATGCACAACCCAAAAAACATGTCACAGACAAACTATCTGTGACGGCCTCCTCCCCAATTACGCTGAGACGCTGTGCTGAGCCTCCAATCCAAGCTGTTACTTGTCATGGAGTCGTCAGCAACCCCCGTTCCAGATCAAAGGAATGCCCTATTGATTTGACAACATTTGCTGGTCGCAGGTATCGCATGTTCTGGTCGCCTGGGGCCGCAGAGGCTTGGAGATTGCCGGCCTGTGAGAAAGACAATCGCAAGTAGCTGTTATACATTATGCATTGCAGAAACATTGCCGTGTCGGCCAACACCTGAACCCAAAGCAAAGACTGCAAGAAGGTTGCCTGCTGCTACTACCACCTGCCTTCGCTTGGCCCAGTCGGTTGACAGAGCGAAAAGCAGCCAAGGAGGTGCGCCGACGCCTGTACAACAGGCCATCACCGTCGCAAGGGCGCTTACCCTTTTTCTGCTTCAAGGGCACACTTCGCTGTCACATGCTGTCACTACGTACCTGGCGTAGCCTGATTCTTTCTGAGGGCACTGCTCTCCACGAGGTCGGGCCTTGCCTAGGATTACACCACCGAAGCAGCGCTTAAAGCATCAGCTGGGGCGAGGCGACGAAGAATCGTTACGTTGTTGCACAACTGTATCTGTGCTAAGCCGTTGTGAAACGTGCCAAGACAAGGCTGACCAGTGATCTCAGCAAAACCTACAAGCATGGAATTGGAGTTCAGTCGTTCGTCGCAACGACAATACTGTCCACCGACGAAGAGTGACTGCAAGAAGGGACCGGGGCCACACGTTCCGAAAAGAATCGGCATCACATGAAATGGTCATGAAATGGCAGAATACATGATTACAATATGGCAGAAAAAACACCACGAGAAACAACGCGAATATGTTTCCGAGAACTCGACACCGACATCAAATCTATCATGGAGCTTCTTGGCATGCAACATTTCGAGATTTCGAGAGGTGGCGCCAGGTCGCTTTGCCCGGGTGCAGTTGACACTTGCTCCGGATCGCCTGCCGTTAGCAGCAGACCCTAAACCGAAGGAAACCGGCAACACGTCCCTAACAAGGCAAGCAGAAAGGCCTGGATCCGTCGATACTTCGCCCTGCTGAAGCGGGCCTCTGTCAGGCTGGTTCTCTTGCGCCGAAACTTGGAAGTGGTCAAAAACAACCGGTGTTCCTTCACTTGCTTCGTTATGCGCACTGCACCCACAGTGGCCGCAGTGGACGAACAATAAGCACTCTCTTTTTAAGGAAGCGACGGTATCCTGCCAGTGAAGCGCGAGTTCGCCTGTGCACGCCGATTCGGCCCCACCCTTATCGAAACCGTTCGCAAGCGCCGTCGAAACACAAAGCATCCGTATAAGACCAGGCAAAGGGCTCTCGTCGACTTCCCCGAAGTTCTGAAAGCAAGGAAGCGCGCCCTGGCTGAGCAGAGCTGGTAGACAAGCCGACCACACAGTTAAGAAAAGCATGCAAGATTCGTGCAAGCCCCAGCCGACCTGGGGAGTCCGCCTGCGTCGAAGAGGGAGTCAAAGAAGCCTGAGCTTTGAGAGAAAGAGAGCAGGCCAGCACCGACCACTCGAGAAGTGACCCGAGGAAGGCTTACTTCACCTACCATCCTTATGACGTAGCGTAGCATACACTTGGGAAAAGGCCACGAAGGCTAGGGCAAAAAAGGGAGCAGAGTCGATAAAGCTCGGTCGTTGTTTCGTGCATGTTCGGCAACGTGAAAGCAAGCACATGAAAGCACATGTGTATTGCCACGAAGCTTCAGCCTGCAAGGTGCTCGCATCCTTCTGCTTCACACTGGCCCACATACAGATTACACCCTTGTCGCGCCGTAGTATGTATGTAACTGCAGGTCAGTGAAAACAACCTAACTCTGGCAACTCCCCCGAAACTCCGAGAACTGGGTTAAGCCTCACGCATTGCACAAGCTTGTGGCGCAGGCTCCCTACATCAGCGGCAGGATAAGCCACCACCACATGCGTAGTATTTAAAAGGAAGGCGATCTCAGCGTCAGGGCGCGATCCTTTCCATATTGAGACAAACGTTCGCTGGGTACTAGTAGGAGACATAGAATACTGAATACTGACTTCCAAGGAATCCACGCGGAGTCCGCCTGCACCTAAAGGTCAACCTCATCGATGCCAGCATCCCAACACGTACGGTCGACAGAGTCCAAAACCAGGGCACGCGAAACCATGCGCAGACTGTGCCCGCAAAAGGAGAGCCAGGCGGCGTGCAGTCACCCGTCCACACATTGCGGTGCCTGTGGCTTGCAGTGGCGCCGTTTCCTTCGTGTTGCTTCAAAGCGTTCTCGGCAAGCTTCCGGTTGTCCTTGGCGCTTCGCTGTCCAAACCTGGCCTGTGCTGCTCCAAGTCCTTGGGGCTGAAAAGCCTGCGGTCTACTTTGCTGATGTTGCGCGTGGTGGACCTCCTCGCGATGCACCATCAGTCACACGTCCAATCGCCTTCCGGCTGGACCCCAAGGGCTGGAGCTGCAGCGTCAAGTCTTTGCGGTCGCTTCGTGAGCCACTTAAAGAACCCTTCACAGGCCCTGTGATTGTCCCCGCGTGCATCGCCGAGGCTCGCGACGAGGTTTGCCTTGGGCCCGTGCGCAATCCCCGTCACCTGTGCTGACTTTGCTTCCGGCGGACCTTGCGCAAGCTGGTGAAGGCAAGTTGTTTGTTCCAGTGTTGGTGACTCTTCTACAGTACCCCCGCTGCCATGCTTGCTCGGCTTGGCACTCCTAGCGACTGCGGCTCTGAGCTCGACTGTCGCGAAGCTGGACAATGTCGATCACGGTATCGCTTCCACTTCCGGGCGCTCCGCTGGTGTAGCTTCCCGGATAATGGACTTTTGCGAGGCCTCATGTGGTCTTCTCCTCATTTCCGTGTAGTTCAAGGCGAGCCTCCTCGGCATACTGTCTGCGTTTGTGTGCTTCCTGTGGTCTTCCTGCCGGAGACCCTTGTTCCCCTCACTTCTTGGCCTCCGCCTTGTGTTCTTTGACCAAGATGATGAAAGATTGTCATCGTCCCTTTTCTTGTACAGGGACGACAACAGGAGCATCGTTGATGACAACTGCGCTGCGGGCTTCAAAGAGCGGTTTGGCAAGCGTCAAACGAGCAGGAACGACTCTTTCGAGCACCTGGGATTCACTGTCGATTTCCTGTGCGAGCTTCGCAAACCGTCTCCGGCGTCCCGGATCCCTGGGCAACATGGAGGTGCACGAAGCCATATAGGCTGCTGTGGTCCTCGCCTTTGGTTCCTGCCGTTGAGCGAAAGCTTGTCAACTATTTCTTGCTTGCGTGCACGGGAGCTTTACTTGGCGGCCACGTCACTTTGTGCACCCTTGCTATGCCTGTGCTGTCAGATGCCTCACCTCTGCGGCGGGCAAAACGGGTCCAACACTAAGTGACAGAACCGATTCTTGATGCTTCACGGAGGCACGCAGCGTGGGGCGCGCCCACAGCAGCCGAGGTGAGGCCTTCCGCGTCTGCGGGGGTGTGTGAGGTCGTCCGTCGCGCTAGTTTGCCTGGCAGCTCCCGGCACGGGCGGGTAGAGCAACAGCAACATGCAAAGGGGTACGACGAGCTGCCAGGCGAAGGAGAGCAAGGCCACCTACGGGAATCACGAAAGCCACGTCGACGAAAGCCGCGAGATGGTGGATGGGTTTTGCGATGCACGGGACACCGACACAGCGAGCGCTTTCCAAGAAAACCAAGAGGATTAAAACCAAACCACCTCGGGACCCAGGAGCCTAAACCGAAAGGGCGGGGCGAGGGAATGCAATGCAAAGTGCAGAACGCCACAGGCGTGCCCGGGCCTGAAAGGAGATCACTCCAGAACGACGCCGAAACCTCAGGCAAGGCCGAGGAGACTGCAATCGGGACAACGGCAGAGGCACAGGGTGAGAAAGGAAAACGGAAGATGCAAGGTTGCGAATGTGGCTAAATCGCAAAGATTTGCGAAAGCGCACCTGCCGGCCCAATTAATCAGGGAGGGATAGGGAGGGCTGTCTGCCGAAGGGAAGCCCACTGGCCACAAACATGCAAGACATGCAAAAGAGATGGACCAAGCAAGTGAAGGGATCCAAGCAACAGAGGCCTAAGGTCCTGCGAAATCCTGCAAAGCAAACTTGAGACAGCAGGCCTGAACAGAAAGCAGCAGCTGCTCGTATTTCGTACCTTCCGAAGAAGGCCCCTCACCACAGCAAGGACGTAGTGCAGCATGGTGAGGTCGTACCGTCGCACCTCGACCGACCTCATTGACTTCCGGAATGTCCCTGCATAAGGCAATAACTCGGCCATCTACGAGCAGCTTCGAACTGTTCTGATGGCAGCAAAGGCTTGAAACCTTCCGCGAAGATGCGCTCGACCGCGTAAAGACAAAATGCAAGTTGCCATGTTGCGTGAACAACGGACCTTAAGGTGAGGCGGGGGCCCTACTCGCGTTGTACAATATTATGTTCAGTCCTCCGAAAAGTACAGGCTACAGAAACGCCCAGGAACCAGGTCGGACACGGCTGGATGCCACAACACTTCTCCCTGTACGAAATGAGATAGTGACAGATAGTGTGGAGCTTTCTGCATATGCAAAGTTCGATGACGGAATTAAACCACAAGGATTGAAACAAGATCCAAGTCTGACAGCTGCAGTCCACTCTTATGTAGAGGAGCGGAGCCGTTCATGTCATATCACCGCAAGCGACGTCACACGACGCATATTTGGCTGCATGAAGCATAAATGGGCTTCTTATTTGGATAAGCTGCAGATTCGCCTCGGGCTTCAGGATTTTACGTAGATGTTCTGAGTTCTGCTCTGCCCTGAGGAGCTCTGCCTGGCCGCGGGGAGTGCTGATGTCAAAGGGCTCGAGAGCCGCCCGGGCACGTGCCACCTGGAGCTTTGCCAGCTGACAGGGTTACGTAGGACCTTCTTTAAGTGCTCTCCGATTTGATGTGCCATGTCGGCACCTGCCCTTCCAGCCCGCCTCGGACCAATCGGAGCAGATCGACTCACTGTGCACCGACCAATAGGAGCTCCTCTGTACAGGCCGCTCATCTCCACTGTTAACCCCAAAGTAACACCTGAGCAACGGCTCCTCGAGACATGGTCGGCTTCTTCCTGGACTTCGCTCACCTGATATGGCCAACTGCAGGATTCGGGGTTCGCCCGCAAGCGTGATGTCGCCTTCTGGCTTAAAGCTCTGCGCGCGTGTGATCTAGCAATCGATGGAGCATATGATTGGACACAGCTGCGAAGCAGCCAAGTTTGTGTCGGGCTCAGGCTCCCTAGGCTTGAGCCCCTGACTTGTTTATAGGATAGTTTAGGATGCTGATGACGACCGTAAACGTGCCTCCCACAACCCCAAGCCGCCGTCTTCCTCAAGACTAGGTCACGATGTGCTGCGTACGCGGCTCTGGTGTCACTCCTGGTGTCTACAAGCATGTGCTTGGGTTGGCACCTGGCCGACGAGGTAAACCTCCTCCTCTCGCAAACCTCAAGCTCTGAGCGCTGCACAGTCACTAAAATCACTACAGTACCATATCTCGCTCCGAATTGGTACGGAGCAGTTCTCTGGGTCCCGGGCGCTCAAGTGTGGCTTCGCGGGCTTTCCTTTCGGCACTGATCTCCGAGTGCAGCACTTCTCCATGAACACAAGCCTCACAGCTTTGGAGACCAGAGCTTTTAAGGGTTTCGGCTGGGACACCGTACTCGAAGGCTCCAAGACAAGCTCGGCGCAAAGCACAAAAAGCCCGGATTATCTTGCAACACAAGTGCCGGCACAAAGGTTTCGTAAGCTTCCATCAACACAGAGGGTTTCAGTTGATACCCTGATTTGCCATATCGTTTAACAAGCCTTCGCAACCACACTCACGCAGTGTTCTCTCGAAAGCTAGCGAACATACTGTAGGGCCCGGGGGGAAAAACAAACCTTGTCATTTAATGCTGCTCGAACACTTGCCGCCGACCTGCGAAGATACGGTCCCGTCGATCCTACGTTTCATGAGAAAGCCCTGGCTGTTGTCGAGTCATGCAGATGCAGTATTCAGTATTCACTCGCAGCATCTGTCAGCATCATGGAAGGTCTCGACCCTGTACACGTGCGCACGACTCTGAAGAACAAACAGACAGTAAACGGACAAACCCAGTGCTGGTCTGCTTTCGCACAACCTTCAAGAACACTGTTGTTCAGCCTAATTGCCTTGCCAGGCCTCCGTCAACTCTTCTCGTAAGGCCCACCGATCGTCCCGACCCCTGGCCTGGAACGTCACAGCAAATGCTGGTTCTGCGCATCAACGGCAGTGAGAGGATGCAACGAGACCTGGGCCTGAACTCCCTGAACCGCCTGAACTGAACCCAGGCTCTTCGGAAAGGATTCCGCATTTCATGCAGTGGCACCTCCAAGAGCTGGAGCTTCTGCAGCAGCTCATCCTGTCGAAGCCGCTGGGCCTCCGTGCCAAGCAGAAGGGGCAGCTGACAGGCTCCGTCCTGGCCTAGTCTCCGCGGGCGCGCGGCCTGTTTCGTTTCAGCGGCTTCTGTTTGGACCTCGCTACGCCCTCCTTTACTGAAGTTGTCCACGGCCAACCTGGGCAATCCCTGAGGTGCCTCCGCTGCATCCTGTTCTGAACGCCGACGGGATCGAATCTCAGCAACAATCGCCTCAGTACGACTGCAGCGTACTCAACAAGCTGCAGCACTGATGGCTTCGTTGCTATTGCTGCTGACTACCACTTCTGCATCCGTGAGGGCATGTCTAGCTTTGAAAGCTCAGCCAGCCAAACTTTGCAATCCGTGCATCATTGAACCTACAGACCACGCTGAGAGAGAGAGAGAGAGAGAGAGACAGAGAGACAGAGAGAGAGGGGTGGGATCTCATGCAGGCCCGCCTCAGCATTCTCTTGCTCAGGGGCAGTGAAGCCGGTCTCCTCTGGATGATCCTTGGCTACGGGGACTAATGACTAATGATGGTACTGGTAGCTGGGACCAGAAGCTTCTGAAAGCATACTGTCAAAGCACCACATAAACCCGCACTCCAAGTGCAGCAAGCTGATGTGTCGTCAAGCTTCGGCTGAATCGCCGTCCTGCTCCGGTTGCATCTGCACCTGGCACGTTGCGGAATGCGCCGGCAGCGGCACCAAGGCAGCGACCTCGCGGAGGCGGAGCTCCGCCTCGTTCGGTGATCAGACATGGTGCCGGACGCGGCAGTGCGGCAGTGCAGGGTGATGCTGGGTGCCTGGTGGAGTGCCCGCTCCAACTCGTCGTGGTTTTGCCGAGCTTGGCGCAGCTCGCGATCATCCTCGCACAGCACGCACATGAAGCGTGTACGCTTGTTGTGGTCCAACGTCCTCACTGTCGTCCTCCCGGGACCTCCGTGGAAGCTTGGGCTTGGAGTCTAGGAGCGTCTCTGGGCCTGAAGCCTGCCTGGGCGAAGGTGGTCCGGTGGGATGCCGAAGTGCTTGAAGCTCGGCCTCCGAAGTGGGCAAAGCCAAAGGCAAGCTGAAGGCTTAGAGCGCCCGAAGCCTCTACGTGCAGCAGCTCCTGTCGAAGGACATCGCCTCAGCGAGGACCGCTGGCTCCGGCAGGCTGGGAAAGCTGAGACAAGTTGAGATGCGAGCATTGTCGGGAGACCTCTTCCTGGACTGTGGCGGCCTAACCCGGTCCAGTCCGCAGAAAATCGGGGATTCAGCCAACAATGAATTATCATAGAATATCATAGATCTGCAGGATGCTGCAGGACAGCAAGACAGTGAGACGGCCTGGTGCAGTAATTCTTGATCTTGGCACAGCCCGTTCTGCGCCTGAGAACTCATCGACTAGTGTTCCATCCGACTTCACAAAAGATGCAACATAACAGCATCGGGATGATACAGTCGAGATTACGGAGAGGGGCCGGCCTGGCAAAGGGCCCAAAGAAGCTGAAGCCGCACCTCTCGGGTGGCCACCAAGCTCAAAGCAGACACAGAAAGCGGTGGAAAGCTGGAAAGGAGGAGGCTGGGAGGCTTTACACCCGGGGCTTTAAGCTGTCGCAGACAAGCAAACTCTAACTCTAGCTGACTTTAGCTGCTCTGGCTCCTCTAGCTGCTCGAGCTCGGCCGCCGCAAAGTTCGAGCACAAAAGAACCAGAAAGATTTAAGATGACGTACGCTTGGAGGGGAACGGTTCCAGTTTGTCTTCTAACATGCAAAAAGAGCGACCGTCTGCCAGCAGCCGCGGACAGCAGATCAACAGGCACTCGAATTCAGCAGTTCCGCTGCTTGACTCTTGACTTGACTGCCACATCCAGCCTCGACCTCCGGAGATGTCCTTTGCAGATGTTGGATAGCCAAGTGGGCCGAATTTTCAGCCCCGTGACCCAACTGTCACTTGTACACAAGCTTCTGACGAGATGACCCACATGCCGGGAGACAATTAGGCTCTAGTCGGCACGGGTGCAAAAGCTCAGCCTTCGACGGTTCTGGTTCTGTCAGCGAGGTTGCTGGATGGAGGGCTTTGCTCACCTTAGCTGGTTAGTACTCCATCAGAAGAAGCGTCAACCAAAAGAGTGGATGCGCCTGACCTCACGGTCTGACACCACGGTTCCCTCGCAAGCAGTGGGATCCCTGCATCGTCGCCCTCGCCTTCTGCAACGTCCTCGCCACTCACCTTGCACCGCGTTTTCTTGCAGCGAAGTTCTTCCGGAGCTTGAGTTTTGATGATCCTACGCTCGGTTGAGCGTAGGATCTGTTATGATCTGCCGGCAACGACACCCTTCGGCTCGTCGCCTCTGGAGCCATGGAGGGCCAATCGCTCGGCCAGCGGCTCCATGTGCCCAAACCTCTTACTGCCCGGCGATGGCCCGGTCGCTAAGCTACTCTGGCGAAACTTGCTGATTGGGAGTGCCGATGCTCAACCGCACGTGCGATGCTGCATGACTCCAGATTATCCAGATTACGAAAGACTCCTTGCACCTACATAGGCTTCCGAAGCAGTCACCCAGGAAAGGGGAGAATGTGAAAGAAGATGCGGAGGTGCAGCCGTTCAGCGCATCGCAAACGAGACGGACGTCGACTTGCCTCGCTCGCAAACAAGCTTCTTGCACCAACGCCGCACAGGTGACGGGCTTCCCATGCTTGCCGGCGGGGTGAAACTCCAATGTTTGAAGCCCAGTGCCTCTCAAGTTGGCCGACGTATGGCTTCGTAAGAAACGAAGATTTTGGAAACCCGCGGACTGAGACCAGCAAGCCAGCGGCTAGGCCGTAAGGCTGCAGGAGAAAAGCTCAAGCACGCGGTAACACCGCCGGGGGTTCACTGTAAAGGTTTCTATGACTGCTTTCCGTGATATGTCTTGACGGACTCATGGACCTGTCAGCGTTCGGAAGGGCGCCCCACGGGTGTAGTGGAATTAAACTGCTTTCCCACAGGACCATGTCACTTCACTCAAATGTCCTCACCGGACTCTTCATCTGACGAGTACCTGCCGGGTCCAGGTGTGGTTGGTAACTTCGTCATGCTTCCCATGCGCACGCGCTCTAAACTCAGGCAATGCATCGCACAGGATTTCCAAACGGACGCTGAGACGAAACCGAAGTCGAGGCTGCATGGCTGTCCGCAGGGCTGCAACGCTGCAACGGCGCACTGGGATTCCCCGGGAAGTAGGAGCCGGTACCTCAGCACAGCGGCAGTAAGCAGCTGCGGGGAGATGCGGGCCGCGTTCGAGGTCTCGGCTGGAGGATGTCGTGGGGCTTCTCGTTTCCGGAGCGAATCTCCTCTCAAAGCCGGAGCTCAGATGAGAACGGAGAGGGAAGAGAGCGGTCGGGCGAGGTCTGAGTCTCCCCTCTGCCCTGGCCTGGTCGAAGCGCTCCTTCACCTCTGGGAAATGCTCCAGAGCTTCTCTAAAAATCTCCTGCGTCACGACGGAGGGCCGGCAGCGCTCAAAAAGGCTCTCCAAAGTCTGCCTCCCGAAGGGCCGGCAGCGTAATCTTCCGCCTCTCAAACCTTCAGATAGCCCGAATAGGCTGTCTCGACAGCGAATCAGGCTTGCAGTCGTGGTGCTCGAAGTCCGTCGTATCCAAGGGCTCCCTGGTCGGCTCATCCTGCGTTTGCAGCGTGATTGTCTGCAAACGTCCAGCTAGGCAAATGTTCTCGATCTCTCCTCGGGGCAATGCAATTTGTCCAGGTAAGGATGCGCGATGGCCTGTCATGAGGATGTGTCAACCGGGTCGACTGACATGGTTGTTAACGCAAGGGAGTTGGAGGCAAGTTCTGAGGCACGTTAGCCATTCCCAAGCCTTTTCAGCTCACCTTGCCGGAAGGGATGTGACTGGTGTGCACTGGCGCTTTGCCAGTAGGCGATTATGCAGTGGGAACAAACAACCGCGACGACATGGATGAAGCATTCTCAAGCCACGTTCTTGCAAAGTATCGATACAACGATTCACCTGCACCTTAAATGTGCGTGTGCATGCTATGATGTTGTGAAGCAAACAACAACTCTGGAGTGAAAGAATGAAACATGTTGCCATTCAACCACAGGCTACTGTTCGAAATTTCCATTTCCGTTAGTGCGATTGTGCGGTGTCCTTGCCAGCACTCTTCACCGCCGTTTTGCTGAGATCAAACACATAGTTTGTGTGCGGCCCCGCCTCACTAATAGTGGGCAGAAACAGAAGCACAAGATGAAGCACCAGGGAAATGCTGAAATGTTGACTCGTTTGTGATCATGCTCGCATGAATGGAAAACGCAAGACTGAAACAACAAGTAAACTGCCACCCCATGAGTTGTAAACACAGTCACACCCCTGTTGTTTTCTCGGATTCGATCTTGAGCAAACATCAGGAGCTGCAATGCCTCTGCGGGACTAGGGGGGGCGGGGCGGGGGGGGCTGGGGGTGCTGGGGGGGGCTGAGGGGGCTGGGCTGGAAAGCTGAACGGACGGGGGGGTGGGGGGCGGGCTGAGGCCGGGCCGGGGTCTGGCCTCTTCGACCAAGTTTAGTACTGAGACGCGTACCCGGGCGCGACATTTCGATCACAGAAACGTCTTTTCTGTTGTGCTTTTCTTGTGCTCGAAACGATCCGATTGTGCTTTTTTTTTGTGCTTTTCTTGTGCTCCAAAAACCAAACGTGTTTGTATGTTTGTGCTTTTTTTCTGTGCTTTTCTTGTGCTCGAAACGCTCCGGCTGTTGTGCTTTTCTTGTGCTCGAAACGCTCCGATTGTGTTTTTTTTTGTGCTTTTCTTGTGCTCCGAAAACCAAACGTGTTTGTATGTTTGTGCTTTTTTTTTGTGCTTTTCTTGTGCTCGAAACGCTCCGGCTGTTGTGCTTTTCTTGTGCTCTGTCTGTACTCTTTCTGCAATCTAGGCAGGCCTCCGGGCTCGTTTCCGCAAACGTGTTTGCATGTTTGTGCTTTTTTTTGTGCTTTTCTTGTGCTCGAAACGCTCCGATTGTGCTTTTTTTTTGTGCTTTTCTTGTGCTCCGAAAACCAAACGTGTTTGTATGTTTGTGCTTTTTTTTTGTGCTTTTCTTGTGCTCGAAACGCTCCGGCTGTTGTGCTTTTCTTGTGCTCGAAACGCTCCGATTGTGCTTTTTTTTTGTGCTTTTCTTGTGCTCCAAAAACCAAACGTGTTTGTATGTTTGTGCTTTTTTTTTGTGCTTTTCTTGTGCTCGAAACGCTCCGGCTGTTGTGCTTTTCTTGTGCTCGAAACGATCCGATTGTGCTTTTTTTTTGTGCTTTTCTTGTGCTCCAAAAACCAAACGTGTTTGTATGTTTGTGCTTTTTTTTTGTGCTTTTCTTGTGCTCGAAACGCTCCGGCTGTTGTGCTTTTCTTGTGCTCGAAACGATCCGATTGTGCTTTTTTTTTGTGCTTTTCTTGTGCTCCAAAAACCAAACGTGTTTGTATGTTTGTGCTTTTTTTTTGTGCTCCATGATTTCAAAACACATTGGCGCGCGGCAGTTCTGGTGCAAAATTGTCTCTGTCTGTTGTGCTTTTCTTGTGCTCGACGCGGTCCGATTGTGCTTTTTTTTTGTGCTTTTCTGGTGCTAGTTTTGCTCTGTCTCTCTGGCGGCCGGGCCAGTCCAGTCCCCGCGTCCAGGCCGTCTGAAAGAAGGTCTCCGGGCCCAGGTTGCGATGGTAACGAAACCGTGGTTCCAAACCTCTTCGCTGGTAAGTTGCAGATAGCTCCTCCCAACCTCTTCGCCGGTCCGACCCCATCTCACAGCCGTAATCGCCATACTATGCCAAACATATTTGGATTCAAAACACTGCCTGGCCCTGGAAAACCGAATGAGATCAGATTTCCTTGTGCTACTTTTGGCCTGTCTGTTTGATAATAAACCTATTTTTGAACTATTAGTGGGCCGGGGCCCCATCTAACACATAGTCCATGATTTCCAGACTTCATGCCGCTGCAGGCCAATGTTGTCAATCACAAGGTTGATTTGCACGCGGTTACGGCATCAAATGGTTACTCATTCACTCAACCCACGTCTCAAGTGGGTATCACATGCCTGGACTCTTCAATCAAGTAGCATGCATACACCGTAAGTGATTGCGAGCGTTGAGACTGGTTATTCATCGGCTGGTCTTTCTGTCTTTCCCGGCCTCCTCCACGCTGAGTCGACTCAAAGGGTCCCAGCGCAACATCTTCCTAAGGATGTCCTGCGACGGAACTGGCGTGCATGTCTGGCACTGATGCTAGCATTGTGTCTGTGTGCAACAGCGTAAGCCTTCACATGCACTGCTGCGGTATGGGAAAACACAGAAACGACCTTGGGAACAATGCTCAATGCCAGGGGCCCCACTACCGCAGGTTCTGGCATCGACTTGAATACCTGCCGAAGCAGACGACACTAGAGGACGGAAGAACGTGGGCCGAGTCGCGGCCTCTGGAAAGCTCTTGGTCGCATGGACCGGCAGCGACCTGGAAGCTGGCAAGGTGAAACGCAAAACCAGACCACGACTCAACACCACAACTCCGCGGGTGCTGCTTGATAAATTTCCGACACTTCTCGTTCGGAATCTTCATGAGCTCCTGGTCCAAGATAGCGAGCACTGACTGGCAAGCCAGTTGACACAGTGAGCCTGAGAATCAGGGGAGCCGAGAAGGTCGATGATCATGTCCAGCTGGTTTTGAGTACTCTGCCTCGGTGGGAGCATGGGGCCATGGGGATCTTCTGCATTCCGGAATGGGGCCCCTGCCCTGGAAAAAGCGGTCTGCGGGTCGACATCTCAGCCAAAATGCAGCCGATCGACCTTGTGCAACCATGTCGGTGCAATGCGGAGTACATCGCATGGTGCCGGCTGCTGAATGGCCCAAGTTCCCCACCAAATGTCGATGGCACCTCACCAGGTCACCACCACCAGCTTCTAAGGACTGTAAAGTCCGTGACAGGCTTTGGTGTCGACATGCTGGACATCTTTAGCTTTGAGGACGCCTCGTGAACCTGGTTTACCCCTGCGCCGTAGTGGTGGTGCATCAATTGAAGATGAGCAAGAAATAGCAAGAACATTCGGAGCAAGTAAGTGTCTCGCACGAGTAGTCTGTCCAAGAGCACAGCACCTTGCCAGTCTGTCCCATGATTTGGCAGTGTCTGGAGTCGCCACTGCAGGACTGTCATGCTGACATGGCTGCGAGCCTCTGGAGCACGATACCAGCGCGTGCAAACGTACCTGGAAGCCCCGAGAACCGTCGAAATGCGCTGTGCCACTGCCCGGAAGTACGGAGCCTCCGAGGGGCGCACTCTGTCATGGGACAGACCCACTCTTTGTCGGAGAAGCGCACTCGGGCCAAGCCAAAGTCGCAGATCTGCTCCGGCCGCTGCTTGCCATGCACTTCAAGTAGCTATGCCCTGGTGGCACGTTTTCCCAAACATAGTGAACTACATGGCTATGTAGTGGACCAAATTTCACTGCGAGACAGGAGCCCCGTGCAGATCTAAAGAAGAGTACACCAGGAGCCGATTGCAGGCCTTGAGGTCGCAGTTGCTATTCACCAGCAGATTTCTTGGTTTCAAGTCCCGGTGAATGACCTGCGCGGGATGCAAAGGGGTTTCGTGCTAGTAAGCATCGAGCAGGTTATATGACGTCCAAGGGCATAGTGATGTTGCAGTGGAGCTAGAACTTGTCTCGCGCTTGAAGCTAGACAGGGTGGATAGGACCCCAAAGGTGGGATGAGTTCCCAATGCCCGCCTGAGCTGAGTGCACGTACTTCATACCACGGAGGATTTGGTACAAAAAGAACCTTCGAGCTTGGCTTGCAGGACCGACATGCGGCAGGCTCGTCACCATCCAGTGCATCTTTGGACTGCTAGTTGAGACCCTTGCTGACAGTGATCGTCTGTCAACATTTGAGAAGACCTGAGCCACGCTGACTTTGAGAGATTAGGTTGCAAGGCCCAAAGGCAGGAAAATGTAAGGCTTTGCCGGATGACCGATGAGCTCCGCACCTCAAGGTAGAAGCCAAGTCGGTCTCCATGAGTTCCGAAACAACATACAGCTCCTGACAGAACAAGCTTAGTGATTGAATATGTCAGCGGTCGTCAACATTCGGTGCACTCTTCTCCTGGAAGGTATATCTGGAGCCCACCATAAAAATGTTCTTGACCTGCGACAGTGACGATTTGCAAGCAGCCTCTGTGTTTGTTTGGAGATTATGCCAAAGGCAAATAGACGAAGCAAAAGCCATATTGCAACTAAAAAGTCGTAGACAGAAGTGAAAATATCGCAGAGATATAGATGGTGTAGGTACATGCACTCGACCAAAGCAGTGCACATGCTCCGCACATGTCTTTTTCAGAGCCTGGTGCTTCGCTTCTTCTAGCACACTATTGTCGTACAGTTACAGGTCCTTCCCGAAACGGAACGACTTAGGTTTACGACTGACCATGCCTCAAGATTGACCTTGCACTGAAATTGTGCATGTCCTCTTGTCCTACACATAGCATACTGTGAAGGCTTCAAGCCTACACGGTTTGGCTTCAGGGTTGAGGATTCTTGATGCGTTGTCAGCTCTGCACCCAAACTTCAGGTGCACTGCACATGAATCATCCAGCGATCAAGCGAAGGCTTGCGAAGATTGCAGGAACACTGGCCCCTAGGTGCTGCTGGCCAAAAGGCCAAAGCTATTTTGCACTAAACCGTTCACTTGCTCCCTCGCTGGCTCCTTAAACCGTTGCTGGAAGAAGTTTCTGGCCGGTGTACACGCCCATTTCTACCCAAAAGTGCCAACTTTCCAACAGTGCCTGTAGACTCAGCAATCACAACCGCTTTCCGACAGCCCCCGGGCATCACGTGGCCTGCATGAGGTTCTCGTGTTGTAGATGTCGCAGGATCCGGAGCTCCCGGAGCGTGCGCTGGGCAACGGGTCGACATGGAGCCACAGAAAACATGGAAGCTCTGACGGAGGCTGGACTGGACTTAGTACTTCGGTCCCCTAAGCATCATAAGCTCACATTCCACGTCTTGCAAGGCCCTGTGAGCTGCGAAGTGCATCTGACAGCTGCTAAGCCTTGGCGATCGTAATGTGCTCGAAAACACCCTCGATCTTCTTGAGCGCAACTTTCTCCTCGATCTCCTGCAAGGCACAACCAACCAATCTCAGCACGGGGAAGGGCTTCTGCTTCAGTAACAAAGTTTTGGGATGGTGGTACAAGAAGAGAATATGAGCAAAAATGAATCGGCAGAACACAACAGTTGGCCTGCACGAACCACTACGCTGAAAGACGCTTCGTGTGTCTGACACTGTCAGGCTGCAGATCTCAACTCGTTTTGCACCGGAAAACCTGGCAAGCCTGCTCATCACGGCTCTGAGCCAGGAAAGAGTCATTTTCTACTTTCTGATGCGCCTTCTCCTCCCGAGTGCCAGTTGCACCACTACTCTTTGACACGTCTGTATGTCTTGGCAGCCGTGCGTCAGGAAGAACTAATCACTAGTGCTCTTCCAAGTGCCCTGTAACTGTGCTTGTTGCCCACAGCGACGACTTTGCTGCCGGCTGGTTGATATGCATCACGCCTTTGTACGCCTCACTTCCACACCTGCCAAATTCAGCATTCACACCTCTACAGAAATGCCCGTCGACGGCAACTATCTTCATGATAGGACCGGGCGAGCGGCGCTTCTGATCTCGGCGGAGCCATCGGCGTTGATGACACACTGAGAGTGCAGTTTCACCTCAGGCAGGGAAATACTTGCGACTTGAACCTTCACAGTGTAGTTGAAGCTTTGCGGGCTCCTCACCCCTTTCCACCCAGGCTGCATCCACTCCTTGGGCTGACATGTTGCTCAAGAGATCTCAAGAGCATCTATGGCATCTACCGGCATCTCTCGGTCTCCGGCCCAGCTCTTCCAGTCATCCCAGTCGATCTTCATAGCATCCTCGCATGGAGAGTCTGGCAAGAGGCTTTCTGGTTGTCCCTCGTGAAATCTCCCTGTGCTGGCTGAGTCTCCTGAAGGTTTGGTAGCTGCCGTGGCTGCATGCGGGGTGGCAGGTCCTGGAAAAGCGCGTTGCGCTTCTGATTCATCAGATATCTTGTCTTGTCGACAGTTGAAGCCTTGTGCTGCTATGGAAAGTAACCGACAATCTGCAGGACTATTTATGACAACTTTTCATGATGCGAGAAAAATTACAGGAACCAGACTCCATGGCCTTGGTAGGCACATTGTAGAACTCCTGGTGCAACTTGTCCTGCCACAGTGCGCGCACATGTTCAGGATACACAAGATCACGAACCCCTCAGATCAATCCAGGCCTCAATGATGGAACGGACCACAGCAAAGTCATCCGACATCTTTGACCTTCCGCCACGGACGAGCTTGAAAAACTCTCAGCCACATGATCTGACTGTGACATGAGACTATCTCTCTCCCTTCTTCTTCTCCAGAGCATGACGAGTTAGGTCAAGCAGCCACTAGGCTCCGCCCCCCATAAACTCCAGGAGGATTGCTTGGACAGGAAACTCGATCGAACACAACCAATTGAACAAACTCAGAGTATAGTTGCACGGTAGAAACAATCCGTGGTTCGATCTTCTGCGGGCACATAATCGAATTTGTGGATTGTCCCCTGATAATTCTGAGATTCCAACTACTGCACCCAGCTGCAACGAACCCGACATCCGACTCCTTGTCTCTTTCACTCTCGGATGGGCCTGTGCAAAGACCCTGCAGGTCCAGGGGCGCGGCCGGAGTAGCTGTTGGGCCAAGAGGGCGTGAAATACATACAAAACGTGCATAGAACCGGCCAAGCCAGCTGCAGCATTTGGAGGAGCACGTATTAAACGCATAACTCCGGTCTCCTTATCCTCAGCGGATACGACGATGCCATAAGCTCCGTGACCTCAATCGGATGCCGACATAGATGCTGCGACGGGAGCTGCATCCGGGCAGTCCCTGTCGTTAGCTCGCGACTCATGGGCTCATCTATGTGATACCGCTTTGGCACCTTGGGTGAGCCCGCTGCAGATGCTACACGATTTTGCGCCGTCACGTGCCTCGAAGGTGGAGCCCTGCACCGAGAAGGAGCATGTCTCCAGCTCCAAACTATCCACCGGCATGTGAGCCTGTCCTGAGCTGACTTTGGGAGTTAGAGAATTCATGTCCCCGCCCGTTTCCCGCTTCTGCAGGCAAGGGACAGAAGCTACCAGACTGGGCCAAATATCTCTGCTGTGAGCCAAGAATACGGGGTGGACTGAGCCTCGACGATATGCTGCCAAGGTACAGCAAATCAGATTTCGCTCGTAGTAACTGGAGCATGCAGAGCTGCGTAAGCATGCGTAAGCGTGGTTGCGACGAATGGGGACGCAGGGAAACACATCAAGTTTTCGCACTCGCCATCTGCAGAGACACACATCTCGTATTGCTTCGCATGGTTCTGGATGCTCAGAACCTGCGTCGAGAAGGAGCACGCAGAAAATTTCCATGAGCCAGTACTGAGACTGTAATTACTGAGGCGAGAGAGGCAGACAGAAAGAGAGAGAAGGCAGCATTCGATGGCCTGGATATCCGTGTTCTCTGCGGTGGAGCCAGGCGCCACGATCAGAGGTCCCGGCCAGGAAACACGACATGCCTCCAGATGGCCCATCTGTCATCTATGCATGAGTCACACCTTATGTGCACATGCAGGAAGCTCGCTTCTCCATGCTGCCGTCCTGCTCCTCGTTTTGCGGACAGCGCGGGGCATAGGCCTTACCAGTACAGCAGGCAGGGAAACAAGGGAGGGCTTCTGGTGCCTGAGCCACTGAGCCACTGAGCCCTCGACCCGTAGAGGGGTAAACTCTGCCGGCCGCCGGCTCAGAGCTCGAACCTACAAAGCACAAGACCATCACAAGACTATCCAAGAAAATTATAAAGCAGTCTTGTGCGGAACTGCAAACCTAAGGCTGCCCTTGCGCTCTCCTACGACGACTCGCCATCAAGGCGTCTCGTTTGAAACTGGCAGCGTCAAGTTTGACCGTCACAGTCCGTGGATGGGCTCTCATTGCCGCACTGCCTAAATCGCACTCAAGACGTCAAGAGCGGAGTGATACACAGATACATTGATGGACGCTGTTCACCCAATCCCTTTTTCCTCAATCCACCAAGGTGCCCAAAGAGCGAAAGGCACAAAGACCGGCGAGCGAGAGCGAGAGAGAGGCAAAGGGGAGAGAGAGGAGAGAAGGAGAGAGAGAGAGAGAGAGACACCGACCCAGCTTCCTTGCACAGAGCAGCGCACAAGGCTTCCAGCAGCAACAACATCACCTGAATATGAACCAAACAAAAAATTCCCTTGCCCTGTGTTCCTCAGTTCATTCCATGCACTTTGTGCTCCCTGAATCTGCGCAAGTGCTGAGACAGGAGGAGGCATGGCGTCGAAGCGCCATCTGCGATCGGGCGCAGATGCTCGTTTTTCCGAGAGCCAGGATGCTGTCCACGCGCTGAATGCTTATGTACCGGCGCCGCTCGCGCGAGAACACAACTTGGAAGGGAGACCACGGAGGAAGTGAGGGCGGGTTCGGAGCTCCACTTCGGCCTCCAGGGAGCCAACCTCTTTGGCGAAGTGCTGATACCTGGGGCAAAGTATGGAGGCAGGGACGTGCAAAGCTCTGAACCTAGTCTTGATTGCAGTGAGGAACTTCCGGAAGCAGGGTCCCCGGACAGCCGTGAAAGCTCAGTGTCCACCTGCAAAGTTGTACTGCATGCTGCACTTAGACTTGGAGAATGCACTTTTGACACGCCCGGCACAAGTTCCGCTAAGGCTTAGGCCGCTCTGACCGGACAGACAGAAGTAGCAAGAGTGCAAGCAGCGCCCAAGGCAAAAAACGCGTACAGGCGGCCTGCAGGCTCACGGGGAACAGGTGCCGACAAAGTGCTCTAGCCTCAGTGCACATGAGTTTGAGCAGCTGCATGCCAAAGGACCATATGCCACAGAAGCTACACAGCTAGGTTCAAGCTTCAACACGACTGTTACTGGTAGCATTTCGTCCTGAAGGCTCTCGCAGGCTGAATTTTGCTGCAGCGGGCACGAAGACAGAAGTTTGCTTAAGTCAGCGGCACCAGCCGGCCGCAGCGCCACGCCGTAGCCTTGCGCTTGCCACAGGGAAAGCGGGTGGGTCATGGCGAGAAGCAGTCTGCAGCATATATCGACAAAGCCACATCCGAACAGTTCAGCTGGTCGGCCGACTGGGCACTCTGCCTGGACAAGTCGTGCATCTAGTTGGAGTGTTGACATGTCGACGCGAATGCTACCGATATCGCAGCAGAGCACGTGCTTCGCCAGTGTGCATTTGCTATTGGCATCTCCGAGTGCTCAGCACGTCAGCATTAAAGAGATACTGGCGCACACCGGGCCTCTGCACTGAGCTCAGTGCAAGCAACAAGTCAAATGACGAGTTGCCGGAAGGTCCATGCGACTACATAAACTTGGACAGAAGATTGTAGAGGCGCGCACAGCGACAGCTTCGACTTCGGCGTTGGTCGAAGACTACAGTGGCAGCTGTGGCTTAAAGAACCAAAGGAAGTCAGGAAGTGCACGGCATGAACGTACCTGCTTATCAATTGCGAAAGCAGGCTCACTTCCTTCGGAAATAAACGTTTACAAGCAGCGGCTCGTGATGCACAGCTCTCAGCGACCCTAGCGTCCAACGAAGCTCCCTCGCAGAAACTTCCACTGGTTTGATGATGCATAAACTTGCACCACACTACGATATGCCTGCCTCGTCCAGCTGAGAAATTGGTGGCTGTTGCCAGCGTGCAGGAGCTCTCTGATCCCTCTTTTGCACCCCAACAAATGAGAGAAGGGATAAGCGGTGTGCTTCACTGTAAGGAAGTCTCGAATTGCCTTCATAGACCAACTAGAGTGACCAGCTCTTTCAGTGTTGCTTCACTCCTTCATACGCCTCAACAACATCCTGTGAGGCGGCAGGGGTATTCAGAGTGAGCCAGCAGTGTTCAATATGAACACACAGAGGCAGCGGCGCGTGCACGGGGAATTCCCCGTTCAAAGCCGCAGCAGCAATGAATATAAAATGCCACAAAGCGCTTCTGCGACGGTGGCGAAAGGCGCTCCGTGAGCCGGGGTCCGACAGGGCCCCGACCCGGAGCCGGAATTTACATGCGGTGCCAAAAGCACACGCTGGCCGCGTGCAGAAAGCCCCGAGGGCAGCCAACCACGCGCCCCAAGCAGAAGTTACTAAGTTACTTGTGCTTTTTGGCTTTTTTGCCTTTCTTGTCATTTGTGGGAGTGGACAGCTCATGCTCGCCTTCATTGGGATTCTCCTGACAGCAACTGGGCACCAGGTTCTGGGCATTAGTGCCCTACGAACCGCAGTACGTATAGTTACCGCGCTCTCAGCAGGTGCCTCCTCCACCTTCTTCAGCTTCCCCAGCAGCTTTTTGAGCTCGCCGAGGGTGATTTTCCCGTCTTTGTCTTCATCCAGGAGCCTGCACGGGCCATGGGCCATGGGCTGCACTAGACCCGCCTGCAACTGCAAGTGCAGAGCCGGAGCTTTAAAAGCCGTTGCGACGACTGTGGCTTATTATATAGTTCATTGAGTGCCGCGGTACTGGAACATGATGTCTGCATCGCCCTCGTAGCCCAAGTTCTCCACGCTCGCCACCTCTTGCTGGATGCTTCAGGTAAAAACTGCCTGTACTGGAGGACGTAGTGGGTTCTCCATTTTGGGGCTGCGCATAGAACAGGCGGTTCCCTCGGCCATGTTGGGTTACGGAGCTAGTGGCCTGGCTATCCCTGGACTGTAACCACCGCTGTCATTGTTTCGGCAAGGACATCGAAACATGGAAGCAGCACTTCCTACTGGTAACTAACCAAGGCTATGCGGTTATGCAGGCGTCCGAAGCTAACAACCGCCCAACACCGGAAATTGTTGAGGTTCTGGACGGAGCATTGTCGGCTCCGGCAAGAGGTCACCCTTCGTCCGACGCTGAGAGAGAGCTCAACTTGAGTCAAGCCGCGAACTCTTTTGAGTCAATCTCTTTGTCGTGAGTGGTGTCCAATTTCTTGAAGGCTTCCTGCAGGTATCGGTGGCATGCGGATGGCTGCTGCCTGTCGTCTTCTTGGCTGGCTTTTCGTCATTGTTGCTTCGCTGCGTCATGTCCTAGCTTTGTACCTGTCTGTTTTCGTGCTTTCCAATTGCCTCCGTATACCGGAATTGCGCCAGGGAAAATAGCCTCATCGCAAGCCCAAAACGAGAAATATGCACCATCTAGAATGGTGGTACTGTGTGGACTGATAAGAGTCCTCCGACTGAGCCAGACCAATGCGCAGAGACAATAACACACGACGACACTTCGGAGCGTACGGGAGCGCGATGCCAATCCCGGTTGCGACCAGAATGCAAGCAGGTATCAGAAAAACCATAGAACGGTTACCAGATGCTTCGTGCTGCAGCAAAGTGTCAGGCAACACTAGCGAGAGGTTTGATGCTTGAATTCCCACGGAGTACTTGCTTTCAATGGGTGGGGTGAGGGTCTGTGGTGACATCTGTCCTCGATTTTCCCGAACTTCTTGCACAAGAAGTTCTTGAAGGCTCGCACAGGACCTGCGTGCAAACACCAGAACCATCTGTCTAAGCGGACGCATTTCCTCATGAGCCACCTGCCGGACTCTACGAGTAGAAACTCCATGGCGACATACTGCGACCACGTGCCATTAGCAGCCATGCGGGCCAGACAAATCTTGCTGCTTCGTTTTCGAGTGGAGGTAATTTCCAACTCGATCAAGAACCGCAGGTATCGGGCCGCCTTTCTTGATGAAGTCAAGCTCCGTCATCCTTGGAACATTGAAGAATCCTAAGGCTTTCTTAGGCCTTGTTGCTCACTTGGTGTGGCGGGTTCGTTCGAGTGCATGCGAGCGGCTGTCCGAACTCAGCTTTGGTGATCAGTCCTTCGTTGTCGACATCCTTGGCACTTTCAGCCGATTCCAAAGTTTCAGAAGGTGGAAGAGACCGTCGCCATCACAAGTGCAAGAGACTAATTCTACTGCTATGCTGCTGGAACCTGCAAGCAGTACGACGACGATAAATGCATGGCTGTGACGGTAGTGGTAAGTTAAATGCCTGAAAGAACAGAACGTGAGTGTAAGCGTGCAAAGAGGAAATCCGTTGGCAAGGATGCAGCTCGGACCCCTGCCACCAGGTCAAACAGGGCATTCGCATCGCCGGGGTAGTTGTTCCTCGTAAGATACTTCACCATCCTGGGCTAACGGGCCAATAAGTCTGTGACGAGCTTGAAAGTGCAGCTGGCCCAGCGTAAGAGCTTTGCTAGCCGCTAGCCTGTGCTCTCGGGTTCTAAGCTGTGGCCAAGCCGCTCTTCTCTTGTGACCTCTCACGAGGCGACAAGCGGTCTTGCTACGCATGCCGATTTGGCTTAGGGACGCTGACGCGGTCCACTTCGGACTGAGCTTCAGAAGCTTCGATTTCTGAAGATTCCGTGTTCCCGCCTGACCATCGTTGCCGCCTCCGAGCTCCTCGAAGGCACCTCCCAGTCGCCGGCGAGCAGGGAGAGTGCGCACTTTTGCGGGTTTCTGTACTCCTTCTCGCGTTGCCACGAGAGTGCACTCTCGCACTACCGACGGAGCATGGCCGAGGCTTGTGAAAACGAAACTCCCGAACATGCATGCGCCAGGGCGGTGCCGGCCGCCTTGAATGCCACCACTCTTGCCGTGCTTTCTCGCTTGGACCAGCATCGTGTCTTTGTAAAACCTTGTCAATTCAAATCATATTTTTGGCTCCCGCTTGCAAGGCTACACCGGCTGACGATCACATACATCACCGAAAAGACCTGATAAAGACAGGCCAGGGACTGCTTGAAGGTATTGAGCTCCTGGACGGCAGTAAAGGAATCGTTTTTTGGTTCAGAAGAAGCGGCAAAACTAGCGTGCAGGAAGCATCTACAGTACATCGCTAGCTCCGGGGCTCAACGATCAAAACTAGATACACACAAAGGGGGACGTCCAGGCAGGGACTCACGCCAGGGCTTTCATCGGAGCGAGACTACCGGACTACCCAAAAACGCACCAGGCTGCAAAGTGGGCTCCGATCCTTCCGGAGGGGCAGTTCATCTACACAGACGGTCCTGCACGGGGTCTCCGACCTTGATCTTGCATCTCTCGCATGAGGTGCAAGCAGCGCCCATCGCAAGAGATCCAGAAATCCAGTGAAGCTTTCAAACGGTGGGCATGCCCACTGAAGCTTGCAAGAGGCTTAGCGGCTTGGAATCAATCTTTGGCTCAGAGGCCGTAAACCTGCAAAGCTGCTCGGAACTTTATATTGGACTTTGGCCATTGGTCGCGTCATGTCTGGAAGGCTGAATGGCTGCAATGCACGGTCCGGGAGCTTCGTTTAGGTCGAGTCGAGGTTCAGCTTGGCGCTGGCGGCACAGATCGGTCTGAGCATGTGTACCTCCGGAGCCCCTCCGCAGCTCCTGCGCATCATCAAACACGCAAAGCCTTCCTTGCACGGAACGTCTACAGCAAGACACATCGCAACACAGGGTCCAGTGGAGCCGGCAGTGTTTGAGTTATAGTGAAATCGCCCAGTGCTTCTAAGACTTTATGATCTATGCTATGCCTCTAACCATGGCATGTTTTCCCTGAATCCTCAGAGTCTGATTTCTGCTGAGCTGTCCTGATGGTGGTGCAGGCCTCGGCTCTGGACTGCGTCTGGCAGAACTGCAACCACACCCACACACCCACACACGCACACACACCCACACGCGCAAGGAATGCACTGAAAGACCATTATAAAGACAGTGCTGAAATATGCTTCCAAGAAAAGCTTCTGGCATTTTCTTGCTGAGGCTGCAGCAGCATGGAAGCCAACGTGAAGCACCTTCACGACGCGAATCGCCAACCGCAGGATGAAAGCTGCATCATTCTTGCAAGTGAACATGACTACCACATTCGTGGCAGGAAGGAGCCTCCCACCGTGGGTCGTGAAGCTTGGTTGCGTGTAGTAGCCGTTTCCACTCCTCGGCGAAGCTCGGTGCGAACCTTGGTCTCACGGGAGTCACCATGCTGTCATCTCTGCTGTCCCGTGCTGCGCAGAGAGATTTATCTCGTTTGCCACTGAACGGCATCGCATCGTCCTCGCAGAGAAGATACACGTGGTCCTCCTCCTGCCGCACTCATCGTAGAATTGCCACTAAGGTTGAATGACACTCTAGCAGCACGGGGCATTTTCTGCTTGAAAACAGCATGAAGGTGGTGATGCTGGCAGGCTCTTCCCTGCGGTGCTCTCTGCTCTCCGGTCCTTGTCCAGTGCAATCAGTTCAAAGGCTTCGTGCCTTGGGGCGACGAGCCCGGGCAGTTTGCTGCTAAAGCCGCGGCCGCGACATGCTGAAACAGTGCAGTGTGATGCCAGAGTACTTGTGCCGCCAACAGAAACGCCAGCCCGTGACAATGTCGTCATGGCTTGGTTCTTGATTACATGCTTTCCCGAGAGGCGTGTCCGAGCCACCCGCATTGAGAGAGCCAGGCCAATTGCACCGCGGGTCAGAATGTAGCCCAGCACTTTAGGGTGGGGCGTTCCGGCATCCTGCAGGAGCAGGAGTGGCTCACAGGAATGTGTGTCATTTTGCTGTGGCCTGAATGCCCTGGGGACTGACGGTTCGCAGTGGCACCTGGCGACGATTTCGTTGAGATCTGTCGAAGCAGTTCTCAAGAAGCCCCCAAAGTTTGGGGCGAACGCTGGATGAAAGCCTAGGACCTCTTCGGCCCTCAGGCCGAGACCAAGGCAGCAAACGCGTGGGGGGGCCGGGCGCCGGGCGGCGCCTTGTCCAGTTGAAGGCTTGATCCATCAACCGCCCGGAGCCACTCCACCTCGCGCGGTCCACAGACAGTTGGAGTAACAGCACGTGACGTGACCGGTCACCGGATGCCCGTATCTCCCCGGGGCACCCGGCTCAGCAACTCCGGAAATCGATGTAGCTGTAGCAGAAAGGCGTGCCTGTTCCAAAATGCTGAAAATCAGCCAACATCAGGAAAGGCATACAAGCACTGCTTCTCTCGGCTGACATGTGCTTGCAGTCTCTGGCTCGCCGGTAGTAGTGCCCAAATGAAGCCTTCGTTTGGTTTGGCGTGCCAGACTGATGAAGAGCACTCGGTGCACAGCTAGTGTAGCCGACGTTCGGATCCTTGGTGTCACGGCGTCCATGAGCGCTTTGCACATACTCTTGGGCTCATGTATGCCCTTCGCACGCCCCGCTAATGCAGTAGTATTTCAAGTCCGTGCATCAAGATCAGAGGCGTCAGTAGGGCCCGCACTCGCGCTGCACGACTTCCTGTCTGTGGTGAAGTCTTCGACCTGGGCGACATTATCCAATGACTGAACTGGCTTGGAGGGAGGCTGCACCAAGGACCTCGTGAGGCCAGACAGACAGTCAAGGCCAACACGAAGTGCCCGCGCACGGAGCAAGCCATCTGAAAGCGCCTGAGCAATTTCGTGATCGCCCGCCGCCCCGGTGGCTTGGTGCCATGGAACTGCAGCATTGTACAACAGCCGTTTCCCACGGAATCTCTCGACGCATCGACATGACACCTATCAGTGCATCTTGCATTCACCCTGCTGTACAATATCGGTGCCGTCACTGCACGTCGGAACTCCAATCTTCCTAGGCAAGCTAAGCTAAAGCATGCTAAAGCACTGATCATCGTAGGCGGCTACTCACAACCAGTTCTCCTGAGCTTTTGGCGCGAGCTTTCTTCTGCTTTGGTTCGGCCTTTGCAGAGACTCGGGGGGTCTTCGGGACAGCAGCGGCGGGCTCCGCATCGGTTTCCTCGTCGTCGCCGCCTCGCAGACTGAATGCATGGAACTCAGCAGGGCTCATGGACTTGAGGCTCTCCGGATCAGCGTTCGCATGCATCCAAGACTTAACCGACAACGGCTCCGAAGGCTGTTTCTGATCAAAGTCCACAACGTAGACGAACTCCATTTCAAGCTTGCAGTCTGTCGGAAAGATGTAAAGGTGACCAGGTCCTGTCTTGAATTCTGCAATGAACTGCGCGACAAGACAGCCAAAGCCGTTGCAAATGATCTTTCCGGGCGGCGCTGGCTTGCCGCTCAACCCATTCACGAGTTCGCAGCTCTGCAGAAACTCGGCAAGTCGAACTCCCAGAGATGTATAGTATCCGTCACATTGGAAGTAGATACAAGCAAAGATGCTTTTCTGCCCGTCTCGAACACTGCGGAAAACCACGAGGCCGCCAGTGCCCATCTTCTACCAGCGTTCTATGGATGCGACGGAACCTCTACGATGGCCTTGATCCCGGTGCTGCACCAGGAAGTGTTCGTTAGCTCTGCACGACGGCACGAAAATAGTCCCATGCACGCCCCCGGCCTCAGATGTGCCCGGCATAGGGCATGACTGCATGCAACTGGGACGTTCACAAGCACGGTGTAGTTCCTGCAAAGCAGCTCAGGCACGCATCAGGACCAAAAGGCATCTCAAGACACAGAATTGCAGCACACCGTAGCGCTGCCCACCTCATGCGACTCGCACAAAGTAGCTCTGGGAACCGCGAACCGCCCTAGGCTTCACTGTGACCCACATCCTGATTGGTTTCATGATGTTTCACGGAGCATATCGGAGCATGTTAATTATTATTTGATCCGACATATTCAGCCAAGACTTAACTAGTCTACGTGTCCAACCAGTAAATAGTGCCTGTGGAGCACAGGCTCTTGACTCAATTGAGCTTCTAGATGGCTACAAACTGCAGCGTCCAGTGGCTGGAGCCAGTGCTGAAGCCAGAGTTCGCAGGAAACACCATACGTCAGTCCGCTTCATGAGCACGTCCACAGCGGGGCTGCCAAGGTGTATTGATCTTCAAACCGGCCTCTGCCGCTCCTTGCATCACCAGTCTCTCTGAACTGTCGAAAGAAGTTGCAGCTATCCTCAACCTTTTCTTTGCATTGGCATCTGCATTGTGCTCCATGCACCGCAATACATGCACGAGCTGCCTCTGAGCTAGCCGGTTGCATGCGCTGCTGCAACATAGCGCTGCGATCACGGCACAGATGGAGAGACAACGTAATGGCCTGTGACCTACGTCATTTAGGAACTTCGGGCTTGATGTCAACACGTCTCTCAGGGAGCTACGATTCAGCCCTGAATCCAGATTCTGTCGTCTGTCACAGGCGGTTAAACAACAGACTCACGTCCACTCCTCTTTGCTCCCTTCTCAGGCGTACATGCTGGCATGTTGCTGGAAGGCCAGACAGATAAGATCGCCAGAGAGGACATGACCAAAAAACTATAAGGCATCAACGCCTCGGGCCTAGACTTCGGCATCCAAACCGCTGCCGCGGAATGCCAGCCCGGTGTATAATTAGACAACAGTGTCCACCTTTCTTACCGAAAACTTGCCCGGCCATCTCACCTCCTACAGTTAGTCTGTCTTTGAGCTATCTGTCGTGTTGCGTCGCCGTAGAGGCTGCATCTCCTGACAAAAAACACAGTTTAGAGAGACAAGAACTCATAGCCAGCTGTCACCAGCCATGAATACACACGGCTGGCTCATCACACCTCCTCGTGGAATTTTTCGAGAGGCTCTGCAGTGGCCTCCAGTAAAGGCGGTCGGAAGCAAGGGCAAGAATCTGACACGCTGCAGGCAAGTGACACGGCAGCATCGCTCGGGCCGCCATGCGCAGCGGGCCACGCTCCGAGTCACCTCCAAGGCCTCAGGCTCAAGTGTTCTGCTGCAAGCTGTGACCCAGAGCCTCAGAGTCGCTCAGCTGGCAGCCTCAACCCCCTTCTCCCTGGCGCGGCCTGAAGCACTCGCAGATGATCAGACAGGTCGGGATTTAGGATCATCGTGCAAGTCTGAGTCTGACGAATTCTGGTTCCACTGCTGCACTGGTGTCTCAAAGGGTCAAAGGTGCATCAAATGTCGACGGAGCCTGCGCCTGCCTCGTCAAAAATTCCTCCTTCTGTGCGCAAAAACGGGTGCGAGGCGCGGGCCGAAGAAGGAGCCGAGGATCTGCAAGGGGCCCGCTGGGGCATCCTCCTCCCTGCAGATTGCAAACGCTTCAAACTCACATCTGATGTCAATGTCTACAGATTCTAGAGCTCTTCATAGCTCTTCTCCGTCGACGTTCTGATCGTTGCTGATGGTACTGTGCAGGCACTGAAGCCAGACAGAGAGCCAAGGAGAGTGCATGGGCGGGTGAGCGGGTGGGAGCGAAGCGGGGCACGGTGGCGGAACTAGGCTTTGTAAGTGCTGCCGGAGAGGTCCGAGTGGGGCGAGCGAGGGAGGGACGAAGGGGTGAGGTGGGGAGGGAGGGACACATGGGAGGGAGCGTGAGGGAGAGAGCGAGCTTATGGCTTGAGGTGGCACTGTGGCACCATCACAGCTCGAGCTGCTTCTGGGATCCCTGCAGAGGTGAGTGAACACGTCCTCCTGCTCGGCTCGCCTGTCATAAAGCAGCATCTGAAGAATGCCTTAATTCAGACTTCAGCCTCGTTTTCCGACTCTGCGCCTTCGTCTCTCTACGTTGCCGCCGTCGCGCTGCAGCGCGCAGCGCTGCGGCCAGGCGAAGTGTGCGCTCCACCGGCACGATGCGGGGCAAATTCTGCAGGGCCTGCAGTTGAAAGCGAAATGGGTTAAGACAGCTTGGGCCGAGTGGCTTCACGTGCCCGTGCCTCCGCCAGCTGTGCGGCATCGTCAGAGATGCGCAAAAGCTGGAAGCGCTTCAGCAATATCAGTGCACAGAGCAGCCAATCGCCTCGGCTCGCCAAACTGCTCTTTGCTGATGAGGCGCGATTCGTGAGGCAAGTCACTGAATGCGAAGCGCTCTGCATCGTTGAGCATGGCATCCTGTGCATGCGGGAGAACTTCGAGCAATTGCCGACGCTTGCAGGGTCCATGAATACGCTAATGTTTGCATGATATATACACTTAAATACACCTGAAGATGCTGGCTTGGATGGGCATGCATACAACCCTGGTCCGCACTTTATCATGAGGTGACATGGCACAGGCCTCGGGCTGAGGATTGTGCAATGCAGGGTATTTTGAGGGGTCGACACTGTCAAGGTATGGATCTTTTCTGAACATGGCTGGAAATTGAAAGACATGGAATGTTTCCGTAACCCCCCGGCAGGCGCTGCTTTGGCTACCTGTCTGCCGCTGCCTCGCTGAAGATCAGGGTTGTTCTGTGCTTGCTACCGGTTATGAATGACGAAGCATCCCTTTGGCAATCCCACCTTAAGAGTGGCGAATCAAAGCCCCAAACTCCAAATCCCTCGAAGGCACCCACAGTTGCGCGCAATTCTCCGCCGCGAAGCCGCCCGACGCGAACAGCGCCTCCAAGAAGGTGCAATGAGCCACTGAACCGACTGAACCGCACTGGCAAAAAAATCCACCCCACGGCTTCTTCCAGCAGTAAGATGATGTGAGATGGCAAGCAGGCTTAAGAACCATCCAGGGTTGGTGCATAATTGTTGGCACTTGGCACTGTAGAACACGCGGCTCACTGTAGCGGGAAAGCGCGTTGCTGTTCTAAATGTGGGAAGAACCAGGGACCGCGGCCAGAGACGAGCTGGGGGCGAAAATTGCACTCTGGCAGGACCACGATGTCAGGCAGGACCGAGGAGGTAAAACGATATGCTATGTATAACTGCAGATGTCCAGCACTGTGGCAGGAGCACGAAGGGGGCTTTTGACCACGCCAAGGAGCCTCTAGGAGCCTCACAGCGTTGGGATTTGAGCAACTTCGGAGCTGTTTGAAGGCCAAAATGAGCATGGGCCTGTGGTGGGAGCGCGATATCCACCCAAAAACATGCCGAAATATGCGCGGCCCCGTGGTAGGAGTGCGGATCGTCAAGTTCGGGAAGGTTCACGGAACCGCCATGCCCCCCTGCCGCGGGCGCCTCGATCTCTTCGCGATCGAATCGCTTAGCCCTCTAACTACTCCGAATGTGAGAGCCCCATAATGCTTGCCATGGGAAATTTACAGGTGTGCCAGGGTGTGCCGACAAATTGTGCCCTCCAATAGCACGCTCGAGAACATCTCCAGCCGTCTTGACGGCCCAAAGCTGAAGCTGTGGCATCGCGCCGTGCCTCCCCCAAACGTGCAGCCACAAAGATGAGGCCCTGCCGCGTCCTGAATGTTCGAAATCTTGCATGGAAAGCAACAAGAAAATGGCCTACAGGATCTATGGAGGCGGGGACTAGGTTGATGAACACATCCCATGTTCCAGGACCCACATCTCGCACGTAAAAACTTCCGCACCGAGAATTTCCGTGTATGAAGGGGGACCATGAAACGGGCAGTCACGAGGATGTGTGACTGACCTGACTTCGGCCGGGACAAGACATGCGACAGGAAGCTAAGGTGGAAGCTAGTAATCCTTCTTCTGCGTCTTTCTCTTCTCAGGGCTTGCAGAAACCCAAAACTAGTGACTAGTGACTAGAAGAAGCGTGAGGGAGCTTCCAAGGTCTGCGCAAAAAGGAGGCTCAAAAAACCTGGGTAGCAGAATCATGGCTACTCCACAGTTGTCAGATGTCACATGATCTTCCCCAAGAATCCGCTTAGCATTTCTGAAGTGTCATATCGTCTCTTGCTGCTGTTCAGATAGGTGTCAAATTCAGTGCATTCGGTCTCAGACTTACCTTCAATGTCGATCGAAAATGTCCAGTAAGCATGCTCGAATGCACATACGACAGAACCTGATTTGGGAAATTCTGGAGGTGTCATGATATGATAGCTGAATCAGTGAAGCTCAAACTTGACACCCACGCTGCTGTTGGATTTGATCTCTGCGGCCGGGGCACAGGACCTCACAAAGCGGTTCGTCGAAGGTGCGGAGCAGCTCCTCCCAGGCAGCAGTACTCCGACTGCACAAGTCACCCCAGCGACTGCACCAGGCTCTGAAGAGCCAGTGTGCTTTCCGTAGATCGGTGGCTCTGCAGGACGAAAGGCACGGTCACAGGACTCATCCTGCAGGCGTTTGGCTCTGCGATCTGTCGACGAGGTGGCTTTGTTCGTCTGCAACCTAGGCAAAGGAAGAAGCAGGTTAAGCTAGCTTGAGGCTAGACGGCGGAAGTTGTGGCGTTCTTGCGTTCGAGGACAACCACTTTGAGGCCACACATCACGGCCCACCTTCTTGCGAGATTTAGTTTCACTTGTGTGAGAGAGGTGTCACAAGACAGGTTCGAGTCAGCACAGCAAGGCAGCCAAGAAGCTGGAAAAAACACCAGAATGCATCTGCCT